GGTAGGACACCCTCCCTCCACTCCCCCTTTTTCATACGCCCGCTGACCCCCTTTTGAAGGATATTTGGACGACTTTTCGTCGACCCCGAGCCGCCGGAGGCACGCGGGGGGTCCCTCGGTGATGGATGCGACGAGGGTGGGTCACCCTCTCGCCCCCCTACTTGTCGTGAAGCCACTGACTCACTTATACAGGATGTTTTTGACGACAATTCGGCGAGGGGGATCCGCCGGAGGCGCGCGTGGGGTTACTCTATGAGAAAAGCGACGAGGGTGGGTCACCCTCCCCCCTCCCCCCTCCGTTCTAATCGCAAGCGGACTTAACCTCCTTTCGCAGGATCTCGCGCGACTTTCGGTGAGACCGCACCGCCGGAGGCAAGAGCGAGGTTCCTAGATGAGATTTGTGGCGGGGGTAGGTTACCCTCCCCCTCCCCCATCTCCTCAAAATCGTCAGGAGCGTGCCGACGCCTTGTACTAAGGCGATTTTTCGCTGGGATAGAGCCGCCGGAGGCGTGCGCGGGCGCCCTAGGTGAGCATTGCGAAGGGGGTGGGATACCCTCACCCCTTCCCCTTTCCTTCTTGAACGCGTATTGACTCTGGCTCAGCCCCTCCCCATTCCCTTCCTACTATCGACGAATTACCGCTGTCGGCAGTTTGTGCCCGCTTGGTCACCGACGATCAACGCCTGCTGTCGGTATGACGAAGGCGAGGGGGGAGGGGACTTCTCCCCATTCCCCCTTCCCCCTCTCCGGCGAGAGCGGATGTCATATCATGGCGGTGAGCTATCATATTCCCCAATTTTCCCTCCTATCCCCTCCTCCTTCCCGTCGCCTCCCCGTCTCCCCTCCGCGCCCTCCCTGCCCTTTCTCGGCGCTTTCCCCTTCCACCCTCACGCTCTCATCTACACCCTCCCCTCCGATATCCCTCCGTTACCCCTTCTATCCACGACGCGCGCCACCTTCAACGCGATTCTCAAGCCTGGGAAACCGTGAGATGGTGCGCGACGGCGAGGGAGGGGCACTGAGATGGGAATTGGTGCGCTTGGGGCGTGCGTTCTCATTCACGCGCTGACGTTTCTGCAGTTCTGGTGCGATGGAACGACTGCGTTGACGCGCTAGCCGCCTTCGTCCTTCGCGAGTGGAGGAGGGAGGGGGAGGAGAGCGAGCACTTCGGTCTTCACGAGCGAGGGAAGGGATAGCAGAAGGGGGCTCGTAATGAGCAGAAGGCGAGGTGGATGTCACGCGCCCTTCTCTCGAGACTTGGGGTGGGTTTTCGAGTCGCTTTGACTCGCACTCGACGACGCGACGGCTCTGCAAGCGTCGGGTGGGGTGTAGCTCACGAGTTCAAATAATTATGACTTTGTTATTTAGATAGAGCGATGCACAACGCTTAGAACAAGCGGACGGGCTTGCCCGTGGTCGTCTTGATGTGCAGCGACCTGACGTTTTGTCAGTTCTTCTTGAGCAGGGGGACCAGCAGGGAGGGTGAGTGGCAAGCTCGCGATTTCGGTAGAGCGGGACTTGATTAGGGCTGAATGAGCGAGCGGGGATGAGATAGGATGGATTTTGAGTGATAGGGAGTCCCTTAGCGACGCGGGGGGAAGGGGGATGTCGCTCTCACTCACGCTTTTCAGGCTTTCGAGTGAAGGCGATGGCTAGGGATTCCGAGAAAAGTCGCGGTGCGGCTGGTAGTAAGCGTCCAGACAGAGTAGTTTACCATTCTATCGACGAACTCTGCTGTTGACTCTGTTTACAAATCCCTTCCCCCTCCCTCCTTCGATCCCGAACTCGGAAATCCCCGCGCGCACGAGGCGCTCGCCACCGATAACCAGCACGCGTTCGACTTTTTCGACGACGAGCGCGCATCGCGCGCGACAGCCTCACGCAGGTCAACGTCGTCCCCGGCTTGGCTGGCGCACTCCCCCTCCTCGCGCTCCCGCACATCACCAGCGCCGCCATCGGGTGGCAGAGCGGCGACGCGGACATCGACGGCGCGGTCGAGCTGATGTGCAAGGCGTGGCCGGAGCTGGAGGAGCTGGAGATAATGCCGGATGCGCCGTGGAGCATACACGATGCGCTTGCCCCGTATACCCCGCGAGTGACCTTGCGCACGCTCATCCCGCTCGCGCGGCACTGCCCGAACTTGAGGAGATTTTTGCTCACGTATCTGGACCTCTCCGACATACCCGATCCGGTGGAGCTGCGAGAGGACGAGCGCGTCGAAAACAGGCCGATCGTGTTGGAATTCATGTGCTCGGTATTGTCGTACGCGCAGGTGAAGCCAGTGGCGGCCTTCCTGACGAGCGTCTTTCTTAAGGGAGGGATAGAGCGCATAGAGCCCGGAATGTCAGAGGAGATGTGGGGAAGGGTATGCGCGAACATGGGCATCCATCTCGGCAAGCTGGACTTTTCCTCATGTGAAAAGTATATCGTGTAGGTGGAAGTGCCGCCAGTTTAGAGACTTATAGTGACCTTCGAACGTAACTTGAGACCGATCACGCCTCCACCACGACCATCCCAGCCTGGGATTGTGGCACGGCAGACGGGGCACCTGCAGCAAGGATTAGAATGATACACACAATGAATACGCTTCTGTGTCTTACTTTGCCTCCAATCCTTCCGGCGTATGCGCCGCACGCAACATCGCGGTCTTGACGGCCGTAAACAGACAGCTCCCACAGCAGATATGGCCGCAGGGAGTCAGTGTCGCATTGGTCGGCGCGAAGAAGCATATTGGGCAAGTGTACTCGGCGAGGGGCGTCTGCTTGGGCGGTGGCGCGGGCAAAGCGGGCTCCGCTTTGGGCTCGGGTGTAGGTGAGCGCGTAGCGGCGCGCTGTTTCCCCTTCGCGTTGGCAGAAGGAGAGGGGGGCCTGTCAACGACCCCCAGCCCAATGTCGGGCAAAGTCTCGACGTCGGCGTACTGCTCCGGCTGCTCCAGTACGTCCGCGACTGTCAGGTCAAAGCCAACTTCCCCGGGGCCCTCGCCAGATAGAGCCTGCGTGTTTCCCGCCGAGAATGTACCGATTTCTGATCCGTCGTGCGGAGCGTGTATAGCAGCAATCCTCCGCGATCTTTTGGGCTGCCTTGGCAGGCTGACTGATCTGTGCTTGCGCTTCCTGTCTCCAGACGTAAATCCAGCCGCGGACGTACTATCAGTGAGGTCAAGAGAGCCTGGAGTAGATGCACGAGAGCGGGAACGAGAGCTGGTGACGGAACGCGCGGCGCGAACGAGAGATGCGGCGCGTGAGCGAGGCTCGCGGTTCCTGCTGGTCATGGGCGTTGGGAGAGGAGAGTCGTCCGCTCGCGTGTAGCCCCTGTCGACGTGTCGCGCTCGCTGCCCGCATCGACTCGCTGCTTGGCATTCACTCTTCCCGCAACTACTGGGGACGTCGACGCGGCAACCGCGGATGACGACACGATTGCGACGGCGTAGAGAGGACGCGAGGACGCGGGGACGGGAGGGTGGCTGCTTGGTGGGATGTGCTCGCTGTCGCGCCGGCTCCGACGAGCTGTCAGCGGGTACGCGGTTGGGTGTGCCAGCGATCGCAGGAGGAGAGAAGGGCGCGAAGGCTGCCGGCACGCCAGCTGTCAAGGCGCGACGTCATCGCCGCGGGCTTCCGAGTCTGCGTTCGAGTCCCGCGCGACTTGTCGGGTGAGCGGTGGCCAGACGGCGAGGCTAGGTAGACTCGAGTCAGCATCGAGATGGCGGTCTCCGACGGTCGTCCCTGCGCGCCCCGCGTGACGTGACCGAACATCAACCGTCGCGTTTCCTAATCGGTGAAAAGTGAGAAAATTCGCATCTACGACCTCCTGTAATTGCTATCTCGCGATCCGCTGCAGCTAGCGACTTCGGACAGCGTGCGGCGGGAGTGCATTCACCAAACTAAGAGGTCCCCGAGGTTACAAGTCGCTGCAATTACTCGCTCCTTTACTATTCCCTCCGAACTCGCTGGGAAAGCGTGACACCTCCGCTCTAACAATTGTGCAGGCTCGAGTCCTTCTCCGTTCCTTGTCGTTCAAAGACAAAACTAAAGGGTGTGGGTAGGCCAACCTCTCTGCAAAACAACTAGTCCCTCCCCCTCCTTGCTCCCCTCCTCTCGATTTTTCTCTCCCAGTCACTCTCCTCTGCCACCAGCGCCCACCATCACAGACCATCACAGACCCCGCTCCAGACATCACAGACCCTGCTCGAGCCATCAAAAATCATCCGTTATCCACGAAAATTATTCCGTGATCTCGCTCGGACGTCGTTTGATGGCTATTAATCGCCATCGAGGGCTCGCCTCGGCCCCCCTTCCGTCGTACGAGCTCTCATTTACCTTCCGCGAGCTGATCCGTAGCTGCTCGAGACACGGCCATGGGTCGGACATATAAGGTAGGGGCGTGAGGTGGGTGCACATTCTGCCCATGCTACATGCTACAGTGAACACAACGAGTACAAGGCTCGAGATAGGCTACAAGCGTATAGGTGACAAGCGCTGTGGGTGAGTGGGAGAGAATGGACGGAGCGCAGGGGGATGGAGAGTGCAGCCGAGGTGTTGACGGATGAGATGTAAAGGTCGAGGGTGAGATGAGACGCCGACGGGCGAGACTAGCCGTGGTCGAGGCTGCGGGGATGTTCGAGAGGCTGTCGAGGGGGTGAGAAGATAGAGCAGGAGACGAGAAGACCGAGACTCAGTCGAGTCGATTCGAGCATGGTGAGCATCAAGTCGAATGGATCGAAAGCCGAAATCAAGGGTAGAGTCGAGACTCGTCGGGTTGCCACACAAGTCAGTCATGAGCAAGTCGAGATCGAGAATGAGTGAGTCGAGACCGAGACTGAGCAAGTCGAGATCGAGAATGAGCAACTTGAGACCGAGAATGAGCACGTCAAGACCGAGAACGAGCAAGTCAAGACCGTGCAAGCCCAACAAACGAGCTAAACAGCCAAGGTCATATTGCATAGTACACATCATGACAGGAGTATAGAAGGCTTCGCAGAAACAGTGAAGTCGTGAGAAAGCGCTCGAGAAGGTAGAAAGGTATCCGGGAGGTCAGAGAAGCGCTCGAGGGGTCAGTGAGATGCTCACAGCTGCATCGGAACATTCGAGGGCCAGCAACGCACTCGCGGGTTGGCAACACGCTCGCGGGTCAGCAAAGTGCTCGAGAGCCTATCTGTGTGGTCGAGAAGGTCTCGAGTAGGTAAGGCTGCCCCGGCCGTATCACCTCGCTCGGCGGACAAAGATCCATGGACATATTAATTGGGGGGCTTTGTAGATCACTCGGGGGCCTTCGTAGATCGCTCGGAGGGATTCGGGCGTTATGAGATCGTTCGGGAGGCGACGGACGATGATGGGGAGATCTAGGAGGGTGAAGAGAGTGCCGGGAAGCTTGGGGTGAGCGCTGGGCAGCTTGGCGTAAGCGCTAAATGGCTCAGGGTGAGCACGGGAAGCTCGAAGCGAGACAGATTCATAGAGGGGTCGCGCTTGAAGCGAAAAGCGAGGGTGAATGACGAGCTCGAGAGCGGAAGCGGAAGCGAGGATGGCGGGCAAAGTGGAAGGGCCTGCTTCAGAGCGAAGGCGAGGGTCAAGGTCGCGCTCGGGGGAGGCGAGGCGATTGCCTTGGGAGGACAGGCATGGCAGTTGACTTGAGAGCGATGATAGAGGCTACAGCTGAACAAGACAGTGAAGAGTCAGCGTTTGACCGACGAGTATGAAGTAGAGCACGTACCTTATTACCCCGCTCGCCGGACGGAATTCTATTGCTTCAGCGCTTGAATCGACGGGAGAGCATCGGGGCTAAATTCGACGCACGAGAGTCGACGAGAAGTAGTTGGGGTGAAGCCGCAATCGCACGAGAGTCGCCGAGGTGAAGCCGAGGTAGTTGAGTGAAGCCAAAGTCGTTGAGCTTGCGCGACAGGGAGAACGATGCTGGAAGCGTCGATGACCGGCAGATTGCGCTGGGGGCTTGTTGCTCGACTTTGCGCGACGAAGATGGTGCCGCCGAGTGGATGGCGGCGTCAGCGAGTTGTTGAGTCAGAGCGCAGGCGCTTCGGAAGTTGGTGACTTGATTGCCGAGCGTCGATTGGCGCCCGCGGGATTCTGCAGCGTCGTGAGCTGTCGGCTCTCGCATGAGAAGCAGGTTACGCACCATATATCCCTGCTCGGCGGACGAAAATACATTGCTTCAGCGCTTGATGAGGTGGTTGGCAGGAACGAGGGAGCGACGCGGGAGACTTCTCACTCGTGGACGAGCGTGCGAGTCGTGGGATGGCGAGGCCGGCGGTCGGCGAACGGAGATCTCGGCCGTGAGTCTTCCAGCCTCGTTCAATGAGCGAGCATGATCCGCGTCGTCGTCGTGATCTGGGCACTTGAAAGAGCCGTATCACGCACCGCGCGGCGGACGACAACCTATTCCTTCAGCGCCGTATTCGACGAACGAGGCGTGCGGTAACGAGGGCGAGTCTCGGTGCGACGGTCTAGAGCAGATTGAGAAAAGATTTCTGGAGGGGTGGAGCGTATCACGTACCGTCAATGCCCGCTCGCCGGGTCAATATTCATATACTCGTCCACTACAGTGGTCTGCGTGTGACGACTTGGTTGTATTCAGAGGCGAAGCGTTGAGTCTTGTTGCCCGTGGCGACGAGGAGGCGTAACAACTGAGCGAAAGCGTTCGTAGCTATTGCGAGCTTGACACGACGACGAGACGACATGGGAGGAAAGACACGACGCGCAAAGCACCGCCACCGAGAAAGACGGGCGGTCGGCGGCCCGAGAGCGCACGAGAGCGACCGAAGGCTCAAATTCCTGGCGTTCAGGGTCGCGGAAAGACGGGAGAACCTACCAAAGTCGGAAGGTTTTGACGAGAAGCCCATCGGAGTCAACAAATCGACATTTCTCCCCGTGCGGGGAATTTGCCTGGACCACTCCGCACGGGTGCCTGAGTTTAAGAGATCTTGTTCTTCACGATACACGTGTTCTGAGCAGCGCGACGCTCAACGCAGAGATCGCCGCTAGAGGGCTTTCCCCGTGAAGTTTTCTCGAGCGAAATGAGCAAAATAGATGGAAATTGACATTAGATAGTCGGAATGAGTGAGAAGACAGGCCCCCCGACATTTCCAAAGTCACCTGCAGAGCGAGGAGGCGGTCGACGGGGCGGCGCGCAGACACGGGCAACGATGGTGACGGCCGGGAACAAGGAGCGTGCCTTAAGCGCCGGGCGCTTACCGGCTTCCGCCCCGCGCCCCCGGTCGTCGGCAATTCCCGACCGCACTTCCCCCGCCCCGCCTCTCGCGTTCTGCGCCCATCGCCATCGCCCCCCGTACGTTCGACAACGGCATCCTCGTCGCCAAATGATCCCCCTCGCATCTCCAACGAATGGAACAGGCAGCACAACGGGATCGTTCGAAAGCTTTCGAACGACGCGGCTACTGCTTCACGACGCGATCTCAGCCTACGGCACCTATCCCCCATTACCCCCAGCACCCACGATGGGTCCAGGCATGTCCCAGACGCACCTCCGAAACATCTCCGAAGGCGCACTTGGTGTCGGTCAGCAGGGAACACGTCCTCCCTTATCGTAACTGAAGGTCGAAGCAAGATGTATGCATACCCGATCTGAATATCCATGGTAAGTCGTCACTTGGGTGGAAATACCTGACCTCCAAGAAATGAAGGGGGGGACATGGGAGAGACGTTTTATGCAATTCCGACTCATGTCCGCCGCGTATCGAGGTCTGTAGGGCGTCGGGATGGTCTTTTTGAATATGTGGCGTCGCTTTTGGTCCGTTCGTACATTCACCGCATGGGCCTGCGCTGACTGGCTAAACACAGATACATAGTCTTCGAGTAGTATACACGCGAATTTGGAAGTTTGGACAGCCCCGGCGCAATTCCCACCTTGCAATACACACCGTCTCCTCGTCCTCCCGCATCTTCCCCATCACGAACGCGCCCTATACACAACGCCCAGCCCCATGTACGTCACTACGGCTATACTACCTAACATCTTTCGAAAATTACGACGCTCCCCGAACTCGGCCCCGGCGTGCAAATTGCCGAATATCCGTTCGCAGCCATTCACCTCCCTCACGACTTCCTCCGCTTTACGGTAGGTGGATCCTTCCGAACGCGACGCTCTAGACACTCATACATCTGACCAGAAATTTGGAAGCTTGATGCGCGCCGGCGGAGGCCTCGGCGCGTCCGCGCCCACCCTGCTATCCTCACCTTGGCGAGAACAATGGACCAGCCCCAATTTCCCCTCGCCGAGGACCGCCAACCATCTTGACATCGCCGCATACACGTGTCCCGCTACTGCCGTAGCTTTGAGATAGCGAGTTGGTGAGGAGGAGGCGCTTCTGGCGCGCCGCCCTCCGCGCAGCTCAAAGCCTGCTAAATGGAGATAGAGCCTGATGGCAGCAAGTTGGACTCTTTCCCGGTCTTTGCTGCGTCGCACCCGCGCCACGTCAGCACCGCCACGTGTCGCGCGCTCTCTGCGACCTTACTGACGCTGTTTCCCGGTGGACGCGGTCGAGTAGGTGCTGTACAACGTCCTGCAACTTGCGCGCCACCCAACGGACAGATCGCATAAGCCCTCGTACTTCCCCGCCGGGGGCCACGTGCGCGGCATCCCAAGCCCGGGTGAGCGAGTCTCGACGCACTTTCTGCACGCTCTGACTGACATTCGCGCAGGGGAAGCAGCGGAAGATCGAATGCGCGCTCTGCGCGCATCCCCCCAATCTTCCGACTTTCCGGTGGGCGGGTCCCGGTCGCGGATAGCCGAGGTCTGATCCGGAAATATGCGACGCCGGTCTGGAAGATTGGGCGGCGACTGGGCACGGCGTTGGGCCGTTTGCGAGGTATAAAGGGTAGGGCATCTAACCGCTCCAATCAGCAATTCACCCCCTCCCCATTCTCTCCTACCTCCCCTTCGCCTAACCGTCCCTTCGTGAAGGATTTCTGACCACCGTCGTATGTGATTCCCCTGATCCTTTGCTTGTTCTGAGACTCACAACCTCTTGCCTTTAGGTCAACCGTCTCTCTTCGGCACATTCACTGGTAAGTCTGCCTCCCTTACTCGCTACTACTTGTTATACTCACCCCACTCCTTATTCAGATGCTCTACGAACTATTGGTGCTCGCGCTTGCATTCCTACGAGCGCTCTACGCATTTACTGATCGCTTTCACAGGCTTCTTGCAACGCGCACCATCAATCGACACCAAACGCACTTGCCGGTTTCGATGCTCCACGGGCATGTCTATAGCTCTCTATCTATCTGTTGTACTTCCTAACTCATTAGACAGTGATAGCGCTGCACGTCGCTGCCTGACCCTTGCTCGCCGGGTAAGCACGGGCTGGATTTTCGGTGTCGCGCCACCCTGACCGGGCGTGCTCTAGGCCATCACGTCGACCACCCCGACTTGCTACGGCAACTCTCATCTCACCACCATCAACGCCGACGCCGCGCTCATCTTCCGCGCCTCGATGCACGCTCAGCAGGCATGCAATTGAAGGTCGGGGGACGCGGGCGACTTCTTCCGCAACTCCCGAACTCTCTGACTCGGCGCGTCTAGCACTCCAGGCGATGCGGTTGGCGCTGTGGTACGCGGTAAGCACGAGCTTATCATTCATGCCTGCTTATCTTGACGGGCGAGACAGAGACCACTCGACGATGCTCGGCTTGGAGCGGGCCGCCGTACGGCCTCCGACGGCGCCTGGGCTGCAACTTCCCTGTCGTCTCTGTCGATGAGCAACACGATGGTCTCACTATAGGCTCATCCCGGTGAGTCTGCACTCTTTCTCGCCTCCAGCTGCACCGCGCTCAACGAAGACATAGAGCGCGATCTCACCCTGAAGCCCCGCCACCTTTTCCCTGCTCACGACGCGACTTCGAAGGCGTGCGAGCGTCGTCAGTGTCGGTGAGCTAATGTCCCTCCGTCGCGTCCCAAGGCTCACCTCAGCGCAGGCCGATGAGCGCGGCGTTCGGCCTGCCGTTGCCCACCCCCTTGCTACCTCTACGTCGGCGCCTGAGCTATCCCCGACTGTCGTCGTCACCACACGCAGCGATTCAGGACACCTTCCGCCTCCTTCTAGACCCTTTGCCCGGGTCATTCCGATAGCACGCGATGTTGCAGGGGGCCTTCTTCGCGAACCTCGGAGGCCGAAGGTACCCAACACAGCCGTGATAGAGAGCTGAGGTTGAAGGGGGACTGGTGAGTACACGAACGCGCGTCAAGTCCTACACTGGAGGGCGATATCGCATTTTATGTCTCGCCTTTACGTCGTGCTGACTCCTTTTCAGACGTTTTTGGTGGACACCCGGGCCGCCGGACTCATACACGCACGCTCTCGGGCGAAGGACGCATTGAGGGTGGTCCGCCCTCGGTCTTGGTGGGTTTGCTCGCCCCCCTAACGCATTCAGAATCCCGCTGACCCTTCCAAAGTAGAATATCGACATGCCCCGTGCCATGACATGCACACGCCGGCTCCCTCTGCCGATCTAGGTGAAGAGGGAGGGGTATATCTCTTTAAGAACTGGAGAGAAGGCATTGCTGCGCGCCGGTGAGTCATGCTCAGTATACATTGATCGCGCTGACCCCTTCCTCCATGATTTCTCTTAGATTCCTCGACCGCCGGAGGCACGTGTGCGCTCCCCCTTCCAGAGTACGCGAGGGGGAGGGGTCGTCCCCACCTTCTCAAGGGAAAGGGACACGCTGGGAGGGGGGATGCTAGGTGAGCTATGCACTTTTCTGACTTTATACTTTTACAGAACGCGCTCACTGAAACCATTCTCAGATCAGACAAAGCCGCCGAAGGCACACGCGCGCTGCCTCGTGCGAGATGCTCGATGGATGGGGGCGGGGTCTCGCCCCACATCACCCCAGGTGAGAGCGATATGCGGAGGCACTCAGAAAGGACGCGGGAGGGGAGCGAGATTATCGGTGAGCTGATCCCTTTACCGCTCGCGCTCCTTTGCGATGAAGACCACGGCGAGGGCGGGGGTACCTCCCCCCCTACCCTTTCGACCTCATCGTGCTGACCCCACTTTTGAAAGATTTTGGAACGAAGTTTCGCCGACCTTGAGCCGCCGGAGGCATGCGCGGGGTCCCTCGGTGAAGGATGCGACGAGGGCAGGGTGCCCTCCCTCCCCCTCCGCCGTTACGAACAGACTAATTCCACTTTACGCGACCATCGGCCAACCTTTTGGCGAGGTCGAGCCGCCGGAGGCGCGCGCGCACCCCCGGTGAAGGCCGCGAAGACGGTGGGGGCCCTCCACTTTCTTTCCGACTTGAGTCAGGTTGGGGGACCTTGACCCCTTGTATGATGTCCTTCTGCTGAGCCTGAGTCGCCGGAGGCGTGCGGGACAGCCCTCGAGGGGGGGTGCGACGAGGGTGGGGGATCTCTACATCCGCCCTCTCTTAACATAAGGCCCCCCTTCGCAATTTCTTGAGTGACTTCAGGCGTGTTCGAGGAACCGGACGCGAGCGCGTGCCCCTTCGTTGAGGAGTGCGACGAGGGTAGGTCTCCCTCCCTCTCCTTCCCCTGTCATAAGCGTACTGACCAGCTCTTTATAGACCTTGAGACAATTTTCTACGGCGGCAAGCTGCCGAGGCGTGCGCAGGCTCCCTCGTGCGAATGACGCGACGGGGGAGCGTCCTCCCCCACCCTTTTAAGGAGAAGGGATGGCTGTGGGGACGCTTGAGCGCGGGAGGGGTTAGAGTTGTGGGTGAGTTATGCCCCTTCCTTGTTTTCGGCAAGCTTACTGACCTCCATCTTCGCTAGGTTGAGCCGCCGGCACGCTCACGCTGATCCGAGCGAGCTACGCGATGGGGAAGGGGGTCCCGACCTTTATGAGCGTGAAGCAATCGGCGAGGGGCGCCTTTTCTCGCAAAAGAAGGGATGGGGTCATCGGCAAGTCATTTCCATCCCGTTCTTTCTCTTGCAGCGTACTGAGTGCCTCGCCTTCGCAACCAGGTATAGCCCTTGGTGGCATGCTGGGGTGGGGACCCGCCCCCACCCCCCATTCCCAAAGCCTAACAATTTCTCGACAGGGTCCAGCCGCCGGAGGCGCGCGTGGGCCCCTAGAATGAGCGATGCGTCGAGGGTAGGACACCCTCCCTCCACTCCCCCTTTTCCATAAGCCTGCTGACCTCCTTTTTAAAGCTATTGGGACGACTTTTCGCTGACCCCGAGCCGCCGGAGGCACGCGCGGGGTCCCTCGGTGAAGGATGCGACGAGGGTGGGTCACCCTCTCGCCCCCTACCTGTCATGAGGATCCTGACCGTCTTATACAGGATCTTTCGGACGACGCTTCGGCGTGGGGGAGCCGCCGAGAGCGCGCGTAGGGTTGCTCTATGAGAAAAGCGACGAGGGTGGGTTACCCCTCCCTTCTACTCACATTCGGACTTACCACCCTTTCGCAGGATCTCGCACGACATTCGGTGAGGCCACACCGCCGGAGGCGAGAGCGATTTTCCCAGACGAAAGTTGTGGCGGGGGTGGAGTACCCTCCCCCTCCCCCATCTCCTCAAATCGTCAGGAGCGTGCCGACGCCTTGTAAGGCGATTTTTCGATGGGGTCGAGCCGTCGGAGACGTGCTCGGGCGCCCTAGGTGAGCATTGCGAAGGGGGTGAGGTCACCCTCCCCCTTCCCCCCTTTCCTTCTCAAATGCGTATCGATTATAACCCGGCAGACAATATGGTACCTCCCAATTGCCGGGGCCATGCACGCGCTCCTTAGGTGAGTTCTACGAGGAGGGTGCGATACTCTCTACATCCCCTTCCTCCTATCGACGGCTGACCGCTGTCTGCAGTGCGCTCGTGCCCGCTTGGTCGCCGACGGTCAACGCCTGCTGTCGGTATGACGAAGGCGAGGGGGAAGGGGACTTCCTCCCCCTTCTCGCTCCCCCCTCTCCAGCGAGGGTGGGTGTTATATCATGGCGGTGAGCTATCCTATTCCCCAACGTTTTCTTCCTATCCCCTCCTTCTCCCCTGCCCTCCCCCTTCTCGTCCCCTCCCCGTCTCCCCTCCGCGCCCTCCCTGCCCTTTCTCGGCGCTTTCCCCTTCCACCCTCACGCTCTCGTCGTCGACGCCCTCCCCTCCGATATCCCATCGTTACCCCCCTCCCCTTCACGACGCACGCCACCTTCTACGCGATTCTCAAGCCTGGGAAACCGTGAGATGGTGCGCGACGGCGAAGGAGGGGCACTGAGATTGGAATTGGTGCGCTTGGGGCGTGCGTTCTCATTCACTCACTGACTGTCTGCAGTTACGAGTGCGATGGAAACAGCCGCGTTGACGCGCTATCCGCCCTCGTTCTTTGCGAGGGGGAGTGCGAGCGTGCGGTTGCTCACGTTCTAGAGGAAGGGAAGGGATTGCAGGAGGGGGCCCGTGGTGCGAAGAAGGCGAGGTGGATGCTACGCGCCTTTCCTTTGAGCTAATCGGGGTGGGGTTCCGAGTCGCTTGGACTCGCGCGCGACGACGCGGCGTCGAGTGGGGTGTAATTCACGAGTTCAATTGAGTACGACTCTGTTATCTAGATGTAGCAATGCACAACGCTTAGAACAAGCGGACGGGCTCGCCCGTGGTCGTCTTGATGTGCAGCGACCTGACTTTCTGTCAGTTCTTCTTGAGCAGGGAGGCCAGGGGGTTGAGGCCCTGACGGAGGGTGGGTGGGTGGCAAGCTCGCGATTTCGGTAGAGCGGGACTTGATTAGGGCTGAATGAGCGAGCGGGGATGAGATGGGATGTGTGATGAGCGGAAGGGTGTCCTTTAGCGACGCGGGGGGAAGGGGGATGTCGCTCTCACTGACGCTTGGCAGGCTTTCGAGCAAAGGCGATGGCTGGAGTTCCCGAGCAAAGTGCGGCTGGTAGTAAGCGTTCAGACAGCCTAGATTACCATCCTATCGACGAGCTCTGCTACCGACTCTGTTTACGCGCCGTTTCCCCCTCCCTCCTCCGATTCCGAACTCGCGAATCCCCACACGCACGAGGCGCTCGGCACCGACGACACGCACGCGTTCGACTGTTTCGACGACGAGCGCGCATCGCGCGCGACAGCCTCACGCAGGTCAACGTCGTCCCCGGCTTGGCTGGCGCACTCCCCCTCCTCGCGTTCCCGCACATCACCAGCGCCGCCATCGGGTGGCAGAGCGGCGACGCGGACATCGACGGCGCGGTCGAGCTAATGTGCAAGGCATGGACGGAGCTGGGGAGCTGGTGGAGCACGCTCGATGCGCTTGCCCCATATATCCCGCGAGTGACCTTGCGCACGCTCATCCCGCTCGCGCGGCACTGCCCGAGGTTCAAGAGGTTTTTCCTCACGAATCTGGACCTCTCCGACATACCCGATCCGGTGGAGGTGCGAGAGGACGAGCGCGTAGAAAACAGGCCGATCGTACTGGAGTTCATGTGCTCGGTATTGTCGTACGCGCAGGTGAAGCCAGTGGCGGCCTTCCTGACGAGCGTCTTTCCTAAGGGAGGGATAGAGCGCATAGAGCCCAGGATGTCAGAGGAGATGTGGGGGAGGGTATGCGCGAGCATGGGCATCAACCTCGGCAAGCTGGACTTTTTCTCATGTGAAAAGTATATCGTGTAGGTGGGAGTGCCGCCAGTTTAGAGACTTATAGTGACCTTCGACCGTAACTTGAGACCGATCACGCCTCCACCACGACCATCCCAGCTCGGGATTGTGGCACGGCAGACGGGGCACCTGCAGCAAGGATTAGAATGATACACACAATGAATACGCTTCTGTGTCTTACTTTGCCTCCAATCCTTCCGGCGTATGCGCCGCACGCAACATCGCGGTCTTGACGGCCGTAAACAGACAGCTCCCACAGCAAATATGGCCGCAGGGAGTCAGAGTCGCATTCGTCGGCGCGAAGAAGCATATGGGGCAGGTATACTCGGCGAGGGGCGTCTGCTTGGGCGGTGGCGCGGGCGAAGCGGGCTCCGCTTTGGGCTCGGGTGTAGGTGAGCGCGTAGCGGCGCGCTGTTTCCCCTTCGCGTTGGCAGAAGGAGAGGGGGGCCTGTCAACGACCCCCAGCCCTATGTCGGGCAAAGTCTCGACGTCGGCGTACTGCTCTGGCTGCTCCAGTACGTCCGCGACTGTCAGGTCAAAGCCAACTTCCCCGGGGCCCTCGCCAGATAGAGCCTGCGTGTTTCCCGCCGAGAATGTACCGATTTCTGATCCGTCGTGCGGAGCGTGTATAGCAGCAATCCTCCGCGATCTTTTGGGCTGCCTTGGCAGGCTGACTGATCTGTGCTTGCGCTTCCTACTTCCAGACGAGGATCCGGTCGTAGACACACTATCAGTGAGATCAATGGATCCCGGAGTAGATGCACGAGAGCTGGCGGCAGAACGCGCAGCGCGAACGAGAGATGCGGCGCGTGAGCGAGGCTCGCGGTTCCTGCTGGTCATGGGCGTTGGGAGAGGAGAGTCGCCCGCTCGCGTGCAGCCCCTGTCGACGTGTCGCGCTCGCTGCCCGCATCGACTCGCTCCTTGGCATTCACTTTTCCCGCAACTACTGGGGACGTTGACGCGGCAACCGCGGACGGCGACAGTCTGAGGAGGAAGTCCGATTGCGACGGCGTAGAGAGGACGCGAGGACGCGGGGACGGGAGGGTGGCTGCGTGGTGGGATGTGCTCGCTGTCGCGCCGGCTCCGACGAGCTGTCAGCGCGTACGCGGTCGGGTGTGCCAGCGATCGCAGGAGGAGAGAAGGGCGCGAAGGATGCCGGCACGCCAGCTGTCAAGGCGCGACGTCATCGCCGCGGGCTTCCGAGTCTGCGTTCGAGTCTCGCATTACTTGTCGGGTGACGGCGAGTCCAGCTGGAATCGAGTCGGCGTCGAGTCAGCGTCGAGATGGCGGTCTCCGGCGGTTGTCCCTGCGCGCCCCGCGTGACGTGACCGAACATCAACCGTCGCGTTTCCTAATCGGTCAAAAGTGAGAAAATTCGCATCTACGACCTCCTGTAATTGCTATCTCGCGATCCGCTGCAGCTAGCAACTTCGGACAAGGTGCGGCGGGAGTGTAACCTTGAAACTAAGACATCCCCCAGGTTACAAGTCGCTGCAATCGCTCCTGCCTGTGTTATTCCCTCCGAACTCGCTGGGAAAGCGTGACACCTCGGCTCTAACAATTGTGCAGGCTCGAGTTCTTCTCCGTTTCCTGTCGTTCAAAGACGAAATTGCAGGGTGTGGGTAGGCCAACCTTTCTGCAAAACTGCTAGTCCCTCCCCCTCCTTGCTCCCCTCCTCTCGATTTTACTCTTCCAGTCACTCTCCTCTGCCACCAGCGCCCACCATCACGGACCCCGCTCCAGCCATCACAAATCGTCCGTTATCCACGATAATCATTCCGTGATCTCGCTCGGACATCGTTCGATGGCTATTAATCGCCGTCGAGGGCTCGCCTCGACCCTGCCACGCCTCTCTTCCGTCGTACAAGCTCTCATTTACCTTCCGCGAGCTGATCCGTAGCTGCTCGAGACCCAACCATGGGTGGGGCATATAAGCTACGGGCGTAAGGTGGGTGCACAATGAGTCTGCTCTCTATTCCCATGCTACACATCGAGTACAAGTCTCAAGACGGCCTACGAGCGTACAGGTGACAAGCGCTGTGGGTGAGTAGGAGAGAATGGACGGAGCGCAGGGGGATCGAGAGTGCAGCCGAGGTGTTGACGGAGGAGATGTAAAGGTCGCGGGCGAGATGAGAAGCCGATGGGCAAGAGTAGCCGTGGTCGAGGCTGCGGGGATGATCGAGACGCTGTCGAGGGGCTGAGGAGATAGAGAAGGAGACGAGAAGACCGAGACAGAGGTGAGAAGACCATGGGGCAGATGTCGGGATGGCGGTGATGCTTGAGGCTCGGCTGAGGATCAAGGGTCGACTCGAGCGAGCGGGTCAAGGGTCGAGACTTGTCAGGTTGTCAAACAGTCAGTCATGAGCAGGTCAAGACCGAGAACGAGCAAGTCAAGACCGAGAATGAGCAAGTAAAGACCGAGCAAGTCCAGACCAAGCAAGCTCGAGCTCAACAGCCGAGGTCATATTGCATAGTACACATCATGACAGGAGTATAGAGGACTTCGCAGCAAGAGTGAGAAAGCGCTCGAGAAGGTAGAAAGATATCCGGGAGGTCAGAGAAGCGCTCGAGGGGTCCGTGAGACGCTCACACCATCGTCAGAACGTTTCGAGGGTCAGAAACGCGCTCGGAGGTCAGCAAAGCGTTCGAGAGCAGCAACGCACTCGACTGCCGATCTAGGTGGTCGAGAAGGTTTCGGGTAAGTAAGGCTGCCCAGATCATATAAGTAGACTGCCTAGATCGCATTATCCCGCTCGGCGGACGAATATTCATGGCTATATTAGTTGAAGGGCTTTGTAGATGCCTTGGGGGCCTTCGTAGATCACTTGAGGGGACTCGGGCGCCATGAAATCGTTTGGGAGGCGACGGACAGTGATGGGGAGCTTTAGGATAGCGAGGGGAGCGCCGGGAAGCTTGGGGTAAGCGCTGGTGAGCTTGGGGTGAGCGCTGGGCAGCTTGGAGGAGCGCTGAATGGCTCGGGGTGAGCACTGAAAGCTCGAGGCGAGACGGGTCGCGCTTGAAGCGGCAAGCGAGGGTAAATAACGAGCTCGAGAGCGGAAGCGGAAGCGAGAATGGAGGGGAAGTAGGAGCGCCTGCGTAAGAGCGAAGGCGAGGGTGGAGGTCGCACTTGGGAGGGAGCTGACGTGAGAGCGATGGTAGAGACTACAGCTGGATGAGACAGCGAGGAGTCAGTGTTTGACTTACATGTGTGAAGTATAGTACGTACCTTATTACTCCGCTCGCCGGACGGAATTCTATTGCTTCAGCGCTTGAATCGACGGGAGAGCATCGGGGCTAAATTCGACGCACGAGAGTTGACGAGGAGTAGTTGCGGCAAAGCCACAGTCGCCCGAGAGTCGTCAAGGTGAAGCGAAAGTCGTTGAGCTTGCACAGCGGGAATAACGATGCTGGGAGCGTCGATGACGTGCAGATAGCGCTGGGGGTTTGATGCTCGGGTTTGCGTGACGAAGATGGTGCTGCCGAGTCGGTGAGGGCGTCAGCGAGAGCGCAGGCTTAGAGAGTTGGTATCTTGATTCCTGCACGTGCATTGGCCGCCGCGGGATTCTGGAGCGTCGTGAGCTGTCGGCTTTCGCATGAGAAGCAGGTTACGCACCATAAATCCCTGCTCGTCGGACGAAAATACATTGCTTCAGCGCTTGATGAGGTGGTTGGCAGGAACGAGGGAGCGACGCAGGGTACTTCTCGCTCGTAGACGAGCCTGCGAGTCGTGGGATGGCGAGCCCGGCGGTCGGCGAACAGAGATCTGGGCCGTGAGTCTTCCGGCCTCATTCGGCGGACGAGAATCATTCGTGTCGTCGTGATCTGGGCACTTGTAAGCGTTGGGGTAGATCGCAAGAGTCGTGTCACGCACCGCGCGGCGCCGCTCGGCGGACGCCAATGCATTGCTTCGACACTGTAGGCTTGAAGGAGGCATGCGGTGACGAGAGCGAGTCTCGGTGCGACGGTCTAAAGCGCAGTGAGCGCAGAGTTCTTGCGGGTTGAGCGCAGCACGTACCGTATATGCCCCAAGTGTGCGAAGATCCTTATACTCATCGACTACTAGTACAGCGCTCTGCGCGGACGAGTTGCAGGTATTCTAAGGCGGAGCGTTGAGCCTTGTGGCGCGTGACGACGTGAAAACTGAGCGAAAACGCTCGCAGCTATTGCGAGCTTAACACCGATGACGAGACGGCATGGGAGGAAGGACACGGCGCGCGAAGTGCCGCCACTGGGAAAGTCGGGCGGCGAGACGGGCGGTCGGCGGTCCGAGAGCGCACGAGAGCGACCGAAGACTGAGATCCCCGGGGCTCAGGGTCCCGCACAGACGCGACAACCTACCAAAGTCGGAAGGTTTTGACGAGAAGCCCGTCGGAGTCAACAAATCGACATGTCTCCCCGCGCGGGGAATTCGCCTAGGCCACTCCGCGGGGGTGCCTGAGTAGAGGACATCTTGTTCTCGCCGATACACGTGTTTTGAGCCGCGCGACGCTCAACGCAGAGGTCGCCGCTGAAGGGCTTGCGCCGTGAAGGTTTCTCGCAGCGAAATGAGCAAAATAGATGGAATTGACATTAGATAGTCGGGTTGAGTGAGAAGAGAGGTCCCCAGACATCTCCAAAGTCACCTGCAGAGCGAGGAGGCGGTCGACGGGGCGGCGCGCAGACACGGGGAACGACGGTGACGGCCGGGAACAAGGAGCGTGCCTTAGGCGCCGGGCGCTTACCGGCTTCCGCCCCGCCGCGCCGGTCGTCGGCAATTCCCGACCGCGCTTCCCCCGCCCGCCTCCCGCATTCTGCGCCCATCGCCATCGCCCCCCGTACCTTCGACAACGGCATCCTCGTCGCCACGCGATCACCTTTTCATCTCCAACGCAAGGACCAGACAGCGCAACGAGATCTTTGAGAACGTCTTGAACGACACGGCTGCTGCTTCACGACGCGATCTCAGCCTACGGCACCTATCCCCCATCACCCCCCGCACCCACGATGGGTCCAGACATGTCCCAGACACACCTCCGAAACATTCCCGAAGGCGCACTTGGTGTCGGTCAGCAGGGAATGCGTCCTCTCTTATCGTAACTGAAGGTCGAAACAAGATGTATGCATACCCGACCCGAATATCCATGGTAAGTCGTCACTTGGGTGGAAATACCTGACCTCCAAGGAATGAAGGGGGGAACCTGGGAGAGACGTTTTATGCAATTCCGACTCGCCTCCGCCGCGTATTGAGGTCTGTAGGACGTCGGGAAGGGCGTTTTGAATATGTGGCGTCGCGTTTGGTGCGCTCATACAATCACCACATGGGCCTTTGCTGACCGGATAAACACAGATACATAGTCTTCAAGTACTATACATGTGACTCAGGAAGTTTGGACATCCCCGGCGCCATTCCCATCTCGCAATACACACTGTCTCCTCGTCCTCCCGCATTTTCCCCATCACAAACGCGTCCTTTACACGACGCCCAGCCCCGTGTAAGTCACTCTGGCTACACTATCCAACATGCTTGAAGCATCACGACGCTCCCCGGACTCGGCCTCGGCGTGCAAATTGCCGAATATTTGCTCGCCGCCATTCACCACCCCACGACTTCCTCCGCTTTCCGGCATGTGGATCCCTCCGAACGCGACGCTCTAGACACTCAAATATTAGATGAGAAGCTTGGAAGCTTGATGCGCGCCGGCGGCGGCCTCGGCGCGTCCGCGCCCACTCTGCTATCCTCACCTTGGCGAGAACAATGGACCAGCCCCAATTTCCCCTCGCCGAGGACCGCCAACCATCTTGGCATCGCCGCATACACGTGTCCCGTCACTGCCGGAGCTTTGAGATAGCGAGTCGGTGAGGAGGAGGCGCTTTTGGCGTGCCGCCGTCCGCGCAGCTCAAAGCCTGCTAAATGGAGATAGAGCGTGATGGCAGCAAGTTGGACTTTTTCCCGGTCTCTGCTGTGTCGCACCCGCGCCACGTCAGCACCGCCACGTGTTGCGCGACTCTCCTCGAGATCTTTGCGACCTTACTGACGCTGCGGGCTAGTGGTCGCGGTCGAGCAGGCGCTGTACAACGTCCTGCAGCGTGCGCGCCACCCAACGGACAGATCGCATGAACCCCCGTCCTTCCCCTCCGGAGGCCACGTGCATGGCATCCCAAGCCCGGGTGAGCAAGTCTCGACGCATTTTTTGCGCGCTCTGGCTGACATTCGCGCAGGGGAGCGGCGGAAGATTGAATGCGCGCTGCGCGCGCATCCCCCCAATCTTCCGACTTTTCGGTGGGCGGGTCCCGGTCGCGGACAGCCGAGGTCTGATCCGGAAGTATACGACGCCGGTCTGGAAGATTGGGCGGCGACTGGGCACGGCGTTGGGCCGTTGCGAGGTATAAAGGTTAGGGCATCTCACCGCTTCAATCAGCAAGCCACTCCCTTCCTCATTCTTTCCTTCTTCTTCTTCTTCTTCTCCTAACCGCCTCTTCGTGGATATCTTATGACCACCATTCTATCTGAGTGCTCTCATCTTTCGCTTGTTCTGAGCCTTACAACCCTCTTTCCCTCAGGTCGAGCATCCCCCTTCCGCATTGACCGGTAAGTCTGCCTTCCTTGGCTACTACTAATTGTCAAACTCACCCCACTCCTTACTCAGATGCTCTAATACTTATTAAGCGCGCACTTGCTCTCCTACAAGCGCTGTACACATTTACTGATCCCTTTCACAGGCTTCTTCCAACGCGCACCATCAATCGACACCAAACGCATTTGCCGGTCTCGATGCTCCTCGGGTAAGTCTATCGATTATATATCTATCTATTGCGCCTTCTAACTAATTGAACAGTGATATCACTTAGACGCTGCTGTCTGACCCTTGCTCACCGGGTAAGCACGGACGGTATTTTCGATGTCGCACCACCCTGACCGGGCGCGCTCTAGGCCATCACGTCAGCCCCCACGACTCGCTACAGCCACTCTCATCTCACCACCATCGTCGACGACGCCGCGCTCATCTTCCACGCCTCGATGCGCCCCCAACAGGCCTACAACTGGAAGTGGGGGGACGCGGTCGCCCTTTTCCGCAACTCCCGACCTCCCTGACTCGGCGCGTCTAGCACCCTGGGCGATGCGGATGGCATTGTGGTATGCGGTGAGCACGGCATTATCCGCTCATGCATGCTTATCTTGACGGGCGAGAGAGAGACCGCTCGACGGTGCTCGGGTTGCAGCGGGCCGCTGTACGGCCTCCGACGGCGACTGGGCTGCAAGTTCACTGCCGTCTCTGTTGAGGAGCAACAGGATAGTCTTACTACCGCGCTCGTCTCGGTAATTCTCCGCTCGTTCTGACCGCCAGCTGCACCGTACTCAGCGAAGACATAGAGCGCGAAGTCATCCTGAAGCCCCGCCCTCTTTTCCTTGCTCCCGGCGCGACTTCGAAGACGTGTGAGCGTCGTCAGCATCGGTGAACCAATGCCCCTCCGTCGCGTCTCGTGGCTCACCTCAGCGCAGGCGATGAGCGCAGCTTTCGGCACGCTGTTGCCCGCCCCCTTCCTTCCTCTACGTCGGCGTCTGGGCTATCCCCGACTGTCGTCGTCGCCACGCGCAGCGATTCAGGACACCTCCCTCCTCCTTCTAGGCCCTTTGCCCGGGTCATTCCGACAGCACGCGATGATGCAGGGGGCCTTTTCTCGAAACTCGGTGGCGGGGGTACCCAAGTCAGCCGTAATAGCGAGCTGGGGGTGAAGGGGGACTGGTGAGTACACGAACGCGCAACAAGCCCTACACTGGAGGCGATATTGCATTAGATTTCCGCCTTCAGCTCGTGCTGACTCGGTTTCAGATGCCTTTGCGTGGACACCCGGGCCGCCGGAGACATACACGCGCGCTCTCGGGCGAAGGAGGCGATGAGGGTGGTCCGCCATCGGTCCTGGTGGGTTTGCTCGCCCCCTAACCGCATTGATAGTTCCTCTGACCCCCTTCCAAAGTGAATTATCGACATGTCTCGCGCCATGAGACGCACACGCCAGCCCCCTTTGCCGATCCAGGTGAAGAGGGAGGGGTATATCTCCTTGAGAACTGGAGGAGAGGGGGCATTGCGGCGCGCCGGTGAGTTATGCTCATCATATATCAACCTCGCTGACCCCTTTTTCCATAATTTCTCTTAGGTCCCCCGACTGCCGGAGGCACGCGCGCGCTCCCTCTTCCAGAGCATGAGATGGGGAAGGGGCCCTCCACACTTCTTTGAGGGCAAGCAGCGCGCTGGGAGGGGGTGGGATGCTGGGTAAGTTATGCGCTTTTTATTCTTATTTCTGCAAATCGCCCTTACTGGACCCATTTTCAGATCAGGCTGAGACGCCGAAGGCATACGCGCGCTGCTTCGGGCAAGAGAGCCGACGGGGGAGAGGACTCGCCCCGCATCACGCCGAGTGGGAGTGATATGCGGAGGCACTGTGACGCGGGAGGGGCGAGATTATCGGTGAGTTGCTCCGTTCACCGCTCGCGCTCCTTTGCGATGAAGACCGCGGCGAGGGTGTACCTCCCCCCTACCTTTTGATCTCATCGGGCTGACCCCGCTTCTGAAGGATTTTAAGACGACTTTTCGCCGACCCCGAGCCGCCGGAGGCATGCGCGGGGTCCCTCGGCGAAAGATGCGACGAGGGCAGGCCGCCCTCCCTTCCCTTCCTCAAAAACTGACAAACCGAACATCACGCGACCATTGACCAACGTTTTGGTGAGGTCGAGCCGCCGGAGGCGCGCGGGCACCCCTGGTGAAGGCCGCGAAGAGGGCGGGGGCCCTCGCTCTTCTCTCCGACCTGAGTCAGGTTGGGGGTACCTTGACCTTGTGTATGATGTCTTTTTGCGGAGCCTGAGCCGCCGGAGGCGTGAGGGGCATCCCTCGAGGGGGGATGCGACGAGGGTGGGGGATCCCTCCATCCGCTGATCTCAAGGCCCCCCTTCGCATGATTTTGAGTGACTTCAAGCGTATTTGAGAAACCGGAGGTGAGCGCGGGCCCCCTCGTTAAGGAGTGCGACGAGGGTGGGTCCCCCTCCCTCCCCCTTCCCCTGTCATAAGCGTACTGACCCGCCCTTTATAGACCTTGAGACAATTTTCGACGGCGGCAAGCTGCCAAGGTGTGCGCGGGCTCCCTCGGGCGAATGACACGACGGGAGAGGGTCCTCCCCCGCCCTTTTGAGGAAAAGGGATGGTCGCGAGGACGCTTGAATGCGAGAGGGGGTGAAGTTGTCGGTGTGTTATACCCCTTCCTTGTTTTTGGTCAAACTTACTAACTCGCATCTTCGCTAGGTTGAGCAGCCGAAGGCATGCACACGGTGCTTCGGGCGAGCTAAGCGCTGGGGGAGGGGTTCCTTCTACCTCTGGGAGCGCGAAGGAGTGGGCGATGGGCGCCTTTCCCTCGCGAAAGGGGATGGTGTTATTAACGAGTCATTTCCATCACTTTCTTTCTGTTGCAGCGTACTGAGTGCCTCCCATTCGCAGCCGGGTAGAGCCGTTGGTGGCATGCTTGGGTGGGTACCCTCCCCCACCCCCCATCTCCAAAGACTGACGATTTCCGACGGGGTCCAGCCGCCGGAGGCGCACGTGGGCCACTCGAATGGGATGCGTTGAGGGTAGGACTCCCTCCCTCCACTCCCCCTTCTCCATAAGCCCGCTGACCCCCTTTTCAAAGATGTTTTGACGACTTTTCGCTGACTCCGAGCCGCCGGAGGCACGCGTGGGGTCCCTCGGTGAAGGATGCAATGAGGGTGGGTCACCCTCTCGCCCCCTTACTTGTCATGAGGATGCTGACCGCCTTATACAGGATCTTTCGGACAACATCTCGGCGAGGGGGAGCCGCCGGAGGCGCGCGTGGGGTTGCTCATGAGAAAGCGACGAGGGTGGGTTACCCTCCCCCCCCCTTCTAATCGCAAGCGGACTTACCCCCCTTTCGCAGGATTTCGCACGCCTTCCGATGAGGCCGCATTGCCGGAGAGCGAGGCTCCTAGATGAGATTTGTGGCGGGGGTGGGGTACCCTCCCCCTCCCCCATCTCCTCAAAGTCGTCAGGAGCGTGCTGACGCCTTGTATGGCGATTACTTGGATGGGATCGAGCCGCTGGAGGCGTGCTCGGGCGCCCTAGGTGAGCATTGCGAAGGGGGTGGGGTACCCTCCCTTCCCCTTCCCCTTTCCTTCTCAAACGCGTATTGATTCACACTCGGCAGACAATCTGGTGCCTCCAAATCGCCGGTGGCATGCACGCGCTCCCTAGGTGAGCTCTGCGTCGAGGGCGGGATATCCTCCCCACCCCTCTTCCTGCTATCGGCGACTGGCCGCTGTCTGCAGTGCGCTCGTGCCTGCGTGGTCACCGACGCTCAATGCGTGCTGTTGGTGTGACGAAGGCGATGGGGGAGGGAATTTCCTCCTCCCCCCTCTCTGGCGAGGGCGGGTGTTATACCGTAGCGGAGGTGAGCTGTCTTGCCCCCTATTCCTTCCCTCCCCTTCTCGCCTCTTTCCTGCCCCCTACCCTTCCATCCTCCTTCTCTGGCGCCTTCCCCTTTCACCCCTCCCTCTCATCCTTCGATATCCCTTCATTGCCCCTTCCCCTCACGACGCACGCTACCTTCTACGCGATTCTCAAGCCTGGGAAACCGTGAGGTGGGGCGCGGCTGCGAGGGGAGGGGCATTGAGACCTGGATCGGTGCGCCCAAGGCGTGCTTTCTTATTCACTCACTGACTTTCTGCAGTTACGAGTGCGATGGGACCAACCGCGTTGACGCGCTATCCGCTCTCGTCCTTCGCAAGGGGAGGAGGGAGGGGGAGGAGACCGAGCGCTTCGGTCTGCACGTTCGAGAGGAAGGGATTGCAGGAGGGGGCTCGTGATGAGAAGAAGGCGACGTGGATGCTACGTGCCTTTCTTTCGAGCTGCTTGGGGTGGGGCTCCGAGTCGCTTTGACCCGGGCTCGACGACGCGACGTCGAGTGGGGTGTAACTCACGAGTTCAATTAATTACGACTCTGGCATCTACGTGAAGCAATACAACGCTTAGAACAAGCGGACGGGCTTGCCCGTGGTCGTCTTGATGTGCAGCGACCTGACGTTTTGTCAGTTCTTCTTGAGCAGGGAAACCAGGAGGTCGATGCCCAGACGGAGGGTGGGTGAGTGAGCAAGCTCGCAATTTAGGTGGAGCGCGACTTGATTAGGGCTTGATGAGCGAGGGGCGATGAGATGGGATGTGTTATGAGCGGAAGGGTGTCCTTTAGCGAGGCGGGGGGCGGTAGCGATAGGGATGTCGCTCTGACTCACGCTTCGAGGGCTTTCGAGAGAAGGCGATGGCTAGGGATTCCGAGGAAGGTGTGGCTTGTAGTAAGCGCGCAGATAGGCTATGTACCATCCTATCTACGAGCGCTGCTACTGACTCTTTTCACAGGTCCCTTCCCCCTTCCTCCTCCGATTCCGAACTCGCGAATCCCCTAACGCACGAGGCGCTCGAGGCGCTCGACAACACGCGCGTGTTCGACTTTTTCGACAACGAGCGCGCATCGCCCGCGACAGTCTCACGCAGGTCGAGGTCGTCACCGGCCTGGCTGGCGCGCTCCCCTTCCTCGCTCTCCCGCACAGCACCAGCGCCGCCATCGGGTGGCAGAGCGGCGACGCGGACATCGACGGCGCGGTCGAGCGGATGTGCAAGGCGTGGACGGAGCTGGGGAGCTGGTGGAGCACGCTCGATGCACTTGCCCCGTATACCCCGCGAGTGACCTTGCGCACGCTCATCCCGCTCGCGCGGCACTGCCCGAGGTTCAAGAGATTGTTGCTCACGTATCTGGACCTCTCCGACATACCCGATCCGGTGGAGGTGCGAGAGGACGAGCGCGTCGAAAACAGGCCGATCGTACTGGAGTTCATGTGCTCGGTATTGTCGTACGCGCAGGTGAAGCCAGTGGCGGCCTTCCTGACGAGTGTCTTTCCTAAGGGAGGGATAGAGCGCATAGAGCCCGGAATGTCAGAGGAGATGTGGGGGAGGGTATGCGCGAACATGGGCATCAATCTCGGCAAGCTGGACTTTTTCTCATGTGAAAAGTATATCGCGTAGATGGAAGTGCCGCCAGTTTAGAGACTTATAGTGACCTTCGACCGTAACTTGAGACCGATCACGCCTCCACCACGACCATCCCAGCCTGGGATTGTGGCACGGCAGACGGGGCACCTGCAGCAAGGATTAGAATGATACACACAATGAATACGCTTCTGTGTCTTACTTTGCCTCCAATCCTTCCGGCGTATGCGCCGCACGCAACATCGCGGTCTTGACGGCCGTAAACAGACAGCTCCCACAGCAGATATGGCCGCAGGGAGTCAGAGTCGCATTCGTCGGCGCGAAGAAGCATATTGGGCAAGTATATTCGGCGAGGGGCGTCTGCTTGGGCGGTGGCGCGGGCTCAGCGGGCTCCGCTTTGGTCTCGGGTGTCGGTGTGCGCGTGGCGGCGCGCTGTTTCCCCTTCGCGTTGGTAGAAGGAGAGGGGGCCCTGTCAACGACCCCCAGCCCTATGTCGGGCAATGTCTCGACGTCGGCGTACTGCTCCGGCACGTCGGCGACTGTCAGGTCAAAGCCAACTTCTTCGGGGCCCTCGCCAGAAAGACCAGCTTCAGCCTGCGTCTTTCCCGCCGAAGATGGACCGGCTTCGAGTTCGTCAGGCGCGGCCTGTATGGCAGCAATCCTGCGTGATCGTTTGGATTGCCTTGGAAGGCTGGCCGATCTATGCTTTCGCTTCCTGTCTCCAGACGTAGATCCAGCCGCGGACGTACTATCAGTGAGGTCAAGAGAGCCTGGAGTAGATGCACGAGAGCGGGAACGAGAGCTGGTGGCAGAACGCGCGGCGCGGACAAGAGATGCAGCGCGTGAGCGAGGTTCGCGGTTCCTGCTTGTCATTGGTGTTGGTAAAGGAGAGTCGTCCATGATGAGCAGAGTCCACGAGTTCAGCTCGCTCTCTTTCAGAACTTTCCCGGTGTCGAACCTCTGGATCTGATGATGGACGGGAGAAAGTCCGGGAGGAGGTCCGGAGGATTTCCAGTGATCCGGTCTCACGGGCCGTAAACGCCGCTCACGTGTAGCCCCTGTCGACGTGTCGCGCCTCCTCGTCGACTCGCTGCTTGTCATTCACTTTTCCCGCAATTACTGGCGACGTCGACGCGGCAACCGCGGACGACGACAACGACAGCGACGATGGCGGCCCTCATTGACAAGCTGGAAGCAGTGCTTCCCCCCGGTCTCGCCAAGTTGGACGCCTTCCCCAAGCTCCCCGGCACGTACAAGGCGCGCTCCGAGTCAAGAGGGTTCCTCACTCTCTTCGTCGCCTTCATCTGCTTCATCCTCGTCTTCAATGACATCTCGGAGTACATCTGGGGCTGGCCCGACTACGAGTTCAGTGTGGACAGGCATTCGTCTTCGTTCATGAACATCAACGTCGATATGGTCGTGAATATGCCGTGCAGATGTGCGTGACTAGTCGATCATCATTCGAGCTGCCAGCTCACATCCCCTAGTCATCAGTGTAGATCTGCGGGATGCAGTTGGCGATCGCTTGTTCCTCAGCAACCATGGTCTTCGCCGCGACGGGGTGAGTGGAGTTATCCCCCTTCCCCGATCACTCGCTCATACCCGAGTAGACAAAATTCGATGTTGGGCAAGCCACGAAGCTCAAGTATGCGCGTCCTCCAGTCGCACGTACTTTCTCTCACACCCGCCCAGGGAACACGCCAGGGCCCTCTCCGCCCGCGAAGCCGTCGCCCAAGGCCGGAAGAACCGCGGACTCTTCTCCGGACTCTTCGGCGGCAAGTCGAAAGACCTCTTCCCTCCCACCTACAACTACGAGCCCCATGGAAGCGCCTGCCGCGTTTGGGGCTCCCTTGAGGTGAAGAAAGTCACAGGTACAATTCAATGATCCGAGTCGCGGCGCGCGTCTGACCTCTTTCGCAGCAAACCTCCACATCACAACTGCCGGACACGGATACGCGAGCAGGGAACATGCAGATCACAAAGGTAAGTTGGAATAACATTGACTACGTACTGCTTCTGACCTGTCGCTGTCAGTCATGAACTTGACACATGTCATCTCCGAATTTTCCTTTGGCCCTCACTTCCCCGACATTGTACAGCCCCTTGACTATACCTTCGAGGTCGCCAAGGATCGTACGTCGCTCCCCACACTCCCGCTTCCTCACATACTGACTTACCCCAGCCTTCGTCGCCTACCAATACTACCTCCACGTCGTCCCTACCACGTACATAGCCCCACGCTCCGCCCCGCTGAGCACCAACCAATACTCCGTCACTCACTACAAAAAGGTCTTCGAGCACAACCAAGCCACCCCCGGCATCTTCTTCAAATTCGACATCGACCCGCTCGCGATCCAGATCCACCAGCGCACGACCTCCTTCGCGCGCCTCTTCATCCGCGTCGTGGGTGTCGTCGGTGGCGTGTTCGTCTGCGTGTCCTACGCGCTGCGTGTCACTACGCGCGCCGTCGAGGTCGTCACGGGCGACGTTGGCGGGCCCGCGCTCGACACGGCGGAGGCCTCGGGCGCGAAGGTCGGCCTGCGCGCGAAGTTTGGCGGGAGCGAGCTGAGGGCGCGGTCGCGCGTCGTGCGGCAGGGCTCGGGATGGACGGTCGAGGGCGGCAGCAACTACGGCGGCGGGAGCGTGCCCGCGTCGCCCTTCCCCGGCTCGCCGTTTGCAGGCGGCGCCCCGGCCTCCCCATACGTCAACACGCCGTTCACGCCCTCCTTCGGGCCGCGCACGCCGTCCGGCGGAAGCACCTTCGGGCCGCAGGGCATGCGGCGGCAGTCGAGCAACCTCAGCGGCGCGCAGGCCCCATCGAGTCCATACGTGCCCGCAAGCCCCTACGTCCCGACGCCAGGCTCGCAGTACGCCCCCAGCCCGTACGCCGGCGCGCAAAGCCCCTTCGTCGGCTCGCAGCAGCACCTCGTCTCGCCGCAGCCGTCGTACGAGATTTTCCCGCCGACGCCCAACCCGCCAAATGGCAGCGGGAGCTTCGCGTCGCAGCAGCAAGCGCATCCGCCGAAGCCGCCGAAGAAGGAGGATTGAGGGGTGTGTGTCCCTTGACAGTGCTCTTCTCGGCATTGTGTGGAAGTTGTCGTTGGGTATGGGATAGCCGGACGAGCAGCACGTCGCTCGGTCGCATACTACCCAGTGTAGTTGTAGGTTTAATATGCTTTGCTCTCTATTTATACGGGATATACCGCAGCTTCCTGGTATGAATGGCCAAGCGACGCCAGCAAGGCAGGCCGTGTTACCAGAATTTGTGACGAGCTTCACTCATCACGTAGACAACATCAACATGACCATGCTCGGAAACAGCCGAAATCCATGGGTAGCAACTGAATTTCCGGGCACAAAGCGACGAGGGCGTTGGTACATACATATAGAGGATGATAAATACGAGACTATTTTGTCGTTAAATATGTAAAACGTAGTACATATGAAGCTGGCCATCGATATTCGTCAGTATCTCCCCGAGAACGTTGACATCAATTCGTATCCTGCAGAATAGCCAAGGACTGGCATCGGTAATCGTCGTTAGCCAAGTAGACGAGACGAGCGCCAGGGAAGTGGTACTGAAGAAAGGTCACGATGGTGACCGCACGACTCTCCGGGAAAGCGCCTATATCGAAGGTCAAGGAATCTCGTTGCATCCGAGTCGACATGTCCTCAGGCGCTGAGGCTGATGCCGGAAAGCTGCTCGCGGGGTCAATGTCGATACGGAGGTGGGATAAATTGGGACAGCGTCTCTCGAGTGGCAGAAGTCCGCGCAGTGTCGCAAGCTTGACTGTACTCCGTGCGGAAGTTATCGTCCGCCGCATGTGCGTCAGGCTGAGGCGCTGAAGACGCGGCCACGCAGCGGACATGCAGTCGATCGCGCCATCGATGTCCGCTGCGGGGTGCATGAAGACGACCTCCGCATGCTCTATGTGCGGGAATGAGAGGAGGTCGGCGAAGAGCTTGCTCGCTGCTAGCGCGCGGCCATCGCTATGCGTCGGGACGCGAATATCGCGCAGCGAGGAAGCCATGCAGCAGCGGCGGATTGTGGAGTAAAGCGTCAACGCTGCTGTATGCTTGCCGCTGGACGTCGCGGCGACGTACGCAGGCTCGACAGGAGACGAAGTCCAGGTGATGACTAAGCGGTGGAGCTCGAGCGCCTCGGAGGAGAGTGCGCTGACCGTCCTGGCTGCATCGCATAGACCCTGACTGTCTACGCGAAGGACACGCAAGCTGCGGTATCCAAATGCATCTGCTGGCGGAGGTAGTGGGTCTATGTGCGCAAGCTGAAGGCGCTCGAGGTTCGGCAAGCCTCTGAAGGCGACTAGGGGCGGCAGCAGACCTGTGTCCGGCGCACAGATTTCGCGTACCCCGCTGAGCTTGCAAAGATTGTTCAGATAAGTGAGCTTCCCGGAGCGAGGGTCCTGAATATAGAATGAGGCGTACGACTTCTGCCGCGAGCGATCGAACGAGAAGAGGAGGTGGAGATTATCGTCTAGGGGCAGTGACTTGAGTCCAGGAACGCGGACGGTGTGAAGATTACGCAGCAGCGTGCCACGGTAGGCGAGAGCCTTGAGAACGGAAGCATGCAGCCGAAGAGGAGCTTTGGGGAGGGACGGAATATCCAGGATTTTGACGCGCTGTGCGTAGCTTTGGAATCGATTCCAGACGTCCTCCCGAATGAAGCCATCCGAGTGTTTGTTCACCGACTTATCGGACAGATGAATCGTGTTCTCGTGGGAGGGATCAGTGTAAGATCGACCGTAACGAGTGCAGGACTCACATAGTTCTTCACGTATACGCATGGCCGTAGCGTCAAGAACAGCGGGACCAGCTCCGTCTGCGTCTCCCAAAGCACGTCGAGGGTGACCTGGCTGACAAAACGGGACGCGACCAGAAGAGAAAGCAGGCCACCGTTGCCCTGGTCATGATGGACCGTGCGGACGATCTGCTCCATAAGCTCGTATACGGACGCGACACGAGTGCACGCCGATGCCTTTCTGGATCTTGTTATGCGCCGCCATACAGCCTGCCAAGCTTTGCGCAGCGACTGCATCGTAGAAGGTGGGGTTGAGGAGCACCGGGGGCTGGAGGGAGGGGAGCAGGGTGATGGCAAGACCGCTTCAAAGGCGCTTATAGGCGGGCGCCGCGCCCTCTCTATCATGCGTGGATGTGCCATTTTGAGTGTTTGACCTGAGCATCCGAAGCCACGCCCGCGACAGCTTCGACTTCACAGATGTAAGGACTTCTGTCTCGGGTAAGTGAAAAATCGCTGAATGACAATCGACAGAGGCACTGACCGAATTGAGATAGACAAAATACTGTGCATTTTCGGTGACAGAGAGGTCAAGATTGCACAGCAAGGGCAGAGAATACAACAGTGAGATGAAGTACGTGTCATGGCGGTCGTAAGCGGGCTACCGCACGTGCATGCGCTGATCGACCCTCAAGGCAGCGACATAGCATCGCGCGCGAGCCGCGCTATAGCGAAACGTTCTACGCGGTAGACCGTGGATCCAGAGCGATGCCGAGACTCGTAAGTCGACTCGGTGAAACGAGCCGAATTAATTGCAGCGGAACGACTACACGAGGTTCCAATCCCAGCAGCGTCCTTACCTTTCTCTCGCCCTCCACCTACGCCAGCCGAGCTCTCGCTCGAACGACGGCCTCGTTCCGACAGGTCTGCCGTAGATGAGTGGTGTATCCATTCGGTTGATTCGCGACGCTCATGCAACCCACAAACGGACACTCGACTTCCTCGGCGCGGAAGTGGTCTCTCGCTCGTGTCAGGTGGTGATGCATGTCGGCCCTGTGCTTCATCTTCGTGCACCCGACCCAAGGACAGATGCGGCGCTCGCGTCCGTTCGTGAAGACGCTATCGAGGAATTCCCTGACGTGGTCCTGCAATGCGTGCTTACGGGATACTACATCGAAGACTCGGTTGCAGCCGTGGTCAGATCCGTTGCAGCCCTGCATTCTGCAGGGTATCCAGCGGCCCGAGTATATGGGACATACATCCTCAAGAGAGCAGCCCAAGGCTTTCGCCCATGCCTGCAAGTATCTCTTGGTCTCACGCGCTGGTTGATAGCGGATGCCTTCCTTTACGATCACGGACGGTGTCCGAAGAGGCGCGGGAGCAACCTCTAGAGGCCAAGTTTCCTGATCGCAACACCGCTTGTGGTTACTGAAGATTCAGTCAGATATGGATAATTACCATCTCCGACGAGATTACTTACTTTCGTGTCACATCAAGGTGCGAGGGCGTGGCTACAGTTGACGCTCGGCCTGGTCCGGTGCGAGATGAGGAATGTGCGACTGGAGCATGAGTTTGATCGTCGCTTCTAACATAAGTGTTGAGGATATTTGCCTCAAGCGGTCGTCGTACCAATTGAGGCATCGCTGCTCCGAGGGAACGTTAAGTGGCGAAGTTCAACGACCTCATTGGCGTGCCGAGATCGATGCAAGACTGAGAGGCCGCGGCAGGTTCCGGACGCGTACATGGCAATTGAGGCGCGGGCAGTTGCGTCGCGAACTCGTTGTACGAAGACTTGGCCTCGAAGGGCATGGGGCATGTAGCACAAGCGAAAGGAAACTCGGAGCTGACCGACGTAGAGTAGTCCAGCGTGCGATCGCCGAAGTCCGCTCCTGAGGTGGTCTTCCCAGCGAACTCGATGACCTGCTGCGTTGGCCTCGCGGCGCAGTGGTCCTCGCACCGAAGGGCCTGCAGTGGCTCGTGGTACATACTCGCGGCCGCGTGATGCGGGTTCCAAGGTGCGGGAGTATCAGTATCAGTGATAGGGAAACGCGCTTCCAGCCTGAGGGGAGTATTGTAGGCGGTTATCGATGCGTGCTCGGGAGCGCGCGCAAAGGCTGGATCATACTGGACGTCTTCCGGTCGTATGGTCGTTTCATTATTTTGGTCGTGACCGAATGGAATGATATCGTCGAGCTGGCCGGTCGCGCTGACAGGATGAAGTAGATCGTGCTGCAGATATCGCTGAGCGAGTGCCAGTGGGGAAACGCCAATGAGCCGATTGTCTTGGGTCACTGATGATCGGTCGAAGCCGTGACTGCATGAAACAATTGAGAAGACGATTCGAAGAAAGGCGCAGGTTACGCACCGACATGGTTGGAACTCTCGCGCAGGCTGAGACCAAGGTCTATCAATTACGCCGAACGATGTTTCTTGGGGTGACGGCCTGAGAACAAAGAGAGCTTCAGCTTCAAAGAAAACCCATGCGCGTGTATGGCCGCGCACCTATCTTGATGGTGGACGCCATCACTATCGCCGGTGTAGGTGTTATACCGTATACCCGAGTTGTTGAGCATGGCGGCCGAGCCAGGCCATCCCAACGTCGCTTTGGATGCCTTGATCGTAGTAGGAAACAAAAGCCAACTCTCTGAGTCAAAAGTGGCATACCGCAGTCGAACCAGAGGGTGAGTTCACGTGAGCAGCACGCGAATTGGGTGGCTGCATTTCCTTGGGAGTCAGTACGCAGAACGCGGCGAAGCTTGGCCATAATCACGGACACGCCCTTGCATACCAAGGACAAGCGCGGACCTAGAAGATATCCTTGAGGCCGCATACAAAGAAGATCACCAAGTGCCACCCACCCAAGTCCATCGATCGATGGCCCGGCGTCATTGAATGGCATCCGCCTCAAAGGAGTCATGATCTAGTCGACGCGCTCCGTCGTAGCGGAGATGTACATGTTATGCTTGCGTTCGTGCGAGATGGATAGTTCTCAAAGCACTCGAACTCCTTGCATAGGATCGTTAGCATCCTCGCCCTTGAAGAAGGAAAATCCACCACTTACATCGTTACCACCTGTCATGATGACGATCGTGCGGGTCAAGTAAGCTGATGGCGAATAGTCCGACCAAACAAAAGGTCGAGGGGAGACGACACTGTCGAAGCTGCTAGGCACGCGAGGGACGAGTGTACAAAAACAATGATATTGTAAAGCGGTAGGAGTACACGAAGACGCTGGTATGTTCGACGAGATCGGAGGTGGTCTACACCTGGACGGCTCACAATACGGGGGTATGGACTACGCGCCTGATGCGCTGCCGCTCAACTGGCTCAACATCAAAGACGCCCTCTTGCAGCCATTGAGCAGACGGTCTTCACGTTGCCCTTCCTTGTTCAGCAGGACCTCGTCAATGTCAGCAGTCAGGCTGGGTCGTGATCGGTCATAGACCTTGCCAGTGGGTCGTCCGTCGGAAGAAATCCAATGGGGAGTAGTTCTGAGTCCGTCGACCGGTCGGTGGGGGGCGGGGAACGAGCTTGAGGCCAATGCTCGGAAGCAAGCGAGCGCGTATACAGCCGCCGTAAGCAGAGAAGGCCTTAGCAATTGGCGAGTTCAGTTCAAGATCGGGCCGTGTCCACGCGAAGGATCGACCTTTGAGCAAGCATCTGAGTATCGATGCGATGGCAGAACGCATTGCATGCGCACCTTTCGACCCCTGCAGATTCCTCGGAGGTGTCAAGCCGCCCTAAGTTTTCCGGATCGAGCCTATGGCGCGTTGAGAAATCCTCTGAACAGGTCAATCTGCAGGACGAATACTTCTAGGCTGAGTTCCAGGGCATTTGATCACGGCGAGGTTGTCGGGTTCCATGGTACTCGGAGAACGGCAGAGGTCAGACATCGAAGGAAGTCAAAGCTGACATGTCGGACACGATGAATGTCCCGTACGGACGAGGTCGAGGTTGAGCTGAAGACGCGTTCGGAGTCCAGGATCGTTGTCGCCGGTGATGTACATCAGCCGGCCCTCAAGTGAAAATACCGAATTCGGACGGTCCCATTGTTCTCGCCATGCTCTTGCCTGCGCGCGTTCGAGTGCCTGCTGCTGCCGACTCAGTGCGGCCTGAGGGCGCTCGAGATGTACTCGCCGCAGAAGAGTCCGCTGCCGGAGGACTTCCTCTCGCTGTTCTGGGCGATAGGGACGACGGGTACCCGAGGCGAAGAGAGGAATAGAGCTCCATGTCCGGCGCTCGGGCTCAACGCGTCACTTGAGGGGAAGCGTACTCTTCGGTCGTCCGTTTGCCAGAAAATGAGCTGCGTAGGGGTGCGTCAATCTTGTGACTATTGCCACCTTCCTCGCCCCTGATGCTGTTGTAGGACTAGGAAACCTGCCTGTCGTGATCTCAACCGAACACTAGACCTTGTAGAATCGGTAGGCTAAATGTAAGGTCGAACTCGAGCGAGGGACGCTAGCCTCTTGCTTCTTTGACTTGGGACGTATGAGTAATGACACCTCTCATTGCGACCTGCCATGCCGCTCGGCCATATCGACTTGGATGTGTGAGGTATGGAGTCTTGTCGACTGTGCCCTAGCTGATTGCGGTGCAGCCTGGAGATAGATATCAGAGATCCGCAGTCATGACGCCAGCCTCTCAGCTCTCATGAGCGCAGACGTCGGATGGAAGTGCGCTTGCCTCGAAGTCATTCAGACTGGTTAATCTTGTTCCTACTCGACGCCTGCGTATCTTTCGCACACCACCCATAGGAGCAGGGTCAGAAGGTGCATGTCGAAGGTTGGCTTCGTGCGGCGCATCGCTGACTAGATGCGTAGACGAATGATCCAGAGAAAGCCTGCGAAATGAGCGAAGCTCTGTCCGAACCCGCGACGGTAAACAGGGAGAACGGCGTCGCGCCACACGCGCCACAAAGCAACCCGTGACCGCCACGCGACGTGCTTCACGTGACAAAGCGTCGACATACCCTTGTTGGCCAAACAAGGACATACCCACGTCCGCATGTTGTTCGTCGGGCCAAACTTGAACACAGCCCGATCGTTTGTTGTCGGTCTTCTTTGCACTTAACTCCCGCCGTCATCAGCCGCCACGTATTCCGACGCCGCCATGCCTTCGAGCACCGCCCCGCCCCTCGACGCCGCCTCGTCTCCTAGCCCCGCTAGCCGCGTCTTCGAGCTCTACGAAATCGCATCGCTCATTCTGCATCTTGCTCGCCGCCAATTCGGGAATTCGAGCGTCATACCCTTTACGATCGCTAACAAAGCTATCGGCGACATCGCGCTCGACGTACTATGGGAGCGGCAGACGAGCCTCCTGCCACTCTTCATGGTTCTCCAACGTGGCTTCAAGGCCGAGGCAAACACTCGCCGTGTGCCCAAAGCAGTGCAGGACAGACGAGATGCTGAGGATGAATATGAGCATGAGCATCATGTGCGTCGCCCGATCCAGCGTGTTTTTGTGGCATTGACTAACTCTCACGCAGACAATGTTCCGGCTGAAGCCCGATTTTTCGTTCGGTCCAGGAGACTGGACGCGGCTACAGTTCTACGCTCGCCGTATCAAGATTGTTGAAGATGCAGTGCTCGACCCGGATGAAGACAACAATGTGCACTTCGATACCGATATCGTCCACGCCATCTTCAAAGCCCGTCCAGACGCCGTGCTCCTGCCCAACGTCTATCGCCTGGAATTGGGACCGCGCTGCCAAAAACTGTGCGAGCTCATGGACTTCAAGGTCACACAGCACAGAAAACCACCACACATACCATGCGTTAGCCTACACGACCTATTCCGTCCGCACGCACTGATTGGATATGTCTGTCAACTTGAGAAGCTCCGCTCCCTTGGTATCATGCTGGACAAAGAGCTCAAGATGTTGCCCGTTCTGCGCAGCTTGCCGCATCTCGAAGAGCTTCATCTCAAGTTTGAGCCGGAGGACTTTTCCATGCTTAGGAGCTGTGCGGGAAACTACGACGATGACCATACCGAAGGGTTGAATGAACGCAAGCTGCAAGCAGATCCTGCGCCAGGATTTCCGGCGCTGACTACGCTACGCCTCACAGACCCAGTCCGTATGCGATGCGTAGCCCTCGCTCTCGGCAACATCGCAACGAACCGGCTGAAGCTCAAGTCGCTGCGGATCCGCGGTTGGAATCATCGCTCCGACGACCCAAACCCAACGCAGGTGATGCACTCTGCCATCCTCAAGCGCTGCGACCCGGACACTCTGACGCACCTCACTCTCACGAGCGAGTTCGATGGCTTCTCCAGGATGCAAGATTACCACGCGATGTACAAAGATCTCGCAGCGCTGCACAACATTACACACGCAACTCTCGATATTTGCGGCTTGTGCAGGGACCTCGGTGTCGTGCTTGACACCCTCACGCGTGCGTGGCCGCGACTCGAGAGCTTGGTGTTCTTCCCGGAACCTGGGGCTCCGCGGCACAACCTACGCCTGGGTGACTTGGCATGCCTAGCCAACCGATGTCCCAAGCTCTCGTATCTCTCCTTGCAGGTCGATTATATCGACTCTGCTTACTTCCCTGATTCCATTCCCGACGCCCATTCAATCCCGAATCGGAGCCTCGTACTCAATATTGGACTCCAGATGAACTTGGCCGAGAAGGAGCCGGAATGGGTGTCCTCCACCGTCGACTTCCTGGATCGCGTGTTCCCCTACCCGACGCTGAAGTCCATCACGTACGACGAACTCGACGGTCACCTCGCCAATGCTCTTCACGCGCGCGATTATAAGGGCACAACGCCGACGCTAGCAGGGAAGGATGATCCGCACGGTCCATTGCGTCGCGAGTGGTTGTCCGTTGACAACATCGGTCGGATTCTTGGCGTTCCGAAAGATATGGGCATAGAGGAGAAAATGGCGGCCGTTCGGATTGCTTGATTGGACCATTCGTACCTATACCCTACATATCTATTGTTCCATCATCTGATCTTGGAAGAGTGCAAGGAAACGACGTAGATATAGTTCGGTGTCCTTTTCCGTAGACTCGGATCTCATTTCATACAGCGTGCTATAGTATCTTTCTGCCGCGCAGCACAAGAAAAATCACAGGCAAAAGGTCCCGACTGGAACCTGATCGTCGTACATCGCGGGTGTCGAGTGATGAAGACGGAATGTGATCGTTATTCTCGCCTTAAAGCTCGATGAGATCGTTGGGGGCAGAAGCCAGGATCGGTGCGTAAAGATCCTCGCCAGGGCTTTGGCAGCGAACTCAGCGTGAGTTCACGCTACATGGGTTTGCAACCTCATGTTCCTCTCCCAGCTCTCGTCAAGCCAAGCTAGGCGTGTGTATGCTTCGCGATCCTTGCCATATATCGTCGTTCTTTTGTCCCTGGACGTACACAGATCGGCAATGAGATCGTGTAACTCCACGTCACTCCAGAGGACCCGCCAGATAGCGATACCTTCGAGCGATGGAAACAAGGTAGGCTTATTCTCGCGTATAATCATCTCTTCTAGAAATGATTTGTTCATCAGCAGGTCGTCGAAGTGCAGGGCTTTGAGGTTTTCCAAGAGGCGAAGGCAAGGCATCCACGCGGAAGGATCCCGTTCTTCAACATTGTACACCCTTAGGGTCTGGAGATGATCGGAGGCCTTTCCACGCTTTAGAAACCCTCGCAGGGAGCGCGTGCCGTATGAGGGAACGGCAGATAGGACAAGTTCCTCGATGATTGGGGCAGTCATGTGATTCAGCAGGGAACAGGCGGGATCGACGAGCCTGAGATGAGTGAGAGACTTCATGACAAAAGGATCATACTCGGAGGCATTTGTAAGATACGAGCCGTCCGCGTCGACAGACGCTTGCAGAATCTTGATGGTGAGAGACTGCAGTGTATCTCTACACGCTTGCAGGAGCGGTAGAGTGATGATGGCGGGGAACGGTGACAATGTGCTGATTTCCAACGAGGTGAGGGCACGAGTTATGGGGATATGTAGCTGCCGATCGCTTTGTAGTGCGTCAAGGGTGAGCGCGATGTGCTGAAGACGTGGCGCGACGACGAAGTCGAGGGCGCTAAGATCCGCAGAAATGGGCGCGTCGTACGCGTCAATAATTAACCGCTCCAGATTCTCCATGTAGAGGACCTTCAAATTTGGTAACGTGCTAAGGCGACCCTCGAGCTTCAGGCGACGCCAGCGAGACGCATATGACGCAATGCTATCCCACAAGTCCCATAGGATCTCGCCATTATCACATCGTAGCTCGAGCGGCGCTTGCTTGGTCATAGGAAGGAAATTCTCGCAATATTCACCGAAGTCGCCCAGATTCTCCACGATTACTCGTGTCCATAGTTCCCCCTGCCTTCGCGCAACGGTGCGCCAGGTGCTGCAGACCTGCGAGATGGTGATAGAAGCCTGCAGATTACGCAAAGGGTACTCTTGCATTACGAGGAGGAACGTATAGGACAAGAGCTCGATGGGTAGATGGCGGATGGGAGCGAGGATGGAACGGTTGATGTTTAGCTGTGCCAGGATCTTCTTGCGAGCGAGGGCGTCGCTCGTGGGAGCACATATAAGCTCGTACTCCAAGAGGGGAGTGAAAGCCTTGATCGTCGCGATCTGGATGGGGGGTAGTATGGCGTATGATCGCAGCATGGCGAGGTTCGCGACCGACGCCGCACGCTCGATGAGCTCGTCCACGGACTGGCAATGCATAGGATGCTGCCATAATGAGCGTCAATGCCTTATGATTAGGTATTCAGAGGTGCACGCACCCGAGGCACCATGGTGCAAAAAGCTGTTCTCGATGACGGCGAGACGGAAGCGTCGCGCTGCTTCATCAGTCGGCGATCGCCGCTCGCGTGGGCGGCACGTGTATCAATGTTTACTGCGCCACACTTCTCGGATCAGTGTAAAGACAGGCTTGAAAGAAGTAAGATTCGCGCTGCTTGGCTTCTCTGTCACTTTATGTGCCGAAATATATCACGGGAAAAAGGTCTTCGACTGGCGCAACAGCGCATCGTGCATTGTACAGGATGAATCACAGATACCTTCACATTTGTGTCGCATAGTAGAAATATATCATACCTATCTTAATCTCGCATCCTGCTTCTGAGACCGCCGTCAATTGGCGCCTGAAGGAGCACGTATCCTTGGTCTCCGACGTACCCTTCGTACGCGCGTCGGCTGCCGTTTTCGACGGAACTCCACCGTCGACCAGCTAAGAACTCAAAGCGCTGATACGCCGCCTTTTCGCAGGAAGCTGGATTTCCGAACCGTCCGACGGAGTAAAGCGCTTCGCACGAAGGCGATGCCCACCAGCGTCGTAAAAAGAGGCGATTTGAAGCGTAGATTCTGACGCCTCTGGCTGAGGAGCGACCTTCGATCTGCTGGACGACGCTTCAGGAAGAGCTGTGTTCGCGCGCGCAGCTGCGGTCGTTGTCTTCGCGGCCCGGGCAGTCGGCACGTCCGCACTCGGTGGATCCTGCAGCGCGCTATCGGCCGCAGTCGTGGCCTTGTCGGCGGCAGTCTTCCGAGCCCTTGTCTTCGCCTTTCTGCCCCGCTTCCCTCGTGCGGACTTTGCTGCTGACTCTTGCTTCGTCGCCTTCGCAGTCCCCGCCCTGGGGATCCTCAGTATGCGGCGGAAGTCCTCCGCTGACAACCACTGGCGGCGAAGTGGACTGGACGGATCGTCATACAGCGCGAGAGTCGGATAATGGATTGGATCATCCTCATCTTCATCCTCCACTTCGAGGTCGTAGGTGACCGAAGTTAGGGTCGGGTACGGAAAGATGCTCGCCAGGAACTTAGCGGCTGCCCTAACAACGGCCTGAGGCTCCTCGGACAGGTCGTATCCACGCCCGAGGTTCAGAGCCACTGACCTGTTGAGCAGCGACGGGGCAGGCGGCGCTACAGGCCTTGGGATCGTGTAGAGGGAGACTGGGGCCGACAAGTAGGACAGACGCGGGCACCGGTCGACGAGGCACGCGAGCGTAGCCAGCTCGACAGCATCGGTGTATATCGTGCTTTCTGGCCTGCAGAAGAAAGTCAAGCTTTCAAGATGGGGCCACGCCACGGAGAACACGTCAAGCGCAAGATTCAAGTCCACGTGTTCGCCATGGGTGTGGAAGTAGGCGTGCGTGATGTTGGGAAAGACGAGGAGGTCCTTGATGATTTCCTGCGTGCGAGTTGGATGCTGGTACGCCTGAAATACGACGGTCAGGTGCGTCAGCGCAGTCCTATCGCAAAAGGCACCGATGGTGGAGTACATCCTTTTGACGGCCCGCTCCTCAGGGGACTCGATCGACTCCCAGCCGCGTATATGCAACCCTTCGAGCTTCATGGGACCTGCAATCATGTTCTTGAGAGTGGTGATATTGTCGTCGAAGCACCATGCATCCGTCAGGTGGAGCGTCTTCAGCGCGTGGAAGCCGGGTCCAGGATCCGCCAGAATCTTGCGACCTTTAAGTCCCCATGCATCCCAAGCGTCCTCCTTCACATGGCACATCTTCTTGTCAGGATTTGTTTCCTCCGGTTCGAACTTGAGATGGAGCTCCTCCAGCGCAGGCATCGCGCGCAGAAGCGGCAGCATAGCGAGATTGTTGTCGACCTGGATACCAAGCATCCGGAGCTGGTCGAGTCGACAGAGGGCGACATCGTGCCCATGCGGCATATTCCAGGAACGGAGCGCGAGATATGCATGGCCGTCGTCGCCTTTGTCTGGCCAGAAGTTGAAGAACTCGAACAACGTGATCAGGTGTGCACCGATGTCCGCGCGAAGGAGATTCGGAAGGAGGAGGGCGCCACCTCCGGCGCGATAGATCTCGATCACAGACTCAGAGCAAAGGTGAAGATCATCGACTTTCCCCGGTCGAAACGGCATGTCACGGTCGTCGATGACTTTGATGCGTCGCGCGTAGACCTGCAATCGTGCCCAGTCTTTGCGCTTGACCGAGTTACGTCCGCGCTTCAGCCTAATGACCTGCCAAAGAGATGCGTCAATATCCACGATGGACGATTCACATTCGCGTACTCACCCGTTGATAGTCCACCTCATCTTCTTCCCAACGCAATCCATCGGGGTTCCAAACGCTTCGGCCTTGTACTTCGATCTTGGTCAGACGTCCCAGTACCTGGAAGAGTGGAAGAAGGCTCTGTTGGGTCTCCCAAAGGACATCCAATGCGACAGAACCGAGGTAGCGATTGGTCGTGGCAGCGGGCACCAAACTCGTGTTTCCGGATTCGAGAAGGACGTCTTTGAAGATGTGATATGCGAGTTCGTAGACGCCTGAGACCTGGGTAGCAGCACTGGCGGACATGACGAGATATACTCTGCCGAGTGGTGGGCGGAAACAAGAGGATGTTGATCGTGCTTTGCCGCGATACCTGTGACATCGAACAATGGGTCACGTTGATTACCGTCACGCCTTGCCAACCAGTGAATGTCATTTTGCACGTGAACGCCTCGAAATTGCTCCCTCATGTTTGTTAGAGAAGGCGAGGCTCGCCTTGCTACGCCTGTCACTGACGATAGGGGTCGAGGGTCGCGCGCGTGAGCTGCCAGATATTCCGAAAACATGCGAGGTGGATTTGTCCAAAGAAATGGCGTCTGACGGGACAATCCCAACCATCGTGATGAAGCGACGTCGAGACTTCAACTATAAGAAGCAATCTTCGCTTGATTTGAGGAGCAAGGAATCAAGACCTACAGTAGTTCGAATCAAGAATCCTAGTTACTACCAGCTACACCCTCCTCGTCTCTCGGCGCTCGCCGGTGAGACTAGCGCGCCCTCAACCCGCTTTTCGACCTAGTCTCCTGCTCCTCCCGCAGGTTGACCTTCGATACACGAGAGGCCTTGCTATCCGTAGCTACCGTGCCCACCTTAGCCGCCTGTGGGCGCTGCCGTTTTGTGGCGAGCCGGTTTTGTGAGACTTCGGGCGGCGTAGACCGCTTCGCGCGGAGACAATGACCACCGGCGTCATAGAACGAGGCCAGTGGGCGCGCGGGGTCGATTGTTGGGGGCTGGGCTGCGGGCTTCCGCGCGCGGGCGACAGCTTTGGCGCCGGGCGTGTCCGCCTTCCTCCCCGCGGCGGCCTGCTTCGCGGCTGTGTTGCTCGCATTCTGCGGTTCGCCGTCCGTCGTCTTAGCAGGCGCAGCGGCTGCGGTAGTGGCGGGCTTGCGAGGTGCGGCGGCCTTGGTCTTCGTGGTCGGTGTGACCTTCGGAGGCTTGACGGATCTTTTAGTTCTACTCTTCGCCGCCACGGTTTTCGGCTGCGCAATTCCCAGAATGCGGCGCATATCCTCCTTCGATAACCATTGCTTACGACGCGGGCCCGCAGGATCGTCGAAGGTGGCCAACGCAGGCAGTTGCCTTTCCTCGGAGTAGTCGTGCCAAGGCGGGGGCGCCGCGTCGTGCAGATCGTATGTGACCGAAGCCAGCGTCGGGTAGGGGAAGACGCTCGCCAGGGTTTGGGCGATAGCCGCGGTGTCGCCACGCGACATGCGAGACAGATTTTCATGGCGGCCGAGGTTGAGGGAGACAGATCTATCCGTGAGCGGAGGACTGGTCGAGATGACGGGCTCCGACACCGCTGTGAGGTTGATTGGGATCGACAGGTACGATAGACGCGGGCAGCGGTCGGCGAGGCAGGTGAGGTTTTCCAAATTGAGCATCGCGTCGCAGTCGCGCGAGGGCCTAGGGTAGAACGTGAGGCGCTCGAGACGACACCAGGCGTTTGTGATGGCGTCGAAGGCGCCTTTCGTATCGAGATAATGGTGCCCGTCGAAGTCGATACAAGCGTGCGTGATGTTTGGGAACGTGAGCAGGTCCTGGATCATCTCCACTGTCGAGAGGCCCGAGCGCCAGCTCTGCAGCACGATGGTCAGGTGCGTCAGCGTGGCCTTGTCGCAGGAGGCGCGGATGGCGGCGTGCAGTTTCTTCGACGCCTGGCGGTCACGGAACTCTTGGATTTCCCAGCCGCGGATGTGCAGTTGCTCGAGCTTCAGGCTGCCTTTGACCATGTTCTTGAGGGTGGTCGTGAAGTCCTCGATAGACTCCGCGTCTGTCAGCCGAAGCGTCTTCAGGGCGGGGAAGCCAGGCGCAGGGGCTGCCTTGATCTGACGGCCGATCAAACCGTATGCATCGTGGGCGTCTCCCTCGTACCATCGCTTGAGGTCGGGGTTCGAGGTCTCCGGTTTGTACTTGAGATGAAGTTCTTCGAGCGCGGGCATAGCACGAAGCCCGGGGAGCATCTCCAGATGGTAGTCTGCCTCGATGCCGAGCATCTGAAGCTGGCTGAGGCGGCAGAACCGAATGCTGTACAATGGCCTGGGCCGACAAGCTTGGTCACGCAGCGTGAGGTGTGCGTTCTTGCCCTTTTCCGGCCAGAAGTCGAACTGCTCGAACAAAGAGATCATGCGCGGACCGATGTCGAAGCGGCGAATGTTAGGGAGCAGGACAGAGCCCTTGCCGGCGTTGAAGATGCCCTCGAAGCTCTCGGCGCGGCCAAAGTGAACGTCGTTGGGATCGCCCGGGGAAAGCGGCCCATCTTCGATGTACTTGATGCGGCGCGCATACGACTGAAGTTTCTCCCAGTCTGCGGGCGTGAGCGCGTCCACCAAGTGCATTGCCTGGAAGCTATATCAATGACACGCTGGCTGCACTCGAATCGAGACTCACTCGTTGACGGTCCGGCTCTGCGTAGTCATCCCACCTTTCCTCGTCGCTGTCCCAAACTGCGCGCTCCTCGACCTCGACCTCGAATAGATGGCCCAAGACCTGAAAGAGCGGCAATAGGCTAGTCTGTGTTTCCCATAGAACGTCCAGCGCGACCGAGCCAAGGAACCGATCCGACGTGGTGGCGGCCACCAAGCTGGAATTTCCGAACTCGAGCTGAGCGTCCTTGAAGATATGCTGGGCGAGTTCATAAGTACCGGCTACTTGGGTGGCGGCGTTGCTGGACATGGCGGATGAGTTCGTTGCGGTGCGTGGTGGTAAGAGGCAAAAGAGAACCAGAGGCGATCCCGCTTTGTCCCTGCTTTGTTGTAGCTCAGCTGGCATGAGGCGTAGGCGACACGCGTCGAACAATGGCCATTCATGGGATTGTGACGCCCCGGATAATCCTCCGGGCCCCTCGTCCTCGTCAGAGCGGCACGGCGCGCGCACGGAGAAGCGGAAGCTCGCATGGTCAGCAGACCAGCCAATGGTAATTTTCATGCGCACAGGGAGCCCGATTTGTGGCATTGCATAGCGCTGGAGGGCTGCTTGCGTTGTAGTCGGGCGCTAGGGTAGACAATAGCTCACCATCATCGCGGCAACTTTCTAGCCAGGCACTAATCTGTGGCGACGCAACGTCAGCGTTCAGACTGGAGGGAGATATCTGAAGCTTGAAAGTCAAGTGGGGGAATGGAATTCCTGCAGCTTGCCACCGTACCAAGCTTCCCATATCGTCAGGCGGGGAACAGTTTAATAACCTGGTACAAGATAGTGTTGCATGTCAAAGGGATCAGGACAACAGCCCCTAGATTCGTCAAGCGCGCAGACCGTCGACAACCCTCAAATCGGTAGATTACACTCTGGGTTCGAACCAACGCGACGCGTCCGCGCGCACGTGGGCCTTGTTGGTGAGACGCGAGATGACCTGCCCTCAAGCGATCAATCATATTCCCGACCACCACCGCGTCGAGCGCGTTCCCCGATGTTGAGACGCGGAAACAAGTCGCACAAGGCGAGCAGGATAACCCAGACATATATCATACCGTCTTACGAGCGATGTACAGGTCCCCAATGTCAAACTACGACCCGCTGCCCCCCAGCCGCGCAGGGACCCGGAATGCTGGGTGCAGGAGACGCAGCCGCTGGGCAGCGACGACGCGCCGATGACCGATACGTGCCCGAGACCGTTTGCGGGGATGGTATTTTGTGCCACTGGGACGCTCGATAAGGTGCGTGGAGGTGCACTGCATGACGAGCGTGACTGACGGGGGATGCGGTAGATGTCTCTGTTCAAAAAAGCAACGGAGCTGGGCGCGAAGTCGACGCATGCGTTCACGGACAAGGTCACGCATTTGATAGCCTCGGGGCATGGCGGGGCGAAGTATAATGTGCGTCTGATCGACTTTCGGGAACTCTGGACTCTCATAATATTTCGCGCAGTGCGCACTAGAACGCAGGATACCCATCCTCAAACCGACCTATGTGACGGAGAACTACGAAGTGTGGCTCCGCGGGGACGACGTGGATGCGGTCGGGGTGCGTGTCCTGCGTGTCTAGCTCGCGTTCCCCACTTACACATCCCCTCAGAGCATCGACGACCACCGGCACCCCATCTTCGACGGCGTCGTCGTCTGCGTCTCGGGCATCGACGACATCGACCGGCGCGTCGAGATCAACAAGCTCGTGAACGCGCACGGCGGGTCCTTCCGCAAGGAACTCCAGCGGCCAGTGGATGTCACGCATTTACTCTGCGCGGGCGGCGAGACGCATCCAAGCGCGGGCGGCGAGGCGCATCAATGCGCGGGCGACGGGCCTCATCCATGCGCGAACGGCGAGACGACGAGCAAGACGCCCTACGAGCCGACGGACAAGATGCACTACGCGGAGAGGTTCAACCAGCGCGGGGAGACGGACATCAGGCTCGTCTGGGAGGAGTGGTTCTGGGACTGCCTCGCGTTCGGCGGCCACTTTGACGAGGAGCGGTACCTGGTGAAGCGCCATCCGAGACCGGAGAGGCGGCGACGCCCGGTGGAGGCGGCGCCGCAACCTTCCGTACCGGATACCACCACTACGCCCCACCAGTCGCAGCCTGCGCCGGCGACGGAGCGCGCATACACCGAGCGCGCATATACCGCCCGCGCATATACCGACCTCTCGCGGCGCCCAACGACAAACAAGGACGACCGCGTCCCTACCGACCGGAAGGACGACCGCGTCCCCACCGACCGGAAGGACGACCGCGTCCCCGCCGACCGGAAGGACGACGACGCGGAGCTCTCGGACGAGGAGACGGGGCGGGTGAACACGAACTTTACAGCCTTGTGCATCTGGGAGAGCCTGCTGAAGGTGCGCGGGTACACGATCGACAATAACCGGATGGTGCGGAGTCCGGGGAAGGCCGGCTCGAGCTCGACAGGCAAGGCTGGTAGCTCGACGGGGAAGGCGCGAGAAGAGGTGAGCGGGTCGAGTGTCGCGAGGATTATGTCGTTGAACAACGGTCGCAGCAGCCGTCGACAACCGGGAGCGCGACGACGATCAGTAGCGCGACGAAAACTTCCAAGCAGCAAATCCAGCGTCGCACGACCGGCGAGGACTCCGATATTGACATGGACGACGGTCATGGGGAGGTCGCGGGGGGCAGCGGTGGGGTCGCGGGGGGCAGCGTCCTGTCGACCCTCCGCGGCTTCCGGAAGCAGAACTCGTTCGTGGTGGGGAAGGAGCCGGCGCGGGTGGTGGGGAGGGAACCGGCGAGAGTGGCGGCGGGGTCGTTTTCCAAGCGCGCGTCGGAAAGCTCGTTCTCGAGGCGGGATAGTTCGTTTTCAAGGCGGGATAGCGCGTTCTCGAGGCGGGATAGTGCGTCCTCGACCAGGCCATCAACGCCCGAGGTTCAGAAGCCCGTCGCCTCAGGCTCGCAGGAACGTGTGGCATCTGGCTCGCAGCAACCCATTGCCTCCGACTCACAGCAACCCATCGCCTCCGGCTCGCAACCCACCACCTCCGCCTCCCGACCGCGCAAGTCGACCAACTTCTCCGCTGGGAAGTCGCCCAACTTCTTCGCCGGGAAGCGCTTCGCGCTCATCGGCGAGGCCGACTCGCCCGCGGTGCGCAGCGCGCTGGCGGGCGCGGGCGGCCTGATGTGCGCCGAGCTGGACGCGGAGGCGGACTTCATGATCGTGCGGCTGGCGGATTTGGGGCGGGTGGTCGGGTGAGTGGGGTACCTTGTGTTCTCGGTTGCTGCGTTCTAGTATTCTGTGTTCCCCAACACGCTTCTGTGTTCTCGGTTTCTGTGTTCTCGAGTTTCTACAGCAAAGGCTGACGCCCTTCGCAGGCTGTCCCACGCCCGCGACCGCCTCCGCACCGAGTGCTGGGTGGAGAAGTGCATCTGCGAGAAGCGGATATGCGAGCCGGGCGAGCATCTGACGTTCGCGCCGCTCAATCCGAGGCTGTTTCCGATTAAGGGTGCGTCTGTTCGGTCTGTGGTCGCCTGAAAGCGATCTGTGGTCGCCTGGACGCGTTCTGATAGTGGGCACAGACACGTCGCGGATTGTGCTCAGCTTCTCTGGGTTAGACGAGGCGGAGGCGTGCTGGATCCGGCGACTGCTGAGGGCTATTGGGGTCACGCATGCGCCCACATTCACTCGCAGGACTACGCATCTGCTGTGTCCCTCTCGGGAGGGAAAGAAGTTCGAGAAGGCGCCGGAGTGGGGCATCGAGGTTGTGGGTATGGAGTGGCTGCATGCTATCGCGCGCGAGGGGCGGGTGCCTGGGAAGGTGTCAGCGTCGGGATCAGCCATTGGCAAGGGCAAGGGGAAGGGTAGGATGGGGGATGATATTACGAGCGGTATGTGGTGAAGGTGGTACGCTGTTGGGAGGTTTTGCTGATGGTATTAGTAGAGACGACCAACATTCCGGTCGCTGGCTCTCGTGCGCAGGCGATGTCGACGCCATTGTTCCGCAATGGATCGTTTGGGACGCCTGAGTTGCTTATCCCCACGCCTAACGACTCCTTTGGTCAGCCCAACCTGCTCATTCCGACCAGCGACGCGCCGTCGAACGCCCCCGGTGCGTCAACAAGTAACGCCGACGTGTCAACCGTCAACGCCGATAATGGGCATGTATCGTCATCTGCTACGCCCTCGCCTATGAAGGTCGGCGGCTCGTACTCGCTTGGACATATACCATCTCCCGCGAAATCGACCACCGAGTCCCCCGAGGAACCCCCCGATACATCCCCCGCCAAGCTCACTTCGCCCTTCGGCTCACCCTCGAAGAACCGCTCGCCGATGCGGCGCAAGCGCTCGTCGGGCTCGCTATCCCCCGCGAAGATGGCGCCTGGGCTGCAAGCGAGCATCGCCACGCTCCTGGGCAACGGCAAGCGCGGCGCGGAGGCGGAGGGCGGACCCAGGAAGCGTCCCAGGCCCGAATTTCGTGCGAGGGCGGCAGCGGCGGGGACGCCGAGCCCGCCGCCGGAGGAGTCGTATGCGCCGCTGGAGATGGGGGAGGAGCAGAGTTTGAGGGTGGTGTATGCGGATGTGGTGGAGAGGGAAAGGGAGGAGAGGGAAAGGGAGGAGCGGGAGAGGGAGAGGGAGAGGGAGAGGAGGGCATTGGGGGCGAGGGCGGAGGCGGTGATGAAGGGTGCGGCGGGCGCAGTGAAGGTTGCGAAGAGCAAGCCTGTGGGTGCTAATAGTAGGAAGAGGGTGTCTGCTGGAGGGCGGTAATAGCCGCTTCTGGTACTTACATGTTTGGGGTGTATCTAGGGGATCATGTCTAGAAAGGAACACTATGGAAGACATCGCATGATGCTTTCAAATCGGCCTCTTGACTTCGAAAAGACTGGATGGATTATGGGTGTCCTCGTCAGGAGAACGCCACATTTAGTCGGCTAGCGGTGTATGGGGCGGGCCGACCGGCCGATGGCCACAAGTGGAAACAATACACGGCTTAGCCCGTGACGCTCGTCGCAGTCGAAGGCCAATTGACCACAATCTTCATAGGGCCAACACACTCTACTTCAACCGGAAGACATGTTAGGTACTAGTCCCAGCGTCGCTCCGCATGCAGCAGACGAACGAAGCGAAGCGGATAGCACGGGATCTACACGTGGCCTTCTTTCAGGACAAGTTACGAGGCCATTGTTCGACGCAAGGGCCATTGCGCAGCCTCGTGGCCGACTTCGTCCAAGAATGGAACCAGAGATCGGTTGCTTTGTCTCTCTTGACTCTTACCATCGTGTTCCCGTCTCGTCGCCATGCCCTCCTCCGCCGCCAGTCGCGTCGCCGAAGCCTACGAGCTCACGTACCTCATCTTCAAGCACGTTCAATGCCTCGCTGGAAACGCGACCCTTCTCTCCGCCGCTCTGACCAACAGCTCTGTCGGTAGCGTGGCGCTTGACGTGCTATGGGAGACGCAGCAGAGCCTGCTACCGCTCTTCCAGGTGCTCTACCGGCGTTTGGAATTCGAGATCGAGGAGACCGACCCCCCTGGCATCGATCATTACGAGGCTTGCGGTGTCACGTTCGAGCTCGACGACGACCAGATGATTGAGCACCAGGTCAGTCTTGATTGACTGCGAGTCGGAGGTGCATGCGCTGACCTGACGCAGGTGCTTACCTGGAATTGTGATCCGCGCAAGATATCGACAGAGGAATTCGAGCGCTTCTACAACTATGCCAGGCGCATCAAGGTTCTCGACGACACGTACCCACCGCGAGGGCAGCCCACGAAGGAAGAAGAGGATCACATCCACCTCTCGCATAAGGTCGTCTTCAAAGTATTCTCCGCCGGTGACGGCGTTCTGCTACCGTCGCTTCACAAGCTGAACATCGGTCCCCGCATCATGGCTCTTTTCTATGGCCAGTCCTTTCGTTTGGAACAGGACGCAGACGAGACTAGCGACGACGACGGAGAAGACGACATCGACCGCAGTGACGACGATGACGGCATGGATGGCGCGGACGAAGAGTACGATGAGGAAGAGGACGAGGAAGATGAAGTGGTCGACAACACAACCCTGGAAGCGTGCTACCTGTCCGTGTACGAGAAGTGGTACTACAAACGGCTCTTCGCGCGCCTCTGCCGCATCGATAAACTCCGCTCTCTCGGTCTTCAGATCGACAACAAGCTCTCCATGGTGCGCGCCATTCGCGGCTTTACCCACCTCGACGAGCTCCACCTGAAGTTTGCGGACTACAAGCAAGGGAACACTACCACTGACATCGTTTCCTGGACTGCGGACATGGACGAACAAAAGAACGACACCTTGGCCGGCCGCACGCTCAAGGATTGCGACGCCCGTGACTTCAGTGGGCTCAAGACGCTTCACCTTTCCGATGCATATGATCTGGACAGGGTCGCGCGCGCGCTTCACAACCTCTCCTCTCACAAGCTCCGTCTCGAAGCCCTCCACGTGCGCAGCTGGCGCCACTCCGACGGAACTAAGCCCACGCTCGACCTATACGCCGCCATCCTCGACAAGTGCGACAAGCATGCGCTGCGGAAGCTGACTATGGTCACCAAGTGCTGGGGAAACGCGACGCTCGCGCCGAACGAGCTGTTCCGTGATCTCGTCGCGTTCCCCAATATCACGGACATGTGTCTCCACGTCGCTGATCGGTCTACGGATGTGGCGGGCTGCGTGGAGCTGTTTGCGCAAGCGTGGCCTCGGCTCGAGAGCCTGGTCTTCCTCAACAAGCCGTATCAGGACCGTGCACCCATTTACACATCCGTTAAGCATCTGGCGTGTCTCGCCGATCGGTGCCCGCGTCTCTCGTATGTGTCTCTTCAGGCCAAACTTGACGCGCTCCCTCCTCTCGGCAGTACGCCGAAGAGTCGATACCTCGACCGCAGTGTGACGCTCAACATCGGGGAGCACAGCCTGGAGGACCTGGAGGGTCTGAGCGAGAGGCACTTCGATAACCTCGTCGAGTTTTTGTCCAGCATCTTCCCCTACCCGACGCTCAAGGCGGTCACGTACGATGTCTTGCAACCGATCACGGACGACTATCCGGAGTCAGCGCTCGCGACATTCGATGATCCGTTCGGCGAAGACCGTCAGACGTGGATTGTCCCGCAAGCCAAGCGCACCGACGTTGTTGAAGCAAACGAGCCAGAGGCAGACCTCGGTTCCGAAGACGCCGTCAAGACGAAGACAAAGAGCAAGAAACGCGCGCCCACCAGCAAAAAGTCCACCAAGACGACAGCGACGCGTCCGGAGGCGCCCGCGACTCCCAGAAAGCAAAAGCAGCCCGTCCTGCAGCAACCGCCGACCCCCAAGAAGCCGCCCGTCCCGAGGGCGCCTGAATCGCACAAGAAGAAGCTTGTCGCGGACGACAGCCTCGAAGCACTCAACGATAATACGGTGCCCACCGTGATTGGTACCGCCAGTGCTAGCACTGCCGGCACCAACAAGGCCACCGCGGCTGAACCGACTGGAAAGAGGAAGACGAAGGCCACCATCGCGGCAACGAAAGCGATGGACATCGACTCTGCCTTCCAGATCACGTCGTTCCACGATGCTGGTGGACACCGCCTGCGCTCGAAGCGGTCTACGCCAGCGAGCACTCAGGAAGCGCCACCTGCGAAGCGGCGGCGCACAGCTGCAGCGAAGCCCGAGGCGAGTCAACCCAAGGGTCGCTCGACGAAGGCGTCCAAGGGGCGGTCCAGGAGGTAGGAAGGCGGCTGGGTATCTGCTCTTCTTGATCTCGCGCTCGCGATTATCTGTAGATTTCCTCTCTATGAATTAGGATGCATGCCTATTGCAACCTTCGTCTCTACGATTTTGTGTCGCCTGGAAAGTGTAATGATGCGAGGTACAGGCAATTGCGATTCTAAATACGTGCAACCAGAAATTCCAGAAGTCTAGAATGAGGCGATTCTATACTAGGCGGGTGTGTCTAATATCGAGACTAGATATTCCACCGCGACAGACGCCGGAGCATTCTATTCGCGACTATGTCCTCCACCTCCTCCCAGTTCGCTTTCGTCCTAGCAAAGTTTTCCGGGAGATCTGTTTGATTCGACTGAAAATCTGTTCGACCCGACCAGAACCCCTCTATCCTCCGAAGGCCCGGAAATAGCTTGCGCAGAATGGATGCAACGCTATTTACGAAGCTTTGTTCCAGTGGTTCGAACAACGAAGCGCTCGGCATAACGTTGAGCGTCAGAGGCCGGACGGCTACCGACTTCGGCAATGATTTGTCGGAGTACCATGACCAGCCGACGCGTAGCGGCAAGCGCACGTACTCGAGAAGAGGGCAGCGGCGCACGAGTGGCAGGAGGGCGTCAAAGGTAGGTAGAGCAAGGTATTTCTCAGCGTTCGAGCGCTCCGGCCGCTGGATGACGAGGCTGAGGAACTTGAGGCGCGGGAAGGCAAAAGAGAAGGTGTCAATAGCGTCCGCGAGGTTCGCGTGGCGACAGCAGAAGACTATGTCAAGGTGCTCCATATTTTTGAAACCGAGGAGGTCGGCGAAAAGGGAGCTCGCGCGGAAGAGGAGTCCCGAGAAAGCGTTGCCGGTGAATACGCAGAGATGGGTGAGCGTCGACGGGTCGCAGTACGCGTGGATTTCGCGATAGAGGTCGATGGTTTGCTTGTAGGACCCGATGCGCTTTATGTTGTCGGCACCGCGAGGGACGGTGATCTCCAGCGCGATCACCGAGTTTCTCTTTTTGGTCCGTGGTAGACTGCCCAGGGTCCTGGCCGCATCGACTACAGACGAGGGCTGGATGAGCCGCACAATGCTGGGGCTGAAGTTGCCGGCAGAAGGATATGTTGGCGATTTGTAATCCCGTTGGATTCCGTTGGGCCTAAAGGCTTCGAAAGTATGCAGATTGGGCAGTGGTCCCCGCGTCTCTAGCCATTGCGCAAATTGCGGCACGTATTGAACGCCAAGACAGCGCAGCGAGCGCATGTCGCATAGGGCACCCAGAGTGATCGATTTGCATTTCTTGTCTTTTCCTTCGAGGTCGCGACGTACGAAGAGCAAGCGTGTGTCAGTGGTGCTCGTCGGTACGTGGAGGGTTATTGCCTTGTGAAGACTGTTGACAACCCTGGAATGCAGCCTGAGAGTTTGGAGCATCGGCAAGATTGTGGACTTGGGGTCTAGTCCCTGGAATAGTGAAGGGTGGAGAGTGATGTTGCAGCGAAGGTTGCCGTTGTCTTGACTGTCATCGAGCACCTTCACGCGCCGTGCGTATGAGTGAAAGCGCTTCCATGGAGGGCTCTTGTAGCCAGGCTCAAAGCGTAGAATTCGCGTCTCGTCTTTCTGTGGTCCATGAATGAGTATAGTGATCACCAGCCCAGCATGCACAAGCGCACCAATCGGAACAGCCGTGCCACCGGCCGCAGGGTCAGGAAGAGAGGAACAAGTGAAGTCTGGTTCTCCCAAAGAGTGTCTAGAGATACTGATGAAAAGCTACGCGAGACGATCATGAGCGACAGCAGCTCATCGTTACGAGCCAGGTTGGAGGTTCCGGCGAGAACTTGCTTAATGATGATGCCAATGAGTTCTGGAGTTCGCGCTACCTTCTGAGATGCCAGAGTCATGGATACCAGTCAATCCTAGGGACGAGACTATACAAGCAGGGAAGAGAGCAGTAAATGTTTTCTGACTTCTCCGCGGCGGCGGTTGTAAGCGAGGGATGTGATACGTTCAGTCACGTCAACACGCGGATCACATGGCATTCGCATGGAATAAGCGGCGTCTATTTGCGGACCAAACACAGCGTTCCGATCACTCTCGACGTCGTCGACCGCGTCGGTGAACAATGGCTTCGACGATGCTGGCGTGCGCAAGGCAACAACGGCGAACTTGGTTGCGCGTGACGCGCTCATTCGCGACAGCGACCCCGAGCATAGCGCCTGAACCGACGCCGGGGGCGTCTCACATATCTCCCCCCGTCGCTGCGCAGACTCCCTCGGGGTCGGAGCCATTGACGCACTACAAGATCACGTCGCGGCGCTCAGCATGGGGCCTCGGAGACAGGATTAAGGGCACCCTCGTTGCACTCGGTCTGCACAAACGCAACCAGACAGTCTACCACGCACACGCGCCAGACATCGCGGGCAAGATCCTCGCGGTGAAGGAACTCGTCGAGGTGGAGAACGTGCCTGCGTCTGCGGTCAGGACGAAGCAACAGCAACGCCACGAGCGCGCGTCACCGAGGGGGTACAAGGTGGTGGGCACGAAGCAGGGCGCGTGGCTGTAGGGAGGACGCTAGACGTTCAACGGCATACCGGTGAGTCTGGGAGTTCTTCTGCTCAACGTAGACGCTCATGGAGTCTCTTAGCCTTCCTATGCTAGAGATCGTCGCATATATGCGTACATTATGCACTGCGCTGGAGCATGCAACTGCCCAGCCGGCCCATATTGCGACCGACGCGCGCTCCTCAACGCGCGAGGGCCATACAGCATCATTGTCCTGTAGCCGAGGCAGATGGGGCAACTTCTCATCACGCCTTCGACTATGCATATCAATACATCCACCTCCGCTCTTGCCTGATACTCCTGTCCCCATACCAGAAGAACTACGAAAGGGCGATTGAAACCCGTCATCTGCCGTGAATGCCCCTCAATAAAGCATCTACAATGACTTGCACGGGTCCACCGCAGTAATAAGGCGCGTGTGCCAAGGTGATTTCGTCGATAATCTTTGTCGATATGGAAAGAAGCCTTCAAGAAGTACTGACCTTCAGGCATCAACGTCACGATGGACCTTCCATGCGAAGGAAGCAGGCATACCGTTGGCCCAAGCCTCGCGTATTCCACTTGTCCGTCCGCGCCCGCCTCTTGACACGCACCCGGATTAGATGAGTACCTAGAACGCGCAAGAGGCGTGTTGTCCCCTCGCCTCTTATAAGCTCAGCACCTTCCCCAAATTATCCAAACACCAGCCCCCTGCAAATCGACTTGCGTCCTACACATCTCTTCTCCCTCGTCCCACCTTTAGCATCATGTCGCAGGTCCTCGGTGTCATCGTCGTCGCCCGCAATGGCGACCGCACCAATCTCTACCAGGACCCCAAGTCCTATGTGGCGTCGCTCGCGGAGACCACCGCTCTCGGCGAGGTATGTCGCCTTTGCTCGTGCGCGTACTCGCAGCACGTCCTAACGCCCCTGCAGGTCCAGTCGCACCAGCTTGGCCAGCTGCTCCGCCGCACGTACTTCGACCCGTCTTCGCCCTCGTACATCTCGGGCATCCGCAGCGACCTCGTCGACAACAACGAGGTGCATGTGAGGGTGAGTGGCGCGGGCGTTGTGAGATGAAGACTGGGATTCGGGCTAACGCCGGGCGCAGGTCAAGGCAGGCACGGCGGGCACGGTCGTCTTCGACTCGGCGATCGCGCTCCTGCAGGGGCTCTACCCGCCGACCGAGAAGAACAAGATCGTGCTCGCGAATGAGACGACCATCGTCGCGCCGCTCGGTGGCTACCAGTATGTGCCGGGTATGACTTTCCATCTACCCCTCGACCACCCTTCACTAACCCACCTCCCAGTCGAGACCGTCGAGCCCGGAAACGACCGTTCCCTCGAGGGGTGGACGGCCTGCCCTGTACGTCGTGTCCTCCCCGCGCATGCCGTGTCTTTCGCGCGCACGTCGCGCCTGCCGATCACGCCGCCTAACGCCCATCGCAGAACTTCCAGAAGCACGTCGACGAGTTCCACAAGTCGGAGGAGTTCAAGAAGAAGGAGAAGGAGGCCGCGCCGTTCTTCTCCGCGGTGCGCGACTTCGTGTTTGGCCGGCCGACGACGCTGGAGAATGCGTGGAATGTGCGTGGGCGCGTTGTGCATCGAGGGGACAATGGGGCTGATTCAGGTTCCGTCCAGCTCTACGACTACGTGTCGACGCAGTACACGCACAACCGCACGTACGCGTTCCGCCTGCCGCCGAGGCTCGACGAGCAGTCGCGCGCGCTCGCCGACTGGCACGAGGCGGGCGTCTTTTCCGACAAGGCGCCCAACGGCATCGGCAATGGTGCGCTGAAAGTCCTGCTTGATGCTTTGAATGATATTCAACGTCCTTCCAGTCGCCGGACGCACCCTGTTGCACACGATCCTGCGCGCCCTTGAGCGCGTGTCGTTCAACCACGATCCGCTCCAGTTCCTCCTGGTCGAGACCTCGTACCAGCCGCTGGTGTCGTTCTTCAACCTGACGGGCATGGCAAACCAGCACCATGAGCTGAAGGCGATTCGTGAGTATCATATTCCTATCCTCCCGATCCTTCCAAGTTACACTTTGATGTCTACCACTTCCATCCATCGTTACCTTGATAATCCTGTCATCGTCACCTCATACTTACACCCTCCCTAGCCGACTTCGCCTCCGCCGTCGCCGTCGAGCTCCGTCGCGGCGCGCCGCCCGACATCCGCGACTTCCTCCGCTTCCGCTTCACGAACGGCTCGGCTGGTTTCCACGACGTGCACCCGTATGGGCACAAGGCGGACATCCCCCTGACGGAGTTCATCTATAGGGCGGAGGTGAGTGGGTTTCTGTGTGTGCGCTTAGATGAAGGGTGTTTGGGTATGGATGAAAGGCGATAGGGGAACGGTGAATGAAGGAGGTGGTGCACGAAAGGGCAGTCAATGAGGACGTACGCTGAAGGGACTCATTGCATGGCTCTCACGGAGCTTGGCGCACCAACCCACCCGCGCCATGTTGACTGTATGAGCCCCCGCTGACGCCACCCTCCCAGGGCTCCGCCATCTCGAGCAACAAGCAGTGGATGCAGGTCTGCGGCGCCAAGGACCTCGGCGGGCACGGCGGCGAGTGGACCGTCGGGCCCAACCTTACCGCGTCCGGAGCTGGTGCCTCCGCCTTTGGGTTCTCCGACGCCCCCGCCTCCGCCTCGGACTCGTGCGGCCTCGACCTTGGGCGCGCGCTCGGCTTCGAGCAGGCGCAGGACTGTGGCTTCGACCTCGTCCCGCTGCTCGCCGGGTTCGCGGTGGCGATGCTCGCGCTGACCGCGCTGCTGTTCGGCCGCAGGCGCCTCGCGAGGCAGGCGGTGAGGCTGGAGGGCGAGGAGAGGTGGGAGGGATACGTGAGTGATGGTTTTCGTCGCGCAGAAAAGGAGGGGTGATGCTGACCCAACTTGACAGCGCGACGCGAAGGAGGTGCAGGTCGTTGTGCCTGTTAGCCGGGCTTGAAGCCTTGTTGATCGCCCAGCGAGGAGGCTCGGCTCAGCGCTGAGTATAGTGAGGAGGGAGGAGAGATCCATCGCCAGAGACGCTGGGCATCATCGTACATACACGCGGACTCGACTAGGCGCCGGCGCTGGGTGAAGGTGTTGTTGTTTCTTTTCATCTGATTCTTCATCTTACTTCATTGTATCTTCATCTTTACTCCTTTGCACCCACAACATACATGCATCTACGGACTGATTGTATTATTCTCTAGGTCTTCCCTACATCTCTGTATTATTCACGACATCTATGCATTTTAATTTTCCCTCACAGGTCGTGGTGTCCGGTGTGACCTCCAAACTGCAACGAATGGGACGACTTGGGCTTATGGCGCTATTCTGAGCACTCAGCAATGCCTTTCAGGAAAAGCATGCTCGTACGTCGTGCGGTGGACGTGAACCGCCCGGGCTGATGACTATACAGTCAGGCATGGGGATCTTGAGGCTGATGGCGGCAGTGCCGCAAAGTCGCCGACCGCAAGCACTGGCTTCGGTAGCCAGGTTAGCGCATGATGCCTGTCAGTGTCATGATGCGCGAGGGAGGCCATGTCATGATGCGTGAGGGAGGCCATGTCCTGCGTCTCGCGATGGTCATACAATGAAGCTCTCACGACGTTTGTGCCCGTCTTCCACGGTCAGAGCACTGATGAAGAGAGACCTTGTGCTGATGCTCGTCCCAGGCATTTTCATCGCATCTTGTCGCAGGTATTCTCGTCCCGATACCATGCTCATCGAAGACTAGCCTGGGAGAGCCTCAGCGACGCCGTGACGATGCTGTTGGCTCTTTGCGGCGCCGGGCTCTAGTGGTCGGACGTAGTCTCTAGCTAGGCAAAGATACCTCGCAACGGATTTCCCAGGTATTGTGGCAAGCCGAACCCTGACTAGACGCGGCGGGCGAGCTCAGGCTCGACGTCGTCACTGACATATACGATCCTTGAAGGTGTGACCCAAGTCCAACTTCAACTGTGACGCCCATCGGAACGCAGCATTCCAAATTCCGACATGCGTCGTGAAGGCGCTCGCTGGATGTTGATGAACCCAGACGTCGGCATCGGACGTTCGCTCGTGCAGGATCGATCAGACGCCCGCCACCATCGCGACAAGATGTTCTGCGTCTTTCTAATTTTCTCGACCATAATCGTCGACCTCGCATGGCCACAAAGCATCGTCCCGACGGTTGGATTTTCGCTTCCGACTGCCATGGGAGACTTAGCTTGCGCAGCCAAGGGCGAGTGAATGACTTCCATAGCCCCGAGCGCCGTATGTCCGTCGCATGCGGGGTAACAAGGGTCGAGGTGAGTTTGCCACGCCTTGTTGAACGTTCTTTTACAAAAATACCGTGTTGCCGTCGTACCCTCCAGAGTTGAGCAGGTCTATTTGTTGTCCTTCAGATTAACTTCGGGCGAGAGATGGGTGCCAAGGCCCTTTTCTTCTAGTCTAAACTGAATAGGATGTGACTAGAGTGAAATGGGATATTGAAAGGGGCGTGAAAGGGACGTGTCTGGGTTCGGGAAGAACCAAGTTGAAGAGACTAAGGAACATCTGTGCGATCGGTTCTGCCGCCGAGGACCAATTGGATGCGGAGATGTAGACGTGCGTGGCGGGGATTCCGTGTGGAATGGGCCGGATGGCTGCTGACGGCACGATGGAGCCATTCATTTACGCCACTAAGGCCAGAGAAGCGGCTCAACATGAGACATCTCTCCGCATCTTCCACCTCCGTCGTCCGCAAAACCTCTCTCTCCTCCGCCCTCCATGTCCTCTCGAAAGCTGAGGAGGGCGCGCTATGCGCCTGTGGCCCGCACGGGACCACGCGGGCGGTCCCGTGCCTGGTCCGTGCGCGCTTTGTAAGGTGTGACAGTGACGTAACGAGGTGACGGCTCAGGGGGCGAGGCGTCTTTCACCGTTTTGCCCCCGTTTGTGAATCGAATCTCGCGCGGCGATCCAGCACGCAGAGCCAGGAGCCCGCCAGACAGCCAGAAGAGCGCCGTCACGCACCCAAAGTTCGAACCTTTGTTATATTCCGCCCGGAAATTAGAATGCCCGCCGCCGCGCGAACGCCGCGGCCCGCAGCACCCCCGCCGTCGTCGCCCGCTGCGACGGTGAAGAACAGGAAGCGCAAGGCGGCAACCGTCGAGCCGCCGAAGGAGGATACGGAGAGGAAGGAGAGCAAGCGCCCGCGGAGGGCGACGACGCCCACACCCGCCGCGCCGGCTGAGTCCGCGCCCGAGCCCGTTGTGGCGCAAGAGCAGCAGCAGCCCGCTAATGCGGGTCCAAAGGTCCGTGTCGGAGGAGCATGCTCTATTGGCGTGCACGCGCTGACCGTCCGCCCTGCCCCCACAGCCCCGTCGCGAGCGCGCGCCACGTCGCCCGCCGCCGCCGCCCACGCGCAGGTCCAATCGCCAGCGTGGGCGCGCGCCATCGCCGACGCCCACCATGCGCCTAGCACTCGCCGCGCTGGAGGTCGAGGCGCAGGACATCGTGATGTACGAGGAGGAGGAGAACGAGGCTGGGCCGAGCGGGAGTAGTCATGATGGTGATGAGGACGGGGATGTCACGATGGTCGAGGCGGAGAATGAGAACGAGGAGGCGGGGTGTATTCCGCCGGAGCCGATCGAAGACCTGACGGTGTGTCCGCCGGAGGAAGCCTTGCCGTGTCCTGCCGCCCTGTGCGTGATGTCCTCGCGATTGTCTTTGAGCCCGGCCTTCTGACACGTTATCAGACATGAGAAGAAGAGTGACAGCGGCAAGTATGAAGAGAATGCTGCCTCCGACAAGGGCGCTGACAGGTGAGCCTCCCGCGTCCTTTGCTTCATTCTCCCGCTCACCATGTTCCAGCGCCGACTTCGAGTTCGTGAACGAGTCCGCGGACACGATGAACGCAGACGAGACGACGGAGGACTCGGACGATGACGACGATGCAGACAGCGATTGCTCGATGATCGAGCAACAGATCTACCTCCCCGACGACGAAGATGCGGAGGGCGAGGACGACATCGACTCGGTCATCATCCAGTCATGGCCCGTCCCGCCCCAGCAACAACAGCAGCAGCAACTCACTACCATTTTCATCCCGCCCTGCCCTACCAACGCCCTCCCCACACCACCAGCCACACCCACACCCCGCCGCCCCATTTACCCGCCCCCGCCCGGCCTCCGTCTCAAGCCGCACCTCCATCCCTGCGGCCGCGCGCTCGCCGACTTCACCAACGACCCGCAGCTCGACCGTGGCACCCCGCGTGTCATTCCCAAGCAGCGGCTGCCCGCGCCGCGCCCCATCACTCCGCAGGCCCACGAGACGTGGCGCTGGCTTGCGTGCAGCGCGCCCGTGCCGCCCTCGGTCGGGCCCGTGGACGCGAGCGATACGGAGCCGCCGGCGCCGTGGGTGGCATGGGGCGCGGGCGGGTCGGTGTGTGCGCAGGAGGGATATATGGCGGGCGAGCAGGTGGTCGGGGTGGAGTATGCCCATGGGCAGGAAGGGTATATGGACGGGTACTTTGCGCAGCCGCAGGAATATGCGCAGCCTCAGGAGGGATACTCGCAGCCTCAGCAGGGACAGTACGCACCATCACAGGAGCAGTACGCGCAACAGGGACAGGAGAATTATGCGCCGCAGGAGGGCTACGCTGCGACCGACAACGCGGGCTTTGCATTCCAGCCGCAGCAAGGGTATGAAGAGACCACTTACGGGTACGAGGCGGCGACCTATGGTTCGGATGCGACGGCAAACTACAGCTACGGCACCGAGGGCGCATATACCCAGGGCTCGACGTCTTACACCCCTGCGCCCGAGGTGTCCGCGTCGTACACGACTTCGGAGGCCTCCTACACCTCACAGGAGCAGTTCACCGCCCCGTCGCCAGAGCAGTACACGTCGCCATCTCCGGAAGCGTCTACGTCGTATACGACTCCCGAAGCCTCCATGTCGTACGCTGCGCCCGAGATGTACTCGTCTCCGACCAACTTCGACGCATATAGCCCGCCGCCGACGTTCGCTGGTACGGGGGAGCAGCCGTACGACCCCTCGGCATACAACTACCAGCTCTTCGACATGCCGGCGCCGACCTCATCTGACCCCGCGTACACGACCCCCATCGACCCTGCCCTCACCGCCCCGACGCCCATGCCTGCATACACATCCTCTGCACCTGATTCCCTTCCGACGCTGCTCCCTGCGCCGGCGCAGCCGCTCCCCGGACGCCTCGCCGGCTGGACCTATCGCCCGAGACCTCGCGGTGGCGCCCCGGGCACGGAAGGCCTGATGAGGGTCATGGCGAGGGACTTGAGGGTGCCGAGCGCGTCTGCGGATGGCTGCGTGTCGTTGAGCGCCCCGGTAGACGGATGCATCTCGCCCAGCGCGACGACGATCGCGCCGACGACGCCGCCGCCGAGCGTCCACGTCCCCCAGTGCATCTCGGGCTGGCTGAGGCGGCTCGCGTATGATGGTGGACGGCCGAGGCGGCTGGTGGCGTCGCCTGCAAGGCATGCGTACCCGCCGCTGTGCGCGAGCAAGTTGGCTTATGTGGTCGTTGGGGCTGATGAGTGATCCTTTGCCGCTTTTTCCCTCGTCCAGCTGCTCGTCTTGATAATGCACACCCATATGAACTCCATCGTCCCCAACACAACACCTCTTTATCCTGTATCATTATCTGGCTCTCGTGCTGTGTCACTCGCATGCATATCGGGATTTTTCTCTTGGTTGTTTCCTCGCATCTTATAATCTTCTCTTACATCCCTCCGTGTCTTTTGCATTTCTCGACTCTTGTCTCCTGCATTTCTCTTTTACTCACATCTCTCCTCTCTCCTCTCATCACTGTGTATACCTCATCGTCTCTTCTCTCGAACAGAACAAATTACCCCGGAAGTTCCACCTCACATCATCACACTTTTCGCCGCTTTCTGGCTTCGCTCTTCGCTGTACCTACGCTGTATCAGTACTGTGCTCTTCTCGTACGGTGCAGTAACTTTGCTCGGTACGGCCTTTACAGCGTCGCGCCCTGCAGCACCTGCGTAGCGTATCTCTACTTACATACGGCGGCGCAGACGTCGCGCGGGCGATCTTGGAATACATACTTGCTGGACGGGTCCGAGTGCCTGGATGGTGGTCTTTTCGGGGAATATGTGTTGCGCGAGCGTGAGTTGCAAGAAAGTGAAAAGGTGCGGAGGCGTCGGGGACGCGAACCGCGGGCGATACTACTGAGTTCAACAACGCGCAACGTTGAGAGCACGTGCACCACGTGATCAGGGTATAGGTCAATACCAGTCAATAAAGGCGAAGGCTCCGAGCGCACCCTCTTTGAACTCGTCTGTAATTGTTCGAGTCATCCGGTCACGTACGTTGGCCTTTTGTCAGAGGCAAAACGGTGTCACTGTCTTGAGTCTCACCACCACCTCTCCGGCAATTTCAAGCTCGAAGACTGCAGTCTTTCGATGGATTCCGTTGCCACCTCCTTAGCCCGCCAACCCAGCCCTGAAAGCTCGCCTACTCATACGGATGCCATGGCCTCTACGTTGACTGCAACCCTCCTCAAGAACCCGCAGCCATCTGCTTCGAATGTCGAAGCGGCGAAAGAGACGACAGCGTCGCAATACGGCGCGCCGTACTCTACCGGTGGCCGCGTCGTTTCTATCTACGAGATATTCTTCGGGATCTGCAAGCTGGTCCTCGCCAACGGAAAACCTGCGGATCTCGTGCCACTCGTCACCGTGAGCCGCGCGGCGAGCGAGGTAGCGCGCGACGTTCTTTGGGAGAAGCAGACCGAATTCGGGCCCCTATTCAGGACGATACCGCGCGTGGAGGCAAAGGAGATAGGGGGCTGTCGCTATATCTGCGAACCTGTTGATGAACTCGTCTTCAGTTCGCGGAGAGTCCAACGTGTGGTGAGTTGTGGATGTTCATTGGAGACCATGTCGCATTCTGACCGGTCACAAATCACTTTATAGTCCTTCGAACTTCCCGCCGGTACGCCGAAAAGCTTGACGGATGCTGAGTACGCCACGTTCAGCGACTACGCGCGGCGCATCAAGAAATTTTTGGACGGGTTTGCATATGAAGACTGGAAGAGCGCCGATGAGATCGATCCGCAGCTCCTAGGTGCTGTGCTCGAGCGAGGGCCAATTCTTCCGCGTGTCCACACTTTGCGACAAGGCGGCGGCTTCAAGATGGCTTTCACCCATCACTATGTCAAGGCCACGGTCTTCTGCCGCCTCCAACCCGCGTCAGGGGATGGCGCTCCAGCTGGCCTATGCCTCATGAAGAGAGGTCGCAAGGGGCCGCCTCGGAGGATTGGAACGATTGTACCGCTCTCGAATTTCCGCTCGCTGAATGTCTTTCACGAGCATGGCGATGCATTCGAACAGATCGCGAGTCTCCGCGACCTCCAGCACCTGGACGAACTCCACCTCACCAACTTCAGGGCGGACAGCTGCTTTGACGAAGAGCCAGCGAGAGCGTCCGAATCGGGGTTCCGCTCGCTGCGGACTCTGGTATTTGCAGGACATCAGAAGCGGCTGCATGACGCCCGGTATGCTCTACGCGCCATGTCCTCGGAGCCGCTCCGCCTGAAGGCGCTTGCGTATTACGGTGCCGAACAGATAGGCGAGGACGACCAACGGGACGCTCAACGCTTTCATACTGCGGTGCGCGAGTGCGTGGACCACGACAGCCTCACTACTTTGCTCGTCTCGACTGGCCGCAGGGGGTGCGTGCGCGCGGCCGACCTCTTCGCCGACCTCTGCGTATTCAAGAATATCTCTCGCGCACAGATCAACTTCGACTCAATCGACTCGAAAGACGCGGACGCGGACGGCGCGCTGGATCTGCTGAGTGGCGCGTGGCCGAAGCTCGAGTATCTCACCTTCGCTCATCATGCGGTGACGCTCGCAGGCCTAACGCCGTTAGCTCGACGGTGCCCGGCGTTGAAAGCCCTGAGTGCCGCAATTGATATGCGCTGCATTCCTGAGCCTATCCTGCAGTCGCAGCGCGAGGTTATGAGCGAGCGCCGCGTCGAGCTCGTGATTCGGATGGGGACGGTACCGAGCGCGAGCGATGATCTTATGCAATTCTTGGACAGTATATTTCCACCACCGACATTGCGCCGTATCAGTGCACATAGAGGCAATTATCGTGCTGCTTATGATTGGGATGAATTTTGGACGAGAATGCAGGAACGAGCGGTCACAGAATTATAGCCTCGCTTTTATCAATAGCGCTTTCTATCTACTCAAATTCTGTTGTCAGACTGTGATGATTTTGCCTGAATGTACTCTATCGCACGCTTTACAACACTTGTTAGACTACAAAGCGACATAGACGGGATAGGCGCAGCGCTAGCGGAGGACCGGCCCGGCTTCCAAAACCATAAAGGCTAGCCTGGCACATCGGCCACCTTGACTCTCACCATCACCATCACCTGCACTCAGACTGAGTGGCATTGACGTCGATCTCCTGCTACTCTCAGCTTTACCTCGTGCGCGGAAACCATGTCCTCTCCAGCGGCTCTGGCTCCTGCTCCTCCCACCTTGACTTCCGCTGCGACATCAAGCGCGCCAGCAACCCCTCCAAACTTTGAGGAAAGCTCGAAGCCACACGAACTCGAGGGACAGTCCGACACGACGAGCACTGACTCAGCTGGCGCCCGTCTTGTCTCTGTTTACGACATATTCCACCAGAAGGGTGGCAAAGCCGCGCACCTGCTGCCACTCGTCACGGCAAATCGCGCGGCCAGTGAAGTGGCGCGCGATGTGCTGTGGGAGAGGCAGTGGGAGCTGGCAAATCTACTCAGGACGATACCGCGCGTCGAGAGTGTCATTAAGGAAGGGTACTACTGGGTGTATGTCGGTCGAGGCAAAAGCTCACCGAGAGCCACCCCTAGAGTGGTACGTTATGTATTACTTTCTCAGCCAGCGATTCTCTGACATGCATCGCAGGTCCTGCACCTGCCGGCGCCTGCGACCCTTACAGACGCTGAATATGCTAGGTTCCACGACTACGCGCGGCGTATCAAGGTGTTTGATGATTTCTATGACTACTCGGAATGGAACCGGGCCAGATACATTATCGACAGCTCTCTCTGGAACGCTGTGCTTGTACGTGGGCCACTACTGCCGAACGTCTATGCGCTTGGCCAGAGAGGCGGTTTCAAATTGGCCTTCGACGATCGCTACCTCTGCACTGCTGTCACGGATGGGACCGAGCCTGGATCAGCGTCCTACCCTCCGTCTCCAGAGTTGAGCTTGATGGAGTACAACCACTTCGACGATCATTGCAAGAGACTGGCCACAATCGCACCGTTTGCGAACATTCGCTACCTATCGCTTGTACACGAGCAGGGCGATCCTTTCGAGCAGATCGTTCACTTACGCCAGCTTCCGAGCTTGGAAGAGTTGCATCTCACCAACTTCGAGCAGTCCAATCTGTCAAGCACCTCGCCAGCCCCCGCGGCAATCCCAGGATTCCAAGCTCTCCGTACGCTCGTAATTGGGGACCATAGGGGCAAGCTGAGTATGCGCGACGCGCGCATTGTCCTGCGTAGCATGTCTTCCCAGCCTCTCCGTCTTCGTACTTTCTCGTATCGCGACTTTGAGCAATTTGGAGAGGGAGAACAACTGGGGGCTCGACGCTTGTATCGCACGATGCGCGAACGCGTGGACAACGACACCCTCACCACACTGTCCATCTCGACCGGCAGCTACGGAAACATCCGCGCCTCCCGCCTCTTCGCTGATCTCTGCGCTTTCAAGAACGTGTCTCGCGCGGAGATCTACTTCAACCACGAGCTCGCCGACGTGGACGACACTCTGGATGTGCTCAGCGCCGCGTGGACGAAGCTTGAACATCTTACATTCGTGAATCGAGGGGTTGAACGTCCATTTGAAGAGGAATTCCCGCAGATGACCGGCCTGACTATGGAAGGCTTGGTTCCGCTCGCGCGACGGTGTCCGCACCTGAAGACGCTCACCGTCCCATACCTAGATGGGGAGGTTCCGGAACCCGTCTTTGTACCGGAGCGTGAGGTGCTGCGCGACCGTCGGCTGAAGATCGAGATGCGGTATGGAGGCGTGCCAGATGAGAAGGATGATTTGATACGCTTTCTGAACAGCGTGTTTCCCGCTCCGACGCTTCGCTTCATAGGGATGGACTATGGGCACTCGGGATCTGACGAGGCTGGGGAGTGGCGTGAGTTCTGGGACATGATGCAGAAGCGGGTGGCCAGGGGATCGGAGGCGTAGTCGTATTGCTTGCATAGCATCATCGTATGTAGACCTATGTGACTCTGAGACTTGAAGTCGTCTTTGGGAGGACCGGACTTGAGAAAGGCGTAGTACGGCAGCATGATGATTATGGGACTTAGCTCACTGTCTCTGAGACTGATGGATGATCCTGCCCGGTTAGGCAATGTCCCAAAAACACCATTATATCACGAAGGATACATAACACATAAAGTATGGAAGTCCAAACGAAAGGAGTCCGGAAGTCCATGCCATCCTAGCTACTCTGTGCCGCGAACCATCCGTCGGTCAATACCATCGACTGATTGGCTAATTCCTCCCTTGAACGGAGCCACCGTACCTCACGCGTAGTGCAGGAAGTCGTTGAAGTTCGTGTACGGGATGCTATCGCCCGTCTTGGTCCAGTCAAGGAGCGGCTGCCAGCCTTCCGAGACGAGCGTGTTGACGTCGCTGCAAAGGCGCGTTGATATCACCGACGTACGCAGGACGGACTGCTACTAGAGCAACTCACCTCGGCCAGTCGGCAGAGCCGATGTCGGAGAGCGTGCTGTAGATGAAGTCGATGAAGTTCTGCTGCGTGATGGGGCAGCCGTTGGGCTCCCAGGCACAGTCGCCGACGATGGACGCGTAGACCTGTGTGGGTTGAGTTAGCGAAGGGTAAGACGTGGCGCAGGTGACCAAAGCGCAAGTGACACGATGTGTGAGTAGAGAAGCACAAAAGAAACTCACGTTGTAGTCGAGGTTCGGCTGGTCAGCCTGACAAGCGATCTGCTGGTGACCGCAGGACGCCAATCCTTGTACGAGCTGGGGCTGTTGTTATTGGTTAGCCGCTTGTTGTCGTCGCGCAAAGCTTGGTAGAGGTACCCACCCAAACCTTGCGGTTGCTGACGGCGACCGCCACGCAAGCCTTGCTGCCCCACAGGTTGCCCGTCCCGCTCACGACACCGTCGTCGCCGGTGCACGCGTCCATGAGGTGCCCCTGGTACGGCTCGTAGTTCGCCCAACCATGCGCCGCGGCGTAGCAGTTTGCGCCGTTGTTGCAGGTCCCGGTCGTGGCGGGAGCAGACGCGGTCGTCACGGTGGAGGCAGCGACGGTGACCGGAGCCGCCGACGAGACGAAGCTCGACACACCCGTGGATGAGGGCGCCGGGCGCGAGGTGACAGAGGAAGACACGACGGGAGCGGAGGACGACTCAGCCTGAGGGGCCGCGAGGGCGGGAGTGTAGAGGAGGAAAGGAAGGAGGGATGAGAGCATGGAAAGCTTCATGGCTGGGAACGTTGACAGGAGAAGGATAAAGCGAATGTTAGCACTGGTCCGTGAATAGGGAGAGTACTGGGGGGGGGGCTGTCTTGAACATTCACAGTATATATATTCACCAAGCCTGGCCGTCACTGCCGCTGAGACCATCGATGTTCTATGCAGTTCCGATGTTCGCGGTAGAGTCATAAATCAGCGGGCACTGGGTCCGGCGGTGACATGTCGCGCCGCTTTTCAATTGAATACGGCGCCGTGTATGCATGCCTTGCTTAGAGCGGGATACAGTCTCCGTCGTTTCGAGGATCAGCAACAGCTAGGCGGTTATGGTTGCGTTGACTTTGCCATGGGTTCCCGCAGCCGCCACATACAGTCCGTCGGAGGGATAATCTCAGCGAAGGAAAGCACGTCGAAAGCACATGTTCGTTGTTCCAATGCGGTGAAAAGTCACCGCACCAAAGGGCCGAGGTATAGATCGTGTTGCTTGTAAGGATGGGTTCGAGTGTCGACCGTAACCGCCTTGTCAGATGCAAGCAGACAGTTCCCTGCCGCGGAGATACTGTAGCAAAAAGCGCAATACAGAGAAGACCACGTCGATGAAGGGATCGTACGAATGAAGGTCGTGGACAAGAGCAGAGGGTGATGGGTGGCTGTGTAGTTTAATTTTTCCCATGCAGCAGCCAACGAGCACGTGGGAGGTGGCCGTCTGGCGCCCCACTGCCAACGTTGAAGGCCATGCATTACACCAAAAATCAAGCGAAAGGACTTGAGTGAATCGAGCGGCCATTACAACACAGCAATGCACTCTATAGTTCATCGGACACAACCTCGTACGTAGGATCCTATATAATGATACAAGCAAAAGTACAGCCCAACTTCCCCCGAAATGAGATGCGCTTCACAGAGTGTAGCGGAACTAGAAGAGACGGTGAGCAATGTCGCAAAGTGTTAAAGATGGCTGACTCACATAGGGGTTCTCGAAGTCCGTAAGGTCCTTCTCGCCGTTGATCTTGCCAAGGCGCTCGCGCTCCTCGTCGGTGAGGCCATCGGTCGCTTGCGCACGATCACGGCGGCGGTTGCGAAGAACGAGAATTGTACGCCAAGCTGGTAGACGCAGTATGGTCAGACTCTTCCCATTTGCGTCGACGACTAGAAGCGACATACCGGCGATGATGACGATCTCCAAGCCAAAGCAGACGCAGCAGCCGATAACACCTGGCGTGTAGGTGGGCGCATCCTGTGTCTTGAAGATCTGAGATCCAACCATGTTTCCAACGCAGTACATCATGAAGGTCCAGGAGGACGTCAGGGTACGCTTCGTGCGGCCAGGAAGGTTGGAGATGATGAGGGCTAGGGCGGCAAATCAGTATGCTATCGGAGACAACGGCGTGGAAAGCTGCTTACTCCAGGCGAGGAACAGGGACAAGACGAAGGGGACGGTCATGTAGTACATTCCCCACTTGGCCCACTACGCGATGCGTCAGTGAGATTCTCGCGATACGAGGCTGCGGAGTGTACGGACCTTCGTGCCCTCCCGAGTAGGGATGAGCGCCATTCCGAGGAATCCGACGAGAGGCGGGATGGTGGCGGCGCCCATGATGTAAAGACGCAGGTTCTTCACCTTGCTAGTCACGACGCCGACGATAATGAAGATGATGACGGAGGTGACGCTGCGCGGGATACTGAGGAGGATAGTCTCCAGGTTGGCTGCAAGACGGTTTAGCGAACTGTCGAACAAGGTACAAGAAATAGAGGGGCGACGTACTGAAGCCTAGCTCGTTCACGATGATGGAGCCGAATGTCGTGAGACCACCATTCGGCACCGACGAGCAGAAGGCATTGAAGCCAGCGAGCCAAAACTGAGCGCGGACGTGAGTGGAATATAGAGGACTCCAGCAGAATGCAACGCACGCATGGGTCGATCAGACACTCCCTAGCCTGGTACCACTTCCACTCCTTCGTACCCGTGCGATCGTGCCCCGACTGGTTCTTCACAATGCGCGTGTTCGCCATCTTCCTCTCCTCCACACTCAGCCACGGAACCTCGCTCGGCGTCCCCAAAATGATCAAGCAGAGCAGCCCGACGACGATGGTGAAGCCGCCAAGGAAGTACGACATGTAGCGCCACGAATCAACCTCGGGGTGCTTGTGCTCGACGGTGCCGATACCGTAAAGCATGAGGTCGGCGAGGACTCCGAAGCCGGCGTTGGCGGACTGGAAGACGAGGGCGCGGGAGGCATGCTCGCGGCGGGTGTACCAGCTGCCGATGACGAGGACGAATCCGGGGGAGATGCAGCACTCGAAGAGGCCCTGGAGGGCGCGGAGGACGATGAGCTGCGTGAAGTTCTTGGCTATGGGGAGAGTCAGCGTCTAAAAAGTCGATCATGCGGGCCGACGCACCGAACCCGATGCAGAGGACGGTGATGCCCCAGCAGATCATGTAGATGGCCCTGCCTCTCGTGAGCACGCAATTAGGTGCAGGGATGGATACACGTACAGCGTCTTGCCCATCCGCCACCTCTGGAGCAGCAGGTTCGACGGGAATTCGAAGCACATGTACGTGATGTCTGGTGATCATGAGCGCTAATCTTGAATCAATGCGAGGGTACGCACAGAAGATAGTCGTGAGCCATGAGTATTGCCGACCAACGAGACCGGTGTCTGTGTTTTGTTAAGCACGCTGTTCGCATACGGAGCAGACACATGAGCAGACCTTCACGCAGGCCGAAAGTAGCCATGGTGCCGAGCGCAGTCTTGTCGGTCTGCTGGATGCCATCTAATCGCGGCGTCAGTGTGGTCCTCAAGATCGGCAAGGGTGGCTGACTTACAGCAAAGCCACATCAACGGGAGCAGGTACCAGTCTGGCTCGACGTAAGACTTAGTAGCAGCAAAGTGACATGCACGTACCGATCTTCCTCTTCAGCTTGCCATACTGCTCCTTCGTGTACTCGGAGTCGATGACCACTACGCGTGAACGTGAGCAGCTGTCATCTAGGTCTCCAGCGGATACACGAACCTTCATCGTCGTCCGACTCGACTGCGTACACATCCGCTGCGACCGTCTTCTCCAGCTCAGGCTTGTCGTCGCCATAGGACGCCTTCTCGTCGAGGGTGGGACGCGAGTCGACTGCCGAAGACATGACGAGGGAGAGCAACCGTGCAGGGGCCGCGAAGCTGGGGAGGCCATTCAAACGCTCCACCGCTTATAATGCGAGCGCGTTATCGGCGCGGACCGTGCTATCGCACGCATCCTTTCTAGCGTGGCAGATTCTGATAAGCGCCCCCTGCTATGGCGTAGTCCGCAGAACGGAGAGCGGAGGTCGCCAAGAGTCTGCAGAAGGATCGCCGCGGCTATAGCGTGATAAGATTGTGGCAAGGGCGTCCTTGTCGGGCAGGGAGGGCGGCAAGTCTTGCCTGTCAGTATCTTCTTGGGCGACTCTGCAAGGGCGCAAAGACAGGATGTACCTTTCACCGGATATGCAGATAAGCCAGAAAGGTACTGGAGGAAGATAGGCTACCTCCCGCGCCCTCAGCTTGCACAACGCACGAGACAGCGCCGCAACCATGCATCCTATCGAGGGCTTTCTCCTGGACGCGCCAACGCTCGGCCATTGATGCCAAGATTCGGATGGCCTTGTATACCATGGATCAGTAGGTTTTGAGGCGATACAAGGAGAATAACATACCAATCGTGAGCAACCTCGAGAAAGTTCAAGTTCAGGACGGGCTGCGACTGACGATTATGACGCTGTCACGTGAGAGGGACCTACAAGCGCCGCCACGGACCAATAGAAGATCACACCGTTGAGCTGAAGCGAGTATAAACATTGAGACCTGTCCCTATGTGTTTCCTGGTCCATACGTATGTAGTATACACTGTTGTCATGGTGGCATATTCCTTCCTTCATAGATAGGTCAGTAAATTCAAACAAGAGATAAGTAGGTGTCGCAAAAGATTCGGTCAACGGTCCATGAAAAGCGGTTCAACCGCCAAAGCTTCTATCCTAGGACGCTACTCAGTCAGGGTCAAGGTTTACGAAGCACAACACATACATCTAGTACTCCGAGACAGACGACGAGGACGCCGCGTACCCGGCCGACGACGCTGACCGCGGTATATGCACACCACGCGGTATAACGGGCGCTTGCGAGTTCGGTGGCACCTGCGCGATGCGCGAGCCGGTCCTCGCTGCATGGGCGTTCGCAACTGCCTGCACCGCGAGTGGAAGGCCAGGGACGGGCGGAACACTCGGTACTGGCACAGGACGCTCCTTCTTCCTCGCCGAGCTGGAGCTTTGCTGAGATGGTCGAGACGAGCTAGAGGCCTGAGACGACCTGGTGGATGCCGTCGTAGGCTGTGGCGTCCGCGAAGCGGAGCTGGACGGTCTGGTCGCCTTGGGTGTACTAGAGCGCGCACTAGGGGTCGACGATCGCGCAGTTGAAGGCGTCTTCGCACGAGCAGCAGGTGTCGATGAGCGACTCGATGTTGATGGCGCTTCTGCCCGACGAGGGGTCGGCGCGGCAACACTTGGCGTCTTGCTCCTTCCCTGCGAGCGACTGCTGTCTTCCATCGCACGCGAGGGACCCGGCGTCGACGTAGACTGATGGCCGTCTGAGGAAGCAGACGAATGTGGCATGAAGCGGTCCAACATGTCCTGCGTGATGCGCTGGTACGACGTCGTGATCTCTGTTCCATCATCGAGCAGGCGAGACTTCGTCTTCCCCGTCTGGTCCTGAGCACGCGAGGCGCGTGAGTCGGGACGATCCTGGCGCGGTCGAAGAGTCGTCTTCTCTGACCGCGAAGTAGACTTGTCGGTCCGACTCTGCGACTTGTCCGAACGGCTCTTGTCTGACCGGCCATGGGACCTCTCCGATACTGGGGCGGGAGACTCGGTGCGATGCGCGGAGATCGACGACGTGGACTGGTCCATGGTGTAAGAGTACCACTCGACTTCGCTCTCCGTCTTCGAGGGCTTCGACTTGTGCTTGCTGACCGGCGTCTTCGAGCGCGAGGGCGATTCGACCAGAGCAGGAGTCTTGGACCGGCTCGACGAAGAAGCGGGAGTCTTTGGTCGCAACACAGAAGGCGTCTTCGGACGACTTACGCTGGCGTTGGACTCAGATGTTGCGCTTGATGGCATGGGGGCAACAGGCCTCGGTGGCAACTTGGAGTACGATTGCGAAGAGTACTCCGAGTCGACGTCCGTCGCGCCGCCTGCCCGAGATCCCGTGCTCGACTCCTGCGCATGTGAGTACGTGGTATAGCCATGGGTAGAAAGGGATGTGTGAGGGATGACTGGCTTCGAGGGTTTGGAGTTCGACGACGTTGGCACCCGGTCGCGGGCCCCCTTCGTATTCGCAACGGTCGGCGTCCGCGAGCGCATATTGTCTTCGACAATAATCGACTTCGCTGAGCGCTTGCCCTTGCCATCATCGATGGACAGCCCGCTGTCCGTCAAAGGCTCATAGCCCGTGTCCGTACTCGAACTGGATTGCGGCGTCACCTGCGGTTGTTTGCCCTTCTGCGCGGAAGCCGTCGTCGGCTTCTGCGGAGACGGCGGGACCTGCCTCCGCGGATGCAGGACGATATCGCTCTCGTCGTCCGAGCTCACAAGCGTCTGCAGCTCCTCCCCGTACTTCGATTTGTAGTAGTCTCGCTGCGCCGCTGCTCGCGAAGGCGTCGACTGCACAGACGACGCCTTCGATGGCGCGGGCTGCATCTTCGTCGGCGGCGTCTGCAGCGCCGGCCGCTGCGGCTTGCTCGGCGCCGACTTCTGCACGACGGGTGTCGGGCTGGTCACCCGCGCGGGCGCCTGCAGGCCGACATCACCCGGGAGCCAGCGATCGAAAGCGCCGCTGTCCCGCCAGTCGCCCTCGGAGGGCCCACTGCCTCTCGTCGAGGATCGGCCGGAGAAGACTGTCTGCGGGCGGGCGACGAAGAGGTGCCCAAACCCCAACTCCGTGCTGCCAGAGTTCTCGCGCACCAGCTCCTTCTCGCGCGGACGCGGCGATCGATCCGTCAGCGGCGTTGTCTCAGGGGTCTCGAGAGAGCTCGTGGAAGGCATAGACGATGGTCCTGTGAGGCGCGGGGTGGAAGGCGGGAGGTCGCTGCTGGAAGAGCTGCTGCCAGGAGCGTCGCGGGACATGCTCTGTGCATCACTGAACAGTGAATCGCTGCTTGGTATAGTGCGCGGAGTCTGGTTCATCGTGCTGTGGCTGGGGATGCTCTTGAGCGCACAAAGGCTACTCGGCATACTCTCCGTGAAGCTGATCCTAGCAGCACTTGAGGCGACCGTCGCATTCGAGCGCATCGCTTGCCGCCTGAAGACCTCGTCGGTATCGGTCATGGACCGCTGTTCGCGCGGGTCGATGTCGCTGTGTCCAGGCATGCCCACAGAAGACAAATGCTCGGCGCTTTCCTCCTCAATGATAGACAGCGTCCTGTTGCCGTACCAGCCCTCATAGTACGCGCGCTCGTCATCCATAGGCGGCGGACCATATGCTGGGTCGTAGGGCGCGCCGTAAGGGTAAGGATGGGCGGGATAGGGATGGGGCATGCCCGGAAAGCCATACGGCGCCTCAGGCCCGTCGTCCTCAGGATCCGACGCATCATATCCCCGTTCCTGCAGCTGGCGCATCCGCGCCTCATAATCCGGGAACGCGCTGCGAAGCCGCGCCCAATCCTCCGGCGAGTATGTGACGAACTCTGGCGAGCCGCCGGGATAGCCCAAGGATGCCGAGTGCCGCCTCGCCTCCTCGTATGACTCGTCCATGTACGACGACGTGGCGCTGCTGCTTGTGAAAGACTCCCAGTCGCCGTTCGGCTTCATGCGTTCCCATTGGCCGTTGGGTTTCTGGCGCTCCCAGGCGACGGTGGGATGGCCGTGCGGGAAGGGGGCAGGAGGCGCGTCCTGGATGTCTTTGGCAGGCACGGACGGTGGTATGACGCGATCAGGGAACCTCGACTGGAGGGAAGGCGCTCGATACATCTCCGCCTCTCGCCCGTATGCGTCATTCTGGGGCTCATGCGCGGCTACCCCGGCGTACGCTCCCTCGTCCGGATAGATGTCCCTCTCGCGCCCGTGCGAGTCCAGAATAGTCGTGGGGTATCTCTTTTGGGGCTCATGCATCGCGTACGTCTCCGACGTGCTCGAGGTCGTAGAGAGGTCGGATGTAGACTGGACCTGCTCCATCGACGAATTGACGCGCTCGCTGAAGGACGGGAGATGCTCGCGAGACGACGAAAGATGCTCGCGGGATGACGACAAGTGCTCGCGAGAGGACGAAAGGTGTTCACTGGACGGCGGTCCTCGATCATGCGTGGAGAGACGCTCTGAGGATGGACGCCGCTCGCAGAGAGAAGGCGCGGCATTCGTTGGCTTCGCCGTCGATGGAAGTGTAGCGGTCGAGGATGAGTTGAGGCTGGGGTCGCTTGGGGTATGCATGCTCGGATCGGTGGAGGGAGGGATATCGGATTCGTGTATGCTCGCGCGGGGGTCATCGTCGTCTACGTCTGCTTCGAGAGCAGCGAAGGCGCCGAAGGCTGCATACCTACGTAGATAACGTTACTAATGTCCTACTTCAACACATAGCTGAAGAAGACACACCTGCCACCGCCCGGAGCACGGCCAACGAAGTGAGCATAGGGCATCTGGTCCGTCAGACGATCTGCCCAAGAGATGTACTTGTCTCCAACGTCAAGCGCTGACTCATCCGTGGTGTGCGTATCTGGATCGTAAGGGTCAGTACACGAGCGTCGGTCCCGAGAACGCGACTTGCTCACCCGCATTAGATACAAAGCTGTCCCTGGGTCGAGGACCGCGAGGATTGGGGGAAATGAAGATGTTGGACGCCGAGGACGCCGAGCTCGCCGTGGACAGCCGGCGGGCAAGCGCAGCCGGCAGAGGCGGTACAGGCGGTGCGCCCCGCGAGTTGATCGACGTTCGCGCATTCGTGAAGCTCGTCTTCGGCGTCGCGTACGGCGTATTCGACGACGACCCCGAGGACGACACGCTGCTCTGCGACGGCTGCGGCTGCAGGTGCGAGCTCGCCCCCGTGCCAAAGGTTGACGTCGACGGTTGCCTCGCGGCCCGCTCTTTCTCCACCTCGGACAGGCGCAGGCCAAGCTCGTTGTCTGCTGGCGGCTCGGGTACGTCATCTGAGGGTAACGGGTCTAGTCGACGTGGCTCCGAGCTGGCGCTAGTCGTCTCTCGCGAATGGAGGGCGCCGAACTCGTCGACGACGGAGCTCGCCCTGGAGTCGACGGAGCCGCGGGAGCGATACGCCGCATATTGGCCTCCGGAGGCACGACTATCGACGGAGCCCCTTGGGCGGAACCAGGTCTGATCGATGGACCCGCGGTACGATGAAGGGCGTGTGCCCCGGGATGAAATGCTGCGCAACACGCGTTAGCTGCATGGCTGGGTGCCTCGTGTCATGGGGATGCGCACCTGTCGAACGGGGTGTAGTGGTATCTGGACTGATAATGGTCGCCTACGTCCAACGCAGACTCGTCGGTCGTACGAGAGACGAAGCTGGCGACGGAGTATGCTGGTGTGGGAGGTGCCTGCGAGCTGGAGACAGGGCGCTGGTAGTAGCTCGGGCCGGGGGAGGGAGTGGAGGTGTAGAGCGAGTCCGGGGAACGCTGCTTCTGAACAGGCTCTTCCGGGTATTCTGGCGATCCGGAGGTACGTCTGGCTTCCGATGGGCCGGAAGAGGGGGGCGGGTGATGAGCAGACGACCCTGCGTTGCCCATGTCAGTGGTGAGAGGCTGTCGGCAAGAGTGAGAGCGCACCTGCACCGATCAGGTTCATGCCAGCCCCCACGCCTGCCATGCGGCCCGCCATCATGTCTAAGCTTGGCAAGTCGAAGGCGGCCACGGCGTCGTCATCGATATCCGACGAGTTCGAGTCGTTGTCGTTCTCGTACGCGTCTTCGTTGATGATCGGCCGGGAGGGGGCGATGGTGTATGTGCCTGAGGCGCGCGCCTTTCCGTCAAGCAACTCGGCCAGGGAGGGAAGTTGTAGGCGCTGAACAGCTTCGTCATCGATATCGGAAGAGCCCGAGTCGTCGTCAAAGTCTTCGTAAACGGTTGAGGGGGAACGGTCGGAAACCCGAATGACAGTGGGAAGGGGAGGGGGAGGGGGCATGTTATCGTTCTTGCGAGGCAGAGACACGCGCGTGTAGGCAGTCTAGATCCAAATGTCTTGTCAGCCGAGGTGCCAATGTGGTGAGATAGTGGCGACGCACCCTGTAGCTACTGCTGGTCGTGCTCTCGTCATCGCTCTGAACTTCCAACCATCCTTCTTCGGTAGCCGATGCCGTCATCACAGGAGGGGGATCTTGGAGTTCTGTTGCAGAGGAGCTACAGGGGACGTTCGAAGAGGGTTGTCAGCTGCTAGATAGAAGTAAGAAGAGAGAACGACACGTTACCCAATATGTGGCGAGCCAACAACTCCTGTTCAAACCAGCAAAACGCGTACTTCTCTCAGTTCCGTATCGGCCACAGGCCACCCTCAGTGCGACGGAACAGTCTGTAGCCTCCTCCTGCAAGTAACGATTGCAGATATGCACTGTCAAGCGCGTCAGCATCCCCTGTAGCACCGCAGAAGTCGTTGACGCGCCGTAGCCGCCGAGGGGATCGTTGCTGCGCCTGTGTACAAGCGAAGACGCAACACGGTGCAGGCCAGCCGGAAGTCACTCGAGCGTCTCTACGAGTGCTTCAGTGCTCGTTCTGAGGGAGAACGTGAGGACCACTGACGAAGAATGAGGAAACCCGGGTGGAGGTCCGGAGCAAGCGCGATTCGAACGTGAGTCACTGTTTGGCCGTGTATACTGGCCATTGTTCCTTCGCCAGCAAACATGGCATTGGCAATAGATTAAGTACTTCGAAGCTCCATGCGCCATATCTGACGTATTATCGCGCCTTCATTCCCGCAAGATGAGAGACAATCACACAGGAAGAGGGAAAATAAGAAGCGCTCATGAACATCAAGCCTGCGCGAGCGACGATGACAGACCAGCGCAAAGAAAGCTACTACCCTTCAGTGCTGCTATTGAGGCGCGGCGCCTATCATGCCCTCCCATGTACTCACAGATTTCTTCTATGTCAGCGGATCTCATGGCAGTCGGCCGTCAAATACATACCTTCGTCCTCTTGTGTGGCACAATCTTGGTTCTCGAGGACGAGGCGATGCGTCTCAACTGCCCAGCCCAGCGTCGGAAGGGGGACGAGCCAGAGTGCGGACGCCTCTCGTGCAACCACTGCAAGGTTCATTCTCATTGTGGGTGGAGCACAATGACCTACGACTGGCAAGCCGGTAAGTAATTCGTCATACTCCTCGTCTCTAGTCGGCCAATGCGCACCAGCAACGCTACAGAGGCCGTTCAATGATCGGAGGAGACTAACTACGCCTCGCGCGTATTGTACTCGTGCTTGTGAAAAAAAAAGGGCGGACGGCATTAATATGTACTAGAGATCTGTCGAACGCATCAAGCCACCTCGTAAAGGTGTCGCTTACCTCGAATTCAAGATGGCGCACAAAAACATCTCAATTTCGGACGGTCATCTGGCAGCACCATAACATCAAAGCCATCGTATTTTGCTGCTCCTTCCGCCTGAGGGAGACTAGGTATTTCGGGAACGACCGTGGTATGTTGTACGGGGGCCGACGAAGAGGCAGGTTTTCGCTCATAATCAGACTGCCGTCCTTATACGACCATAAGCCATCCAACCTGACGAGCGGCTTGGTAGAACTTGAGTTCAGCGGCTTGGCATCACTTGAATAATGAAGAGAAGTCGCTACCAGTGCTCGTAAATTGCTGCCGCCGCTAGTTTTCCTCCGCTCCGCGGAATCAGATGCGCTTCAGAGCTTTCGAGTGGCGCAGGAGCGGACTTTGTGGCCTTTGTCAACGCGGGCTTCAGAAGTAGTGAGGTAGATCGTACAGTTCCGTCGACATGATGAGAAGGAAGGCAACTGATCAGTCAGTTCAAGTGGATAGTTGTTGAACCTGGGTGTGGGAGTTGACAAGAACTCGTATCGCCACAAACGTTTCGGCCAATGCCGAAACGACTTCAGGGGCGCCACAAACGCTGAGTCCGCCTTGTCCGCTGTCGCATCATCAACTTGCACCTCGTAGCCATCTCTGCCGGTATTGTGTATGAGATGTCCTACCCATGGGCCAGGTAAGCCGCATGCAGCCGCAGACCTGGTCGTTGCTCACGAATATCAGCGTGAAGGTTGGTGTATATCATGGCGACCTTTCCGCACGCAGCAGACACCTCCATCACTTCTGTCTGAAGATCAACTCTATCAAAGACGCCGCACACGGCGCACACGATGCTGATGTCTATAAACGAGCTCAATCCCACGTCGACGGCCTGCTTGCGCTTCATCGCAAGCGTCCGGATCTTCTGACGTCCTTCATCCGACTCAATCCCCTAGTCAACAAGAGCTGTCCTATGTGGACTGCATGACGTCCTCATTCGGATGTGACGTGTGCAGTGCGCTGCTTGCCACTCTAAGCCTCCGCATGTTTGCCTGCCTGCCAAATATGTCCCAACTCTGGACGCTCGACGACAGCATCTGGACCTACGTCTTCCTCTGGATAGAGTACTTCCTCCCGATCAATCATCCTTACGAGGAAAAGGCTATCGCCACCCTGTTGGACAAAGATTACAATGTTCTTTCCTCGATCCTCGCCTTGATCTCCACCGCCTTCAGCCTCTTCCGCAGCCCACGTCCCCCTATCCGAAACATCATGCTCGAGAGAGAGTACTTCGCGCCAAGGACCTTCATCAAAATCTGGCTCAATGGGCCCTTGTTGATGAACGGCGCTGAGATAGATCGCGGTATGATGATGTTTTACGGGCTCGACTTCATGCACGAATACATCGTGCGCCACGACGATAGCGCCGTCCGCGCATTGCTCATCGAAGAAATTCTCAAGATCACCAAATCCCGCCCCGGTCGCGTTTTCGGAAAGAGCTGGCTGGCCTGGCACCACAGGTGCCTCGATCTATTCCACCCTCTTAGCGACGAGAGACACTGGGACAAGCAACTTGAGTTGGGAAGCGCACTCGCCGATGTACCCGCACTGGGTGCAAGCGATTGCCCTCGGGAGATGATACGCTGCTTAATAAGCAACATAAAGTGGGCCATCTCGGACGAGCGCTTGAAGACCGCTGTCGGCAACTACAAGCTGATGCACAAGCTCTTCGTGTTGTCGAAAGACGACAGGCTTATACGGACCGCGATTAGGTACGATCTGCTGTCGCTACCTAGCAATCTGCGGGCCGCTTCACAAGAGCACGCCGTCGACACCAACGCCGTACTCGACATTATGGGAGGATCGCTCGTCTCGCCGCGAGCCTTACGCGAGTTCCATCGCTCGTATTCGCGGATACAAGGCTTGGTTCCTAGGCCACAATTAGGCAGGAAGGAGATGGACCTGGTTGCATTGTGCGCCAAGCGACTGTCCCTAGTGAACCGCAGGAAGTGGGCGCTACAACAGAAGTGCTGTAGGAACCGTGTACGCCTCCAATCTTCACGATCTTCATCAATTGACGGCCTTTCTTGCCAGTGCTCGAACAGGCTTTCGACGTATAACACCGCCAAGCTCCGCGCTTGTCTATGCGGAGAAGCGCTGTACTGCTCCTCAGGATGCCAGCGAGCGCACTGGGTAGAGGGCAAGCATCGTCAAGTCTGCCCGTATAAAGCCAATCCAGCAGGTACTTTAAGTCTCTGATGCGTGCCTATGCTCCTTCCTGAGCTCTATCCATAGATATCCTCCCGGCGAAACAATACGCGTTTCTCGTATCCATCGCGCACGCCAGCTTGGTGCAGGGCTTTTCGGATATCCAGTCGAAGTTACTGCGTCACGAAGACTCATTTCGTGCGGCGATACCGCTAGATTTGGATCTGACGCGAGGCGAACCTCGGTGGGCAAGGTCTCTTGACTCAGCGGATTCTTTTTCTTGGGCGCCAAAGACCTATCTCGTTACCGTTAAGTTTCTACAAGGGGGCCGCCAATGCACACGGTCTACCAACTTCTTCCCCGCCTGGACGGTGGAACCATTCTCGGTGCCGTTTTGGCCGCTCTCGTGTCAATGCTTCAGTAAGCCTTATATCCTTGTAACATCTTCCCACAGGTCGACTAACTGCGCTACAGTGACGGGTTCGGAATAAAGTCGGTCTGGTACCCTTAGTAGAAGTGTCCCCGCAGTCTTGGTGACTGTCGGTGGGCGCTTACTACTAACTAGTAGGGCACCTGTTCTCCACGTGCTCGCCACCTGCCGCATGAAATTCACTCGAATCACTCAGCCACCTCTCACAGCTCTGTATTGTCGGTCGTCAACTAGCTTTACGTCTCATCTCTTCCGTCTGTTCACAACATATCGGCGCCAGGAACACGCCTGTATAGTCACGACGGCAACATAGTAGTCAATACAGCAATACGGCACAAGTGCCTCGCCCCTTTCAGACGGTGTCCTTTCACCGCGTTCCAACAGCGGGCATGCGATCGCGACATGCGCTTTCCTCTTCTTCATGAGCTGTTGACGATGGCGGCGCAAACCCATGAGGCCGTCATTATCGCAGCCATCGCCGCACATCAACTGTCGATCCCTGAAACAACGGGAACCACATCCCGTTACGAACAAGGTATGCATTCACGGCGCCTTCGTGCATTCAAGGGCGGCACCTGACGTCGTTTCCAGGACCAGTGCCCGCTGATCGAAGGCAACAGTATATTCATTGGCCTCCGACGGGGACCTGAGTCTCGGCAGCAGCATCGGGAGTATATATACGTCGGAACGTCGAGATCGCTTTCCCCATTTCTCCCTCGACTCACGGATCCGTGCCCGCCCTATCCACCTCTCTTTTGCGTCCCTTCGACATCACCACCATGAAGCTCGTCGCTCTCTCCGCTCTGCTTCCCTTCCTCCTCTATACCCCTGCCCTCGCAGCGCCCGCCGAGTCGGTTACGGACGCCCTTCCCGCCACCGTCACGGACGCCCTTCCTGCTACCGTCACCGATGCCCTCCCCGCCACGGTGGCCCCCACCACGACCGCCTCCGCTCCCGATGCTTATGAGACCTGCGACAACGCCTCGAACTGCTACGGCGCGGTCCACGGCTGGGGCAGCTTCATCGACTACGAGCCGTATCAGGCCAACCTCATGGGCGCGTGCACGAACGACACGTCTGTGACGGACGGCGCGGGCAACCTTTGGGGCAGCAAGGCGTGCGTCGCAGTCGCGGTGAGCTACCAGAAGATCTGGGTGAGTGGGCGAGAGAGAGGTTGTGTCGGGGATGAGATGCTCACAGGTTGCGGTAGCCCCAGCAAGTCCACGGCATGGCGACCTGCGGGCATCAGCAGATCGCGTGCGAGGCTGACCAGCCGAGCTTGGACTACAACGTGAGTGTCATCTTCCTACATCTCCTTGGGCAAGACACCTTTCTGCATGGCGCATGCGCTGTCCGCATGCGAGGTCCACGCGCTGTGAGCCCTCAGCCTTTGACGGCTTGAACTGATGATCCTTACCAAGATTTACGCCTCCATCGTCGGTGACTGCGCCTGGCAGCCCAACGGCTGCCCCATCACGCAGCAGAACTTCATCGACTTCGTCTACAGCACTCTCACCGAGATCGGGTCCGCGGACTGGCCGAGGTATGTCGTTGGCTCTCGTACTGTCTTCTTCGAGGCTCACTCTCCCTCCCAGCGACGTCAACAAGCTCATCTCCGAGGGCTGGCAGCCGCTGCTCGACTGGGCGCAGACGGGCGACAGCATCCCGTACACCAACTTCAACGACTTCCTGCACTATGCGTGAGGTGGACGATTCAGCGGCAGACAGGCGGCGCCGCGATCAGCATTGGCGTGGTTGTCCGCTGTAGTGGTCCGCACTCTTACGCGAACTTTTTCCTCGTTCTTCCTTTGTATCGGACAGTGCGGCGTGTGGTATATACCGATTGTTCATCTGTGGGCAATGTAATGGTCTATAAGTGGGTTATGTCGGAGCTTGAATGCCGCGAGTTGAAAGACAAGCTACATAGAACTTCCCCTTCAAAAGATATTCCTGACCGACGCGCTTGTAACGACCGTTGCCTCGACCACAGCAGCTTTCGCGCCTAAATCCTTCGCCTTCATGACCTCCAGCTCCGTCCACCCCGACACGCCAAATATCTCCGGTAGTGCGCCCCAGAACTCTTGCCGCAGCCTCTCGTGCCGCTCAATAAAGTTCATCGTGCAGTTCGCGCACATATCGCATGTCTTCCCAAGCAACCAGTTGGGCTCTAGGATCGCGAGGCAGCGGTATGAGGGTGTGGTGAGTTCCTGCTTGCATGTTTTCCGAAGGTACGCGGCACACCGGCCGTTCGAGAGGGCACACCCTCTGGTCTTCTGCGAGGGGCGGTAGATCGCAAAGATAGAGTTTGCGGGCATAGACACCGGCTCGGGACAGAGATCGGCGTCGAACATGAGGACGATGAAGCGCGTCCAGAGGACGCGGTACTGCTCGCGCATGGACCACGCGGAGTGGCGCGTCTGGGTGTCGAACTCGAGGCGCAGGGTGTCTGACGCGGGAACGTCGGCTGTGAACTGCTTCGCATCTGCGTGCACCCAGCTGAGCATCGCGAACGGCACAAGCCACAGCGCCTGCGTCTCTGTCGCGACGTCAAAGATCATAGCAGCCTCAGCTGAGGGCCTGATCTCGCGCGCTCCGGCGTCGAATCCCGAAAGGGTGGTGGGATATGAATCAGCTAGATACTGCAGTGTCCTCTGACGGAGAGACGGAGCGTCATACTTGTGGCTGAGCCTCAGGATACCGGCAGTATGTCTGGCGCTTGGCTTAGCAGAGATGCCATGTAAGCTAAAGTAAGTGTAGTTGTGAGTGTTAACACGATGGGAGCCAGCATGACAGTACGCACAAAGGATCAAACAGCGTGCGCAGGAATGCCTCAACCTCGACCGGATCGTCCTGAAGTTCGACAACGGGGCACCCCTCGTAGCTCTCAAGTCCACTGTTAGGCATACTGAGGATATCGCCGAGGGCCTTCGCTCGTTTCCCGAGCTGTGAAGGTGACACGCGGATCAGGCGATCCCCGGCTCGAATGACGAGAGAGTCACTCTCAAACCAGAGGTCAGGGACCTTCTGCGGCTCAGATGCGGGAGAAAGCGCCGTGCCACTCATATTTGTGGCGAGGGACGACGTCAAGATGGGATGCAGGAGGTGTACTGGCCTTTGTTAAGAGCGATGATGGCCACTGAAAGCCTGGACCAGACACGAGTTGATGGCGAATCGCCGCATGCGCGTCCACAAACCACAAAGGCTCAGAGTGCAGCAATTGGATGCCATTCTGAAAGAAATGCAAAAATAGTTACAAGATCTTTAAAGATAAAATACTTCGCGCACACGCATGAGAAGAGACGAAGTGGAAGGGGCAGAACACGCGAAAGCCCGGAGCAGGATGAGGGAACACATTGCGCCACATTATTCCGGCAAAAGCCGGATACGCCACATTTGCCTCGATGTTCGAATTTCGCCTTGTCCTTCGCCTTCATGTGGTCGAGTCGCTGGCTTGGGAGCCTCACAAGAGGCGCCAGCGGGCGCTCTGTCCAGTCATATTTGACGCCTTGCTTATACATGTCCACCCTCGGCGCTCAGCGCCCGTTGTGTCAAGCCAGGGACCGTTTCTTTCGAGCTCGGCATAAGTAGAATATCGTCGCATAGTTCGGCAATCATAGACAGAGCGTCCTGCGTCATTTTATTCTAACGGACACGTTAACCTCAGAGGTTCCTTCTAGCGACTGGCATGCGTCGCGCGCAAAGTCACTGAAGGTCTTTGTTCGCGTCGTTAGCTCCGTTGTCTACAGGCTCTTGATTACCCGCGCATCGCGTACGTCCCCTCCCTCCTGCTTCTAATCACCTTCTGCATCTCTTACAGAATCAACTCTGTCGGCAAGCACCAGTCAGAAAGCGCGCTCTGGTCGGTCATCAGGGCTGAATGGTACACTATGGCGCTGTAGGTCTCCCGATCTACGCACTAGCCCGGTCCAAAAGCCCCAAAGCAGTCACCTGCACTCGCCTTTGCTAAGGCGATTACGCGGTATCCCATCACGAGCCCTATCTCATGGCGCTCGCTGCCGTCGCTATGAGCGTCGTCTTTCGCCATCGCGTGGGCAGCGGTCTACTTGGAGAGGCTAACAGAGCGTCCGAGGCGCGCTAAAGTACGCTCGAACGCCATCGTGCCATCAGCGACGATAGAGAGGTGGATACGTGTGCAGGTAAGAACCCCACACGGCGTGCGATATATGAGACAGCGTCGCTGACCTCCCTCTGTCCTCTTACAACCATAACCTGACCTCTCTCATCGGCAAGCAGACATATTACTTCCACATCAACCACTCGTACCTACTCAGCACTCGCACCTATTCACCTCCACTTCCATCATGTCGCACGACCGCTCCGGGGAGATCGCCAACATCGACGACCTCGATCCCGGCCAGGAGTACTACATCATCGGCGCGCATTGGGGCGCAGCCCTGCACGCGTCGAAGGTTGGTGATAAGGTGGATATGACGACGGGGCACGGTGAGTGATCCCATGGGTCATGGCGGGGTGCAGTGTGCGCTGGCGTGTATTGTAGACGGTCGCTAGCGTGTGCCCTAGACGGTCGCTGGCGTGTACCGTAGACGGTCGCTGGGTCCGTGACGGGAGACGACCGCGACGCTGACAATAGACGCAGGCGGCGCATGGAACCCGGGACAGTCGGGTGGTGAGAAGATGGGTACGCCGTTCTGTTGCCGGGTGCGCCGTCCTGTTATAGGGTACTCTCCACGCTATCGCATTCCCCAAAGTCGCTATCGCACATGCAGTGTCGTTCGCGCTCCTTCTCAGCCGTCATTTCTGTTCTCGTCCGTCCTTCTGTTCTCAGCCGTCCTTTCTATCCTCAGCCGTTCTTTCTAATCTCAGCCGTCCTTTCTGCCCTCAGCCTTTTTTCTGCCCTCAGCCGCCCTTTCTGATCTGACTGCTTTATACAGTGGACCATCCAGCGCGCGGACGGCGGCTATAACATCAGGAGCGTCGAGCACGGGTCGTATCTTGGATTTCATCATGCCGAGATCGACAGCGCGGGGTTCACAGGCGCTCGGAGGGGTCCTCTGTGGGCCTCACCGCGTCGAAGGGGTCCTCTGCGGGCCTCGCCGCGTCGAAAGAACCCTTCGCGTGGACGGTCGAGCCTCAGAACAAGGGCGACGGGGTGTTCCGGTGAGTGCGTCTATCTTTATCGGCGGGCGTCTATGCGTCGAAGGGTTGGCGTGCGAGTGTGCGTTCAAGTTTTAGCGTACGAGTAGGCGTTGAGATGGGCGTCGTCGATGAGCTTCCACTCGTCGAAGCATCGAGGAGGCGGGCGCTCAACGAAGATCCGATGAGGCGTCGCTCGTGGGAGTTCAAGCATGCGTCGCTCGTCGACGCTTCAAGGAGTAGGCGCTCGCCGAAGCCTGAGCTGACCCTCGAAGCCCAAGCTGACCCTCGAAGCCCAAGCTGACTCCCACCCCCCAGCTTCACCGTCCCGCATACCGAGGTCCACGTCGACTTTTCGAGCGTCGCGAGCGTCGACCAGTCTGCCGGCGGGGAAGACACTGAAGTCGACTTCGCCGCCAGCGACCAAACCACCGAATCGGACTTCGCCGCCAGCGAACTAACCACTGAATCGGACTTCGCCGCCAGCGAGCTAACCACTGAAGCCGACTTCGCCGCCAGCGAGCTAACCACTGAATCGGACTTCGCCGCCAGCGAGTCCGACGAGGCCGCCTTCGCGCGCGAGATGGCCGCCGCTGGGCATAACTTCGATCCGAACTTCAAAGCTGGTGGCGAGCTCAACGCTGGCGGCAGCGTCGAGGCTAATGGTGGTACCGACGTCGAGGCTAACGGTGGCAGCAGCGTCGAGGCTAACGGTGGCAACACCGCCGAAGAAGGCGCAGGTCCGACACTGCACGCCTTCGGCCGGCCGTACGGCTTCCCGCCGGGGTACTTTAGCAAGTGAGTGTATCGGGGAGGGAAAGGCAGTAGGGAGGGGCGGCGTGGTGAACTGCGCGCTGGAGAAGGATGGCCATGAATTAACGTGTGTGTATTCGATAAGATACGGTCGTGTACTCGTGAGAATACGCGTGTGTACTCGATAGGATATGCGTGTTTACTCGCGAGGATGAATAGCACAGTCGTGCTTAGCACGTTCATCATCAGAAGGCTCTCGCTCGAGTGGCGCGTGCCGCATTTCACTCGCGTGGCGCGTGCCGCATCCGAATCGAGGATTGCGCGTCGCATCCCAATCGAGAGGCCCGCGTCGCACTCCAAGACGGTAGTACTTGAGCATGAGCCCGCTCGACGAGCGCGTTGGATTCGCAGACTAGTATACATTGCATATTTCTTTTCTCACGTCCCTCACCTATACTCCATCCACCCTTCCCTTCGCCACCCCATCCACCCTTTTCTCTCCCCCTCCCTCCTTCCTTTTCTCTCCCTTCTTCCCCTCACTCCCCCTCCCCCTCCACACACCCTACTCCTCCCCCACCTTCTTCACACCGACGAGCACGCGCTCGTTCCGCCGCCAGAAGTTCACGTGGATCTCCGCCAGCTTCGTCGGGTTGTCCTGTGGGGGAGGGGGAGGGGGTTAGTTGGGTGGTAGTGAAGAGGGTGGGAGGGGTGAGGTAGAGGAGAAAAGGAAAGGGAAGAGGGGTGAATGGAGGAAGGGGTGATGGTGGAATGGAGGAGAGGGTGGGGGGGAGAGGGTTTGGGGGAAGAGGGGAAGGAAAGAAGGGGAGGGGAAGTCAGCGCTTGTGAGAGAGGAGCGTACGCGCCGCGCAGCGAGACAAACAGCGTCGCGAGCACGACGAGCAACGTCGCAGTGCATGACGAAGAACGTCGCAGTGCACGACAACCAACGTCGCAGTGCTAGCAAGGAGTGTCGCAGTGCACGCTCTCGTCCGTACTGTACCACCCGCCCTTCCCCCAACCAAAAAAACCAACAAAGAAAAATCACACCCAACAAACAAACCCCACCCACCTCATGCAACAGATGGCCCACGTCCGGGACCACCTCCAGCTGGAAGCGGCCCTGCATCTGCCCGATCATGAGCGGCTTGTCGAGGCGGTCGGTGCCTGGGGGGTTGGGGTGGTCAGTGAAAGGTGAAGGAGGAGGGTGAGGGGTGGGAGCGGGTGGGGAGGAAGGAGAGGGGGGAGGAAGGAGAGGGGGGAAGAGGGAGGGGTGAAGGGGGGAGGCGGGTGAAGGGGCGTGAGGGACACGGGAACGAAGGACTAGTGATACGAAGATGAAAAGGAACTCGAAACACGAACGCAAGCACACACACACACACACACAAAAACGAAAATAACCTCACTCACCCGCCAAAACCAACAACCGCGCCGTGCGCGCGTCGAGGAACGCCTGCGAAAGGCCCTCGAACCAGCCTGTGGGAGGAGGGGTGGAGTCAGCCGCGTCGTCCGAGGGGGGGTTGAGTTAACCACGTCGTCCTCGGAGGGAGAGGAAAGCGGAGAGCGGGTAAGTTGGAGTGGAGTGTGTCAGCCGCACTGTCCTCGAGCCGTTTAGCTTCTGATTCCCGCTGGCGCCTGGCGTTCGCCGTATCCCTCCCTCCCGCACTCTTTTCCTCCCCCCTCTCGTCCTGCAGCGCCGTTTCACCCCCTCCCGCCGCGCCGTCTCTCTCCTCCCGCCGCACTGTCTCTCTCCCTCCCGCCGCGCCCCCCTCACGCTTTCCTCGTCTGCCCCTGCCTCCCTCCCCTCCGCCGCCCCCCCCCCGGCCCGTCCCTCCCCGCCGCAGCCGCGCGAAGCGTGACGTACATAGCATCTTGGCCACGAGCGGAAGGGGATCGAGGTCACCAGCGGAAGGGGATCGGAGTCACCAGCGGACGGGAAAGGAGGCAACGTGCGGAAGGGGATCAAGGTCACCAGTGAAGGGGGATCGAGGTTACAAACGGAAGGGGATTCAGGGTACGAACGGAAGGAGATTCAGGTTACGAACGGAGGGGGATTGGGGTCACGAACGAAAAGAAAAACCACACACGCACCCCGCCAATACGCCGCCGTCGTCCGCAGCGGCGTCCGCCACACGTACTTGTAGGGCGGCGGTCTGCCGTCGGGGGCTGGACAGGTCGTCAGCTTCTGGCTAGTAGAGAGGACGGTGCGACCACGAGGACGGGGGGTAAGGCGCGACCACGAGGAGGGCGCGACCACGAGGCCGGGGGGTAAGGCGCGCCCAGGAGCGAGGCGAAGGGAACGCGGCGAGAAAGGGGGAAGGGAGCGGTAGGAAAGGGAGGCGCGCCCAGGAGCGGGGCGGGGGAGGCGAAGGGAAGGGGATCGCGTGAGGAAGAACGGGAGTAGAAGGGAAGAGGATCGCGTGGAGGCCATGGGGTGGAGAGGAGAGAGAAGAAGCACATACCCGGTTTAGCCTCCACGAAAATCGGCGGAATGCTGATCCGCGCCGAGTGCACGTTGCGGATCGTCTTCGTCTGGATGCTGGGCGAGGAGGTCAGCGCGCGTCTAGTTTACTCCTCATTGGAGGGGTCGCATCTAGTCAACTCCTCCCTGGAGGCCTTCGCCGTTTGCTCCCCCTTCCGGGCGTCGGCGCCGGAAAGGACCCTCTCGGGCGCCCCCGTCGGGTTCGGCCACGCCTCGCCCCCCTTCGTCTCCCTCCTCACACCCTCCACCCCCCCAACCCCCAAACCACCAACCCCCCCCCCCCCCTCCCATTATCTCCCCCCCCCCACCCCTTCTCAAAAACCCGCAAAAAAAACCACTCACTGCCACCCCACCGCGTCCTCCAGACACCGAAACCCCTCCGGCCGGCCCGCGAGCAGGCCGTGCATGGCGGGGAGCGCGGGGAGGGCGTGGCCTGTTGGGTAGGGGGGGGGGGGGGGGGTTAGTTAATTAAGGGGAGTTAGCGAGCGAAATCACGCACCCTCGACCGCATCGAGCACGCTCACGCCGATCAGGCGGTATTTCCTGTGGTGGGGGTTAGTGTTTTTTTTAGAGCGCAAGTGTTAGCGTTGTGCTCAGGGCGAGTGTTAGCGTTGGGCTCAGAGTGGGTGCGAGCGTCTCGCTTGCCCCACCCCGTCCCCACATCCCGCCCCCGTCGCCCTCGCTCCCCTCCTTGCCCTCGCCCCACTCCACATCCCGCCCTCGCTCACTTCACTCTCCCCCCCGTCCGCCGCTCGCTCCCCGTCGCCCACTCCTTCGCCCTCTCCCACCCCGCCCCGTAGCCGAAGTTCGCCCTCTCCTTTGCTCCGCCCCGTAGCCAAAACGACGAAGGGCGCGTCCGAAATGGCATGTGGGAGGCGCGCCGCAGTCGAAACGACGATAGGACGACGCGCCGCAGTCGAAACGACAAGAGGGCGCGTCTGAGAGATCGACTGCGAAGCGCGTCCGATATGGTCCACCCCGTAGCCGAAACGCCGACGCGCCGCAGTCGAAACGACGAAAAGGCGCGTCCGAAATTGACCTCGCGAAGCACGCCCGGAGCAGACCCCGCGAGGCGCGTCCGATATGGCACGCGCGAGGCGCGTTCGAGATCGACCACCCCCGCTCCTCTCCCCCCACCTCTCCCCTTCACTCCGCCACACCTCCCCTTTCCCCCTTTGCCCTTTACCCACCCGTCCTCTCACCCTCCCTTCACCCCCTTCCCCTTTCAACCACAAACCCCTTTCCCCTCCCACCCCTCTCTTCCCCTCCCTGTCCCCAACCGCCCACACGCGCCCCCCTTCCCCCCTCCCCTCCCTTCCCCCTTCTCTCACCACCCCTTCACCCCCTCTCGCCCTTCAGCCACCCCATCCAAAACCACTCTCTCCCTGCCCTCCCCCCTTCCCAAAAGAGCAAACTGATCCAAAACCAAACGCACAAACAAACACCCATCAAAAAAAAACATCCAAACATTCATAAAAATAGGAATAGGACAAAAAAACCACGACCACTCACCTCCCCACCAACACCGCGCACGCCCGCGTCACGACGCTCCCGCCCATCGAGTGGCCGGTGAGCTAGAGTCGGTGAGTATAGGTGATGAGGGGGGAAGGGGACGGGGAAGGGTGGGGGGTATAGGGGTGGGAAGGGGAGGGGGGAGCGAAGGGGGGAGAGGGATGGGCGAAGGGGTGGGGAGGGAGTAAGGGGAGGAAGAGGGGTAGGGAGATGTGGAGGAACCATGGCGAACGCGTACGCACCAAAAACCCCGGCGCGCGCGCCGGGTCCGGGAACATCGTCGTGAGAAGGGCGACGAGGTCGTCGACGAGGGTGGTGATGGAGAGGTCCTCGGGCTCGGGGTCCACGAGGGAGGTCGTTTTTCCTGGGAAGGGGTGTGAGCATGGTGTTGGGAGATGTGGGACGAGGGTTAGGGAGAGGGAGGGCGCGCTTTCGACGGACAGACGCGCCGAAGACGCTCTCGGACGAAGGCGCCCGGAACAAAAAAAACAACTAGTCACGCGCGGAAAGAGCAGATAGTACGACACAGAAGAGAACGACTAGTCACGCGCGTGATAAAACCACACGCACCATGCCGCCGCGCATCCAGCGCGAGCACGCCCAGCTCGCCGCGCGTGGTGGAGGTGATCTGGGGGGTGGGGTTAGTTCCACATTCGATGATAATGTTGGTTTCGCGTTCGATCATAATGTTGGTTTCACGTTCGATGATTAGTCTTTTGGAGCCCCTCCTAGCGGAGGGGGAGAGGGACGGGGTATAGGGAAAGAGTTGGGTGGGAAGGGGGTGAAGGGGGGTTGGGGAAGGGGTGAAAGAGGGAGAGGCGAGGAAGGACGGGGAAGGTTTTGGGGGAAGGGGGGGGGAGCGAAAGAGGGAAGGGGTGGTATCGCCCCTCGGACGACGTTGGAGGAAGGGCGGTGGAAACAAAGGGCAAAGGGGCGAGCGGGCGAATAGAGGGTAGACGAGCATGACGCAAGACCAAACAGACACGGCGTAAGGAGAATAACTCACCTCCCCCGCGAAGCACGCGAAGCTGAGCCCTGAGTAGCCCGCGCCGTGGTGCGCGACGAGGAGCGGGCCGGTGGGGGACTGGGGGGTTTGTCAATATTTTCAAATTAGGGCGGTGGGATGAGGTGCGGGCGTCGGTAAGGCGAGGAGGCGAACGTCAGCAAAGCGAGGAGGCGAGCGTCAGAACGTGATATAAAAAAGCGCCCTTCGGGCGCGCGCGGGAGGGAGAGGCGTTGATAAAGACTCGTCTTTAGCGCCCTTCGGGCACTGAGAAGATGGGGTTGGTGGGGGAGGGTTAGCGAGTAGGGAGGGACGAGGCTGAGTGGGGCTGAGGCGGGGAAGGGGGAGGGAGGGGGAGGGGAAGCGAGGGGGAGGGGAAGCGTTCTCCGAACTCGTATAGCATACATGAAATGGCGTCGAGCCTCCCGCTCCAATCCCCTCCCCCTCCAACAAAGGATCAACACCAAATTAGAACATAAGCACTCACCCCCGCCGCCGTATAATACACCCTCATATCCAGCCCCCGGTCCGGCAAGGGTATCTGCGCGGACTCGGCGAAGAGCCCTGCGGCGGAGAGCGGGGCGAAGGCGGGGTTGGGTTTGTGCTCCCTTGTATTTCTTTTATTGTAAGTGGGGTTCTGGTTGCGAGCGCGCGGGTCGAGGCGTTGGAGGTGGGGGTTTGGGGGGCTGTGGAGAGTTAGTGGGGGACAGTTGGGGGACTGAGAGGGAGGAGGTGAGTGGGGGCGAGGGAGAAGGTGAGGGAAGGGTGGGGTGGGATGGCGAGGGGGGGTGGTGGTGCGGGTGGATGGCGAGGGATGGCGAGGTGTGTGGGAGCGGATGGACGTGCTCACACCGCAGGCGGTCCCAGACCGCTGTTGGGCAGGTCGCCGAGGCCGTCGGTTTCGAATTCTTCGTCGTCGTCTGGAGAGAGGGCAGGGAGGGTGTTAGTAAGGGTGGGAAGGATCGCTGGCGACGGACCGTCGTCAAAGGCCGGGGCGCGGTTGACACCGTCGCCAAAGCCAGGCGCGCGCGTCACAAAGTCGTCTCCGGGCGGGAGATCGGGCGGGAGCTTGGCGATGCGTGCGCTCATGGCGCTGCGGTAGAGGTCGGACATGGGGTGTGTGGGTGGTGGGGTGTGGTGAGGATGGGTGAAGACGCGGCAGGGCGTGAATTCAGAAGCGTACGCCAGTCGAGTGCGTCGATGAAGAGGGCACCGCGCTCGTCCCTGTCCTTGTCCTATCGCGGGTTGGGCAGTGGATGGATGGCGTCGTGTGCTAGGTGTTGCCGATCGCGTCCAGAGTCGTACAGGGTTTCGTCTCGCGCGCGCTGGTCGATCGAGTCTCGTGTCGCGTCCTGCGCTCGTCGACTGTCGGTCCCGTCTATCGCTCGTGGCCGCCGGACGCAGATCCGGATGGATCATCAGGGACGTCCTCGGCCCGGTCGAGCGACCGATGACGCATGGGGTGACACGCCCGCCGATCGACACGCGGGCCGATCGACACGCGGCGTCGGGATCTGATGTTGCGATCGATCCGGGTGAGATTGTTGTCTCCCTTAGGTTGTCTCCCTATCCCAGTGCTTGTTCCCTCCTCTCACACACCGGTGGTGAAGTGGTTATCATGCTTGCCTTCCATTTATTCAGTGAGCAAGCGGCACGGGTTCGATTCCCGTCCGGTGTACTAGCAACAGAAAGTGTGACTTTTTTCCCCGTCATTCCATTCTGTTTTCGTCATCCCACTCCGCTTCAAGGGACATCGTCCCCTTCTTCCTGACGCTCTCCTCCCTCCCCTTCCTTCCCCCTCCCCTTTCTACCACTTCCCTCCTCTCCCTTCACCCTTTCTCAACCCCTCGCCGCGCCCGACCTCCTCTACCCCCTCTCAACTCTTCCCTCTCTACACCTCTCTCGACCCCCCTTGCCCTCCCTACCCCTCTCGACCCCTCTACCTCCCTTCCCCTCTCGACGGCTCTCTACCCCCCCCTTTCCCTCTCCACCTCCCTCCACCCTATCCTCTCCGGCTCGCGTACCCGAACCCGCGCGCGGCCGATGCGAGCTGGACTCGCGTATCACGTCTGCGAGCAGAGCCGAACCCGCGTACCGCGTCAGCGAGCAGGAGCTCGCCGAACCCGCTCACCGCGTCAGCGACCCGAACCCACTTACCGCGCCTACTCGTCGACCTAGCGTACCACGTCTGCGAGCAGAGCAGGACTCGCGTACCACGCCTACTCGTCGACCTTGCGCCCCGCGTACTGCGATCGAGCAGGACCTCGCGTCGCCGCGTACTGCGAGCGGGACCTCGCGTGAAGCCGCGTACTGCGAGCGGGACCTCGCCGTGAGCCGCGTACTGCGATCGAGCAGGACCTAGCGTGAGCCGCGTACTGCGATCGAGCAGGACCTCGCGTCGCCGCGTACTGCGACCCGACCTCGCGTACCACGCCTACTCGCCGACCTTGCGTATCCGCGTACTGCTCGCCGACCTCGCTCACGGCTTTAGCGACCCGACCTCGCGCACTGCGTCTGCGATCCGACCTCGCGTACCACGCCTACTCGCCGACCTCGCGTACCCGCGTCCGCTCGTCGACCTCGCGTGAGCCGCGTCTGCGAGCACGACGAGCGTGAGCCGCGTACTGCGAGCAGAGCAGGACCTCGCGTGAGCCGCGTCAGCGAGCAGGACTCGCCGAACCGCGTCCGCGACCCGACCTCGCGTCCGCTGCGTACTGCGATCGATCAGAGCAGGACTCGCGTCTGCGATCGAGCAGGACTCGCGTGGGCCGCGTACTGCGAGGCAGGACGAGGGGGGTCGTGGGTGCGAGCAGAGCAGGACGAGCGTACCCGCGTATGCGACCCGACCTCGCGCGTACCACGTCAGCGAACCGACCTCGCGTGGCGCGTCTAAGAGCAGAGCCAACCTCGCGCCCCACGGCTGCTCGCCGACCTCGCGTGAGCCGCGTACTGCGAGGCGGACCTCGCATGAGCCGCGTACAGCGAGCAGGACGAGCGTGAGCCGCGTACTGCGAGCAGAGCAGGACGAGGGGGTCGTGGGTGCGATCCGGACCTCGCGTGAGCCGCGTACTGCGAGCTGGACTCGCGTACTGCGAGCAGAGCAGGACGAGCGTCGCCGCGTCTGCGATCAGAGCAGGACGAGGGGGACGCGTCAGAGCAGGACGAGTGGGTTGTGGGTGCGAGGCAGGACGAGGGGGTCGTGGGTGCGAGCAGAGCAGGACTCGCGTACCCGCGTACTGCGAGCAGGACCTCCCGTCGCCGCGTTTCAGAGCCGACCTCGCGTACCGCGAGCAGAGCCGACCTCGCGTCCCGCGTCAGCGAGCAGGATCTCGCGTGGGCCGCGGGCTGCGAGCCGACCTGGCGTACGCGACCCGACCTCGCGTGGGACGCGTTTGCGAGCAGGACCTCGCGTACCCGCGTACTGCGAGCAGGACCCGCGGTGAGCCGCGTCAGCGAGCCGAGCACGCGTCGCCGCGTCCGCGATCCGGACCTCGCGTGAGCCGCGTCTGCGATCGATCCGACCTCGCGCGGCGCGAGCAGAGCAGGACCTCGCGTACTGCGACCCGCACCTCGCGCGGGCCGCGGGCCTGCGAGCCGACCTCGCGTACCGCGTACTGCGAGCAGAGCAGGACTCGCGCGTGGGCCGCGTACTGCGATCCGACCTCGCGTGAGCCGCGTCCGCGAGGCAGGACCTCGCGTGAGCCGCGTACTGCGAGGCAGGACGCGGGGGTCGTGGGTGCGATCGAGCAGGACCTCGCGTAGCCGCGTACTCGCGCTGGGCCGCGGGTGCGATCGAGCAGGACTCGCTGGGCCGCGTACTCGCTGACCTCGCGTACCGCGCCTACTCGTCGACCTCGCGTAAGCCGCGTACTGCGAGCAGGACTCGCGTGAGCCGCGTACTGCGAAGCAGGACCTCGCGTGAGCCGAGCGGGACTAGCGTAACCGCGTACTGCGAGCAGAGCAGGACGAGGGGGTTGCGTACTGCGATCCGACCTCGCGTGAGCCGCGTACTGCGATCCGAACTCGCGTGAGCCGCGTCAGCGAGCAGGACGAGCGTGGGCCGCATCTGCGATCAGAGCAGGACGCGGGGGTCGTGGGTGCGAAGCAGGACCTCGCGCTGGGCCGCGTGTGCGAGCGTGAGCCGCGTCAGCGATCGAGCAGGACTCGCGCTGGGCCGCGTACTGCGATCGAGCAGGACCTCGCGCGACGCGTACTGCTAGCAGGGCGCGCGTGAAGCCGCGTCAGCGAGGAGCAGGACGAGCGTGGGCCGCGTTTGCGATCAGAGCAGAGCAGGACTCGCGTGAGCCGCGGGCTGCGAGCAGGGTACCGCGGATGCGATCGAGCCGACCTCGCGTACCGCGTCAGTGAGCAGGACCTCGCGCGGCGCGTACTGCGATCAGAGCAGGACGAGCGTGAGCCGCGTACTGCGAGCAGGACTCGCGCTGGGCCGCGTACTGCTCGCCGACCTCGCGTGAGCCGCGTACTGCGAGGCAGGAGTCGCGTACAGCGGGTGCGATCGAGCAGGATGCGAGCCCCCGAGCGCAGGAGCGGAGGGGAGGTGGGGAGAGGAGGTGGGGAGGACGCGGGGGCCGAGCGCAAGAGCAGGAGGCGGCGCAGGAGAGGTGGGGAGGGATTCAGGCGGGGATGTCGAGCGCAGGAGAGGTGGGGAGGGATTGAGGTGGGGAGGGATTGAGGTGGGGAGGGGAGGTGCAGGAGCGGAAGGACGGGTAGAGAAGGGCAGGAGGGCTGAGGACTGCGGCGGGAAGGGCTGAGGAGGGGCTAGTCAGAGAAGGTTGAGGCGAGCGCGAGCTGATCTGGTTAGAGAAGGTGCAGTCGGAGGCGTGGAGTAGGTGAACCCAACTGAGAGTCGAAAGAGGTGAAGTCGACTGCGACTCGAAAGAGGTGAGGTTGAGTGCGATTCGGAAGAGGTGAAGCCAGGTGAGAGTCGAAGGAGAGGTGGGGTGAAATGAGTAGGATGAGGAGGGGTTGAAATGATTGGGATGAGGAGGGGGTGAAATGAGTAGGATGCGGAGGGGGGGGGATGCATGGGATGAATTGAGGGCGAAACGAGCGGAAGTAGGCGGGGGAGGGAGGAGTCGAGCTCGTCGGGCGCGAGGAAAGAAATCGCCTCGTTGGGTGCGAGGAGAGAAGCGGAGGCTCTCCCTGCCCCGCTGCGTACCCTCCTTGCCTCCCCGAGCCTCACGCTCTCTCTTGTACCCTCCCATTCACGCTTCGTACCCTCCCCTTCACGCTCGGCCCCTTCCCTCGCCCCACGCTCCGCCCTTCACTCCGCCGTCATCGCCACCCCCGAACCTGGGCTCGCGGTCGAGCGGCAAGATGTCTTAGTCGGGGTCGAGCCGCGATATGCAGCATGGTAGGGGAGAGAGAGGGGAAGATGGAAGGAGGGGTAAGAGGAGAGAGGAGGGGAAGAGAGAGAGGGGAGGGGAAGGCGAGCCGCAATATCAAACATTGTAAGCAAGGAAGGAAGGAAGGAGGGAAGAGATTCCAGGATGGGAGGAAGAGGGAAAGTCTAGGATGGAGGAAGGGGAGGGGAGGAAAAAAAGAAAGAAAAGCGCGCCCAACACAAGCTCTTACTTGAGCGCACTGGAACATGGGTAATACCATCCCCCGGTGCATGCGTGGGCCTACCCCCTGATACATGCGTGATCCTATCCCCGAGGCGTCTTTGGAGAGCTCTTTTGGATGAGATCATACGCCAGTCGGCCGCAGCTCGTACGCCAGACAGACGCAGCTCGTACGCTAGACAGCCGCAGCGCGTCCGGGTCATGATTAAGCTAGACGTACTTACACCTGCGTGAGCGTCGAAGGAACAGTCGGAGCTCGAACATGTGCGCGAACGTGGCGTGGCCGGCGTTTGCCGGGACATTTATGGCGCAACGGCCTGCTGTCACGGTCGTATTCCCCCCTCCTTGTCAGTGTCACGGTCGCGCCTTCAAGACGATCGTCTCTTCGCAGTCGCGTCCATGCGTTCCGTCGGCGCCCGAACGATGCTCTTGATGCATCTGTTGCAAACGATGCTCTTCATGCGTGCGGGGCTCGACAGCTCTGCGTGAACTTGATATGACGCGCGTCAACCTCTTGCCCTCGCTTACTGTCTGCCGATTTTGTCGCCTTCAAGGCCGCGCACCACGCTCTCCCCACTCTCTCGTCGGTTTCCATCAGGATTACGAGTCACTCGAAGCCAAAGCCTGAATTCAAGCCGCAGAGAGTCCCCGACCTCTGGTTGAAGAGTGACGCTCTGGTCGCCTCTTGCGCGTATCACCTTCGCAGCTCGGGAGACAAAGCAAGAGGCCCGAGCGATATCTTTATTACGCCAGATAACGACCCGAAGAGCTGCGAGGGATGTACAAGCGTCGCGACCCGAGGGGCGCTCTAGCACAGTCGGAGCGGAAGCGGTTCCGCGCGGGGGTTCCCCGATTCCGAGTGCGCGTTGTCGATCCTCCCTTCTCTGCTGATTGATGCACCCATTTGCACGCTATCTTGGCTTGGAGTGTTTCGCCCGGAGCTCGGCTGCAAGCCAGATGCTCTAACTCCGTGTGAGCAGGGCACTGAAGGTCCTCTCCGACGCTTGCGCCCCAACTGTCCTCATTCGATGCCGGAGCAGGACCCGGCCATGAGCTTCGACGACGCCCTCTCCCAGACGGCCGCTGTGTGTTGTATCATAGTACTACATGCTCCCTGCAGCTCATCATCTCGCGCTCCCGCATCCTGCTCCCTTCCACGCGTTCTGAACTACCGGACGTCTTCCCGCGTTCTACATCCTAGGCGTTTTGAGGGCGGTCTGCGTTCGGGTTTCTTTGGCGAATTCTGGGTACCCTTTATATCAATTCCCGTCGTACTATCTTGCTGACATGCTCATAGCTATTGCTGACATGCTCATAACTCTGCTTCCCCAGCTGTTGCTCGCACCTCTTTCCCTGACTTTTGCTGACAAGCTCATAGCTCTGTGTGCTATTGAGGGAAGCTGCCGCATGGACCGCTCTCGTCGATCAGCATCGGCGTTGCCTCTCATGCTCGGCGTCGTCGTCGTCGATGTCCTTGCTCGTCAGCGTCATCGTCGTCGCCCTGGCTTGTCGACGTCGATATAGCGGCGAGTCGCATTCGATGCTCAGATTTGTCGGGGCTAGAGGTTCAGGCTCGCTAGTGTCAGATGCGCCCTGGGTTCGCCCAAGGCCGAGCCGTGGTGAGCTCTGCGCATGACCGGACTGGGGGCTGGTCTCGGTCTCAGGGGAGAGGGAGAAGAAGATGCATCGAAAGTTTGGACGAATGCGGCCTCACGTTGAGAGATGGTCATTCTTCCTCCCGCCGTACCCCGCTCATTCTCTTTCGGTACACGCCAAGCTGGGATTTGAAGGGCGCGGGGAGGGACACAGGCGTCTTTCGATGGACTCGTCAAGAGGCGCAATGGAGGAAGACGAGGTGCGTCTCGACTTCAATTTAGCTCGAGATCGCCTTCCAAGACAAAATTCAGCGCGGAGAGAAGGGGGAGGCGATTCGCCCATGCGCCCCCTCGCTGTTCCTTCTTCGACATTACTCGGCATTTGTGTCCTCGTTCGACTAACTTGACGGTCACTTTTGAGTTTTTACCAGGAATCGATGTAAAAGGGCGTCAACGGGGCATAAGTGTGTATTCAATGCGGTATAGGTATATCAAAAGGCGGCGTACTTAGTTGTGTCATAGGCGCAAACAGTTGGTCATCGCGTTGGCGGTACGGTATAAGCGGAAGATAGGGTACAAGTGGAAGATACGGTAGTAGAAGAGATAGATAGGATATTACAAGTCAGGAAATACGGTACAAGGATCGAGTACAACCACCAGCGTGGTGTGAACAGAGAACATCCCTCCCTTCTATCAAGCTAGGCGAGGGTCTATGGACTTGTGCAACAGTCAGTACGTCGTCCTGCGTGAAGTATCTGCGAATCGCTCACCGTCGTAAAAATCGTGATGAGGAAAGACAACAGAAGAAATTCCAGGGAGGGTCACAAGCTACTCCGTGTCCTTGCGCATCTGGCGCGCGAGCACCGGCAAAGACTCCTTCCACCCACAGATCTCCAGCAGTGAATTCCAGCACTGCAGCCGAAGGTCGCCATGCCGCTTCCGGAAGCGCCTCTGGCAGTCCCCGCACAACTCGCTCTGCACGGGGGACGTCTTCCTGAACAGGACACCCATAGAGTACCCGGGCTCCCAGGAGATCATCTTCCCGTAGGCCGCGAGCTTCCTGTCGCATATCTTGCAACCGACGAGCGGGCCGAACATGCGCGGGCAGTACTCCGGCCACAACCGCGCGAACTTCTTGAAGATCGGGATCTCCTCCGCTTTCAGCGGGTCGCTGCAGCTGCGCGATGAGGTTGGGATCGAGGAGAGGCGGTAGAGCGTCGCGGACGGGAGGAGCCAGAGCGCGCCGACGGCGCGCGCGACGTCGGCGACGAGGAGGCTGGCGGCGCACGCGGCCTTCAGGTCCTTCTCCCCGGACGGCTCGTTCAGCTCTTCGAGGCGGGCGAGGGTGATGGGGAACATGCACGCAAGGCGCTGAAGCGCGCGCTTGCGCCAGGACGCGACGCGGTACTTGTGGCTGAGGCGCAGGATGGCCGCGTACATGCGGTACGTCTCGACGTTGGAGAGGGGCTCCCGAGAGAGGGTGGCGGCGAAGCTGGGCGGGGTCGCGTGGGGTGTGGTGGTGAGATGTGATGTAGCGCGGGTAGTGGGACGTCGTGTCAGCGCTTGTAGATTAGGCTTCGCAGGGAACTCACCTGGCGCTGGTAAGCGCGAGGAGAAAAACCTCAACATCGTCGCTCGAGTCGTCGAGCACGATCACTGGGCATCCCTTGTACATGTTCTCCTTTCCTGTGAGGGCCTTCGGCAATGCCGGCACAGCCGTATACAACGGCCTCTTCACCATGCAAAAGAGCCGGTCCTTGGCGCAGATGACGACGCACCTGCCGTCGCTGAAAAAGGGCTTCGGATCTGACCAGAGTTCCTCTAGTCGAGTGCGCTGCTTCGATGAAGGGTCGAACGTGAGTGGGGTCGCACTCGATTGAGAAGATGCGAGCGAGCTGCTCGTCGTCGCGGCTCGTGAGGCGTTCCGCAGAACGGCGCGCAGGGTCCTGCCCGATGTGGTGAGCGAGCCGTTGTTCGCGACGGGCCGCGTCGTGTTCGATGCAGATCGCGAAGTGGGCTTGAGCGCTGTCATGGCCGGCATGTCTAGCGCTAGGGAGAGGGCGGGAAGAGAGGAAGAGAAATGAAACACGAGGAACGAAGGGGGAGGTGAACGGAGAACGAGATCCGAGGGAGAGTGATGCGCGGCGGCGAGGAGGCGCGATGGGAAGGGCGAGGTGCGTGGAGAACGTAAGGAAAGAGGTGAGGGGGAGACGACGCGAAGGTCGGAAGGGAAACACGGGAACGCTGAAGAACAAGACGAATCGCCCGGCGCCGCTGTATATCTATTGGGAGAGAAGTGTGGCGCAGGGCGTTCGGCAAAAATGGCGGCCTGCAGGCGCGCCATCGGTCCCGACCCATACGCGCGTCCAACTCAGCCTGCAGGTATGCACGAGGCATTGGGCGCCGAGAAGACAATGTCCAGGACGCGTGCCCTGCTAGCCGACACCGAGTGGGCTACTTGATCTATCTGTCGCGCATGGGGTGTTAGGTATTGAGCTGGTATTGAGCGGAGAGGGGAAGGCTCTTGGTAAATATAAGAAAGGCCGAGAAGAGGAATTAATCAGCTCTCCTCACCTCGGATGTTTACGCCGCGAAGTCGAAGGAGACGAGCACCGCAGAGATCGCCGACTGCTCTCAGGGCCAGGCGAGGCATCAATAGAAGACAGCGACGTTGGCAATGTACCTCGACTTGTATTTGTCCGTGATGCACGCCCACGAATCGAAGTTCGAGGTAAAGGGAAATCTCGCCAGTCAGTAATTAACTCGGAGTAAAAGACCGCTGGGGTAAACCTGACAATCGAGCTCGGAAATAGGCACTCGGTGTGGGGTCGACATCGAATAAGATACGGGGAGCTGTATAGGAAGTAAGTGAGTAGATTACGCGCGACGGATCAGATAACGCACATGAAGTTGAAGACAGGACACATTTGGTATAAGTGAGCCTTGCATACGGATTCAGTGGACCCTGAACTCGGAATCGATGATGAATGACGCCAGCAGACTTGATGCGCGACGTACTCGGAGTCAGCGAGTCCTGTGGTCGGAGTCAGTAGATCCTGCACGCGTCGCGGATAGCACCTTCTCGACGTCTGGCGCCTGGCGCCTCGTAGGCGCCCGAAGGTGTAGCTCGTGAGAAAATGCTCGTCTCTGCGCCACACTTCCCCCATAAGTATGCGTCGACAGCTGGCGCTTATCCTCCAGCGATTCGTTTTCCTTCTTCTCGTCTGCACATAGTCATCCGTTCGTCTCTTTCTTCGTTCTTCACGTACCTAGTTCGTTCCTTTGGCGCTCTCGCCCCCTCTGTTGCTCTTTTCTCACCCTTATCCACGTTCTTTCGCCGCGACGCGCCCTAGACTCCCCGCCGGGCCACGTTCTCCCGCGCCGCCGCGTCTCTTGTTCATTCTTCCCCTTTCGTCCCCGTCTTTTCTTCCTTCGATAGCACTTGTCATGCCGGACATGTCAACGCTCCAGCTCACCTCGCGCCTCTCAAGAGAAGGCTCGTTCGCCGCCTCGGGAAGCGCCCCGCACGCACCATCACGTTCGCACACGATCTCGCGCCCTTCGCACCGCGCATCGGACACACCGGCGGCAGATCTTAAGCGCCACAAGAGCCTCTGGTGCACTGAGCCCAAGGGCATCGTCATCCGCGCGCAGAACTGGATTTTCCGCGTACCCGAGGGAAGACTGAGGAGGATGGCGTTGATGTTTCCGATGCGGGAGGAGGGAAGGTGGAGCACCTTCGAAGGGAGCCCGATGATCGAACTACCCCATTCCTGCACCGACGTCGAGCTCTTCCTTTTCGCGCTCTTCAACGAGGAGTGAGTACATCCATGATCGCGCGCAACGGAGACTGACTCGACGCACCTTCGCTTTCCTCAATCTTCCCCAGATCCCTTGACGACCTCTCCTGCCTCCCTCTGTCCGACTTCTATGCGTACCGCATGTCCGCGGGCATCCTGAAGCTCAGCGGCATCTATCACGCCCCGCCCTGGCGCAAATACGCGCTACAACTCCTCGCGCCCATGTTCCCTACCACGTTGGACGACCTCGACGAGCTGTACACCCCCTCCCGAGCACTGGACCTGTCGGCAGCGCAGGTTACGAGTCGTTTCGTCGTCGACGCCGCGCGGGCTGCGCGGGCGCGGTGGCTCCTGCCGTCCGCGACGCTCTACCTGTTATCCGAGAGCTTGCGCGACAACGGCACGCGTAGCCAGCTGCGCGCCGATGAATTCACGATGCGCGACAGGTACACGACGCTGTGGACTAGATGGCTCGACTGCATGTGCGCGCCGCCGCCCCGGGAGTGCGACTGCGCGACCGGAAGATGCGATGCGAGACTGGCCGACTTCGCAGAGACGATGCGCACTGACAAGAACTACGCCTTTTCAATGGACGTCATGCTGAGGCAGTCGTGCCGCGTGGAGAAGCGTATGTGCCACAGGTGCAAGTCGGGCTTTCGTGATAGGTATGACAGCCTTCGGCAGTGGTTCTGGGATTTGATGCCTGCGGTTTGCGGGGTGGACGCGCCGTGGGCGGAGCTCGCGCGGGATATGCGAAGGGATACGCTGGAGGGTACCCTTGCATGATCATGCCCGGTGGGGTTATGTCTTTCTATTTATTGTGATGATCCTTACGATGGTGAGTGGTGCAGAAGGGCTTCGGAGTGCAACGTACTCACTTACGGCGCAGATTGGTAGATAGAGTGGATGTACGAGTATCCGCTCTTGCGGTTGTTTCATGCTGTAATGTCTGTACTGTATCTCAAAACGCGATGACTAGGCGTCGTTGCCTTTCGCCGCGCTCGGGTTGAGGGGAAAAGCGTTCAAGACGACATCCTCGGGACGAAGTAAGCAGTCGACGAGTCTGAATTGAGGTACATCTCGAAGGTATGTCTTCGCGCAGTGTGAAGCAGACACGCAGGTGAAAGGAAGGAAAGGGGATGATTGTGGTGACGAGGCGCATCCGAAAAAGGACATATCTGCCACGCGGAGTGGTCGGCCGTCGCCGGCCCGAGCATCCACGTTGCCTTCCCGAACGGGGCGATTCCTTTGTCTCCTGCCATGACTGCCGACTGGCTGCCGGCCTCTATCAGCGCTCAACATATGTCGACTCGTGCGAAGACCAGCCTGACGACGAATGCTCGGACCAGTGAACAAGACCGTCCGAACAATAAGACTTGCGACAGCGTCAGATGACCCCTGGCGCAGAAGCTGTATATAAGGCCCTTGCATCACTGCGCCCTTATCTGCACCTTCGAAAGCTGCGTTTCCCCCTCCCTCGCCGCAGCCCCTCTGTGCCCTCTGCCTTCGTACCTATCAAGCGCGCGCAAATTCGATAGTGCCTACCATGGACAGCGACCTGACACCCTCTTCCGCCTCGCAATCGGCGGGCCTGAAGATTCGTCTGCCCGCCCGCAAGGACTGGCCGAGCAATCAGCCTCGGAAGATCGCGGGTGGTTCGCGTGTGCAACGCGCGATGCAGGTGCGGAGTCAGCCTGCGGCTGAGCAGGTGCGTGACCTCGATAGTACTTTTCGAGCCTAATCTGATCTTCGTCTCTTAGGCCCGCCAGGAAGTACCATACTCCACATCCTACGCCCCTCCCCCACATCCAATGATGCCCACCACATCTTCCTCTACTAGCTCATTCCGCGGAATCGCACCGTCGTCCCCGTACACTTCGAGTGCGGGAGTCGGCGCGCCGCAAACGCCTCCAGTGCATCAGCAAGCATTCCCCTCATCGCTTCATACTTCCCTTGTCCCTTCGTGGGGCACAGGAACCGCTGCGTCTACTACCTGGGGATCAACGTCTTCCTCTCCGTCCCCGTCGAGCACGTCCTCGACGTCGAGCTACGGAGAGTCAGGCCATGACGCTGGGCAGCATCACCATGCGACAGATGATGACGACGCCATGGATGTGGACATGGATTGAAAGACGCTGGCGCTGGTCTCATTCTGTTATTCTGTAGTATATCGTAGGTTTTCTTACCTGCAAATACCACTGTGGTCTTTGGCTATCCCGCACCTCATGACGCTGTTAAACAACTATTATCTATGAGGTAGGCTCTTGCGTTTCCATCCCGATTTGGTCTGCCGCCCCGCCGTGATGCCGTTTCGTCACTTCACCTACAGCTAGTATAGTAAGCTATCTTCTCGTGGTCTGATGTGGCGGATCGCTCATCACGCTTGCAGGATCTGGTCTTCATGTAGAGGACGGCGCGACGCCGAGGGAACGTCTTTTTGACGAAGGGTATGAGCGCTACAGGTTTGATAGATAGCATGAGCTCAACGATACCATCTTTCAATGAATTTTCCTTCGATTCAAAAGCCGCCGATCACAACGAGCCATGTCTGGCCAAAAGCAAACAATGGTATCACGTGACCGTGAAATCGAACACGCGTCACGTTCTCAGTGACAGAATCACCATCATTCGCTCCTTGGTTTCTCCCACTTCGAGCAACCTAAAAACTCTTTGTCCAAACAAGCAAATATCACAGTCTACCTCGAACGCAATTTCCTCCACCAGGCGCTGCCCTACCAGCCTCTTACACTGGACATATCTCTGCAGCGACATCAAGCGCGCGCCACTCGATTTGCCACTCAATCAGGACAAGGAATGTTCGCACTATCGATCAGGTACGCCGACCATTTCGACATATGACGACTGAACACTCAAGTACAATGCGCTGTAGATATCAACTGGGTCTTCCCGCCGACCATAAATTTCAACAACTGCAAGAAGTCCTCGAAGACCTTCGCACCCGCGACGTCAAGCAAGCTCGCACAAAGGATCTCGTCAAGGAGGCTCTGGACATCTTAAGGAGGCTCGATCCCTTTTACTTTCTACGCTGTGAGCCCCCAACACCCGAGGACCTGTCATACGAACAGTTCTGGACTGCGTCGCAGGCTAATGCGCAAGATCGCATCGTTGCGCCGATTCTGGCCTTGCTCAGCTTGCGCAAACTGGCCGACCGCCCTGGGCTACGCTCTCTCTGGGTCTTTGACGACACGGCGTGGATCCGCATGTTTGAATGGATCGAGTACTTGCTCGTCTTCCCCCACCGACATGAAACAGACCTCATGGACCCCGCGGATTGTCGGGCCCTCGTCCTTTCGCACGTGGCCCCATCCCTCAAGGAGATCGTCGACAGCTTCTACGAGCTGTCAAACGCCCGACTCGAGGGTATCCTTCTCATTGCCGAAGCTCGAGCCCAGGAGATCCTGGTCGACATGTGGCTCAAATGGCGAACGATCGCGCTCACGCTCGACCGCCCGGGCGGCGAATATTTTCGAGCGATCTTGCGCTTCACGAATGACTGCGTCGGCGGCGTCAAGGGCGAGAAGGTCCGACAACTCTTCGTTCACGAGCTCTCACGCATCAACTTCTATCTCCCGCGGCGGATTTACTGCGAGATGACCTACCAGGTCGCGTCCCTGCTGCACCGCAGCACAGTGGAGCCCGAACTCGAGGACGAGATCTGGGCGCTGCACACGGCCATGATGTCCTCCCTGATCGAGCTCGCCGAATTAAGCGCGACTGGCTACCCTCAACGCATGACGCGGACCCTCGCACAAGGCCTCTTTATGGTGCTCCTGCAACCGCGCAACAGCTGTATCCTGAAGGGTCTGCTCGAGATACTGTTCGCCATCTGCCGCCTGTCGACCGACGCGTCTGCGATCACCTGCGCGATACGGCATCGGGTCTTCTACATCCTGATCCAGCTGGAAAAGCTCGGGCTCGTCGACGTGCAGCCAATGTTCGACCTGGTTGCGGGCGCGCTTGTGACCCCCGCGGCGCTGAGGGCCTTCCACAACGCTTTCCGGCTCGTCTCACGCTCCGATCGTCAATCTCTCCGAGATAGAGTCGCGCACATCGTCGTTACATATACCGAACGCTACAAGCTCATCGAGGCGTGGGAAAAGGAATGGCCCGAGCTGCAGACCTGCAGGAGACGAGAGGTGAGTGTTGGATACTGTACGAAGACTAAGGTTCTGACCTCGCGTTGTACTCAGTGCCCCAATCCGGAATCCACCGACCTGCGCGCTTGTCCATGCGGGGAAGTCCTCTTCTGCTCGGAGGAATGTCAGAGGGCGAACTGGACGGATGGCCAGCATGGGACCGTCTGCTGGCGCGGCAAGGAGACCGCAGGTATGCGGCCCGATGTGCAGCTCACTCGATCTGACCGTCCGCCAGGGTCGCTGAGCGCCAAGAAGCTCTCCTTCCTCGTCGCCATCGCGCGTTTCTACCTAGAAGAAAACCAGGCGGAGATCAAGCAGCGCCTCGGGGCCGCGTACAACCCGCACCACACCGTCAGTCTCAGTCTGGATATCACTTTGGCGCAGGAGCGGTGGATGAGTCCCTTCTCGGTGCCGGGGCCGTATCCCGACGCCCCCCAGACGTTCTTCATGGCGGTGCACTTTATGCAGGGCGCGCGTCGGTGCGCGCGCGCCCTCCAGTTCTTCCCGGATTGGTGGGCGGGCAAGTCTCGCGGCATGCCGTACGTTCAGTTATCGCATAGCTTCTTTAGTGAGTATCTTGCCTTTGGGATTCGCTGCACGTACTTACTCTGCTACAGAGACGGGGCTTCCAGTAGAGGAAAATCTCACGCCCCGGGAACGTTTGTTTGGCAGGCGCGCAGAGCCTCGCACTGAAGATGCCGAGAGCGAGTGAGCTATGCAGTCTCTTCACAGCCTTGCTTCTGGCAAATTTCATCGCACAGACTGGCTGCCAAGAGCCAAGCGACGCTACAGCCTATTGAAATCCTTGACTTGGATGTGAGTCGCGTTGCATTGAGCTTTTCCCGACAGTACATTGACTTACGCTTTCCCAAGTGAGAGTACGGCTCCTGCCCAGCAAAGCGTGAGTGCCCGTAGAGGCGTCCATATATATGCGCTCTCCCTCTTTACACACCTAGACCATAATCAATCGAAGTACTCCGAAGATGACGTGACCCGTGCACGCTCGCCCGAACTATGTTATCTGTTGCGGCCATCCTAGGATATGGAGCGTCGAGATTCTCATCGCAGACTGCCTTCGGCTTCGTAACTCAGTGTGATTTGGCAGCGCGTCTCTGACAATCTGGCGGAGACTGGCCATTGTCGACGCTGAACCATGACACGTGACATGCTGACTCTCGGAACCGAGCTTAGTCAGCGATGACGCGTCTCATTTGACGGCGACGCTTCCGGTTTACTCTCATGTTCGACTCTCTTGCTCGCCACACCATGTACTTTCCGTTGCTATATCCATCCTTTGGCCATGCAGCTTATGGGAGCAGCGCACTCGAGCCGTGACACGAGTGAAGTTTACCGCCTGAGGACGATGACGTGGCTTTGACCTGAACGGCAAACCATCCGTGCACGCTGCGCTGCTACCTGATTGGACGGACGACTGTATTTTGGTCAGTCAATTCTTTGCGGTCCGTCCGTATAAAGGGTAGGTCCCTTCGCATTCGTCCTCCCACTTCCCCTCATTACCCATCCCGACCTGGCTATCAAGATGAGCTTCTGCAAAGACTGTGTTCGAGGTGAGCGCCTACGCCATCCCCTTCATGTCCGCTACTCCTAACGTCTCCCAGGCGTCCGCTGGGAGGGTACACCCACCGGCAGGATCGAGACGATCAACGGCGTCGACGTCTACGTCGCAACGCCCGAACAAGACTATCCGAAGGACAAGGTCCTGCTCTTCCTCACGGACCTCTTCGGTATACCGCTAGTCAATAATCAAGTGAGTACAATCAAGGATTACCGCATATCTGCGCCGACCATCTTCTTAGCTTCTCGCCGACGACTTCGCGGCCAACGGCTTCAAGACCGTCATACCGGACTATCTGAACGGCGATCCTATGCCCGCGGAGGAGCTCTCGCCGGGGGTTCGTAGTTTGAGCTGTGTGTTGAACTTAGCTCATCATTTTCTAGGCTACGCGCGACGTGGCGAAGTGGGCCGCCAACCATGGCGCCGAGCAGACTCGCCCGCCCCTCGACAAGGTCATCGCCGGGCTCAAGGAGCAGGGTGTGACGACCTTTGGCGCCGTTGGCTACTGCTTCGGAGGTGAGTCCAATTTGGTCGCATATATGCGCGACCTCCTGCTCACCCCCACCTCCCTTCCATTCAGGCCGCTACGTCTTCGATCTCGCCTTCGACGGCGTCATCAATTGCGCCGCCGCCGTTCACCCCTCGCGTCTTGAGGTCCCCGCCGACATCGAGCGGTACGCGCGGACGGACGTGCCGCTGCTGATCGAAGGCTGCGAGATCGACCGCTCGTTCCCGCCGGACGCGCAGGCGAGGACGGACGAGATCCTCGGGGGTGGAAGGTTTGCGCCGGGGTACAAGCGCGACTACTGGCCGGGTTGTAAGCATGGCTTTGCGGTGCGTGGCGACCCGAGCGATCCGGCGGTGAAGGCGGGCAAGGAGGGCGCGTTCAGGAATGTTGTCGAGTGGATGGCGATGCATCTGTGATTTCGGTAATGTGATGAATCAGAGTGCCTTCCGTGGGTTGTAGCGGGCGTTGTGCGCTCAAGGCCGTTGACGCAGTCAAGAGGCGGTCCCTTCAGTGGTGTGCGGCATGGACAGCTGGACATTCAGGTCATAGGCGCTTCTTCAGATGGGTGGCGAGCGACGTCACTATTTTCAGCGCGAAGTCCTTGCCACCCGTCCTTTCCACCCTCCATCGGTGCGTTCTTTGCTTTCGTCGGATGCGAACCGCAGAGCTCGAAGCTCATCGTAATCCTATCCAGTCATCACAAGGCATCGCTGTGGTCGCTACCCGCATTCCCCGCTCGACTCGGGAAACTCACATGGCGAATACCAGCTAGCGCAGGCGAGATGTTGAGGTACACGATAACTGGCCCTTGGCCGAATGTATTTCAATCTTCAGTAGCTCATCGTGCGTCCATGCCTCTTCGTCGAGAGCGGCACGACTGATTGACCTCTGCAATAGCACGCTTGGACGACTAGCCTTGAAGACGAGCGCGTGCGGTGGCATGGGGTGGTTCTCTACTTCCCGATTCTCCAACGCCTATCTCGCGCCATAGAGTCGATGTCCGATGGCATCACGACTTGGGGCCGCGAGGTCGCACTCTTTCCTCTCTTCGTCGCTATAAAAGGCGGGCTTCGTCCTTAGAGACGCGCAACGTACCCCGCATCTCTTTCATCTCAACTTCTTCTCTTCCGGCCCTTACCTCTTCGACTTTCATGAGCTTCTGCAAGGACTGCGTTCGCGGTGGGTGCAAATGCTCTCTGAGACCGACTTGTACTGACCGACGACGGCAGGCGTTCGCTGGGAGGGTACACCCACCGGCAGAATCGAGAAGATCAATGGCGTAGACGCGTACATAGCCACACCCGCGCAGGACTACCCAACGGACAAGGTCCTGCTCTTCTTGACGGACATCTTCGGCATGCAACTCGTCAACAGCCAGGTTCGTCGTCTTCCGCCCACTTCTCGCGTCCTGTTGCATATCTGGCGGTCGTTCGCAGCTGATGGCGGACGACTTCGCCGCGAACGGCTTCAAGACGGTCATCCCTGACTACCTGAACGGCGACCCTACGCCTGCGGACGCCCTGGCTCCTGGTGTACGTACCTGACGATCCTGTCGAGCGCGCCGCTCACCGATGAAAAAGAGCAACTGGGACATCCCCAAATGGTTCGTGAACCACGGGAAGGACAAGACGCGGCCCTCGCTCGACAGGGTCATCGACGGCCTCAAGGCCCAGGGAGTCACTTCCTTCGGCGCGGTCGGGTACTGCTTCGGCGGTACGCGCGTCTCTGTACTTCCCTCCCGAATCACTATTTGATACCGCTCTTCTAGCCCGCTACGTCTTCGACCTCGCCTTCGACGGCGTCATCAAGGTCGGCGCCGTCGCGCACCCCTCGCACCTTGAGGTCCCCGAGGACATCGAGCGGTACGCCAAGACGAACGTGCCGCTCCTCATCGAGAGCTGCGAGGTCGACCAGATGTTCCCGCCCGAGCTTCAGGCGAAGACGGACGCCATCTTGGGTGATGGGAAGTTCGCGCCTGGGTACAAGCAGGACTACTGGCCGGGCTGCAGGCATGGGTTTGCGGTGCGCGGAGACCAGAACGACCCGGCTGTGAAGGCGGGGAAGGAGGGCGCATTTAAGAACGTTGTGGAGTGGATGGCGAAGTACTTGTAGATCTGTTCAATGGTGCCGAGAGAGGTAGCAAGACAACTTGTCATATTTGTGCTCGGATGAGCTTCTACTAGTTGGATACATGAGGTACAAATGATCATGGAACGCAGGCAATGCTTCATGAGGGATCAAGAAAGTGAGGCCAGATCAAGATGAGGTACATGTATGTCGAGTTCACATGAGGGAAAGAGGGATCTTAGTACGGGCGCAACGTCCGCTCGCCTGTGCCGGTATTCCCCAATTCGCCGACGCTCAAGTGTTCTTTATCGTTCCAAAATTTTCGTATGTCACCCCGAAGGGGACACGCTCAGGTGTTCTTGCGATTATTGCGCCAGCATCTATTCGAAGTTTGTTATCTGCCACGACAACATAGAAGATAGTCAGGACACGCACATCTGACATATAGACGCCGGACCTAGAGGTCCGGGGAGCCATCGCGGGCTCGTAAGGTGATCTTGGGTGCGCTCACACTCGAGCGATGATTAGCGGAGAGTATTCAAGAAAGACAGACAATGATAATCACCTGCCCACACCTGCGCGCTCCTCGTTCATCAACGGACGACCCTGCAGATGAGCCTACGACGCCAAATCAGACTGCGGCAAGCACTCAATTTTCACGACACTGACCTAGCTCTCCGGTCCTCGTATCTTTCCTTGGCTTCGTCGAAACCTCACGCACTTTGGGCTTCAAGGTCTCCCAAGGCACAGGCTTAATATCGCCGCGCGTCGCTCTCCGCGACGACCGAGGTCGTCTGTCAGACAATGGCGTACGGCCTAAGCTGGAGGTGCTCGTAGGAGGGAAGCCTTTTGAGCTGCGCGTTCGTCGAGGCCGTTTGTTCGTTGAGATACTCGATACATCGACTGCATTTGGGCTATAGGGGCGTTGTCTGGGCCGCTTCGGCGACGAGGACTTCTCGTCGACGCCGTTCTGGCCGAGCGGGGCCTCCGACTCGCTTGGAGCTGAAGCATCGTCAAGTGACGACGATAAAGAGGGGACATCGGAGCCGGTTTGCTGGCGGACAGAGGTTCTGGACGCTGACGGACTGCGCGAGTGATGACCTCGTACTGTACCGTCGTCGTCGTCGGCAGAGCCACGACTCAGCGAGAGGTGCGATTCCACCGCATCGTCCTCTCCCTCGAGGCAAGGACCACCGATTGGCCGGAGTGTTGCAGGGACCTTTGTAGGAGCGCGCGACGAATGAGCAGAATGAGGTTCTACGCTCGCACCAGAGGAAGGATCATCCCTCGGGTCTGTCGCTGTTAAGCCCGTCGAGCTGGCCGATACGGAGGAGGGACGAGTCATGGAGAAAGAAGGATGCGCTAGCATCGGAGTCGTGAGTGAGGGTGAAGATGCCGCGACCCTTGCCAGAGTTACAGGTGACGCTACACGCGCAGTATACGGAGGAGCCGATGTCGAAGCCGAATACGGCGCTACCGTGCGCGCCGAAGAGAGAGACCTAGAAGGCGATGATTCCTTTGAAGGCGCCGAGTGTGGGACCCCCAGCCTGCACGAGATCTCGGCGAATCTGTCCCGCAGGTCCACGAAATGGGCCTGCATCTCAAGCCTCGCCATCTCCTTCCCAGCTAGCTCGACCTTGGTCTCCTCGATTTCCGCGTGCGCTCGAGCGAGCTCATCCGTGGACTGTGCAAGCTCATCTCGGATGCAGGCGAGCTCGGTGGACCGGACCTGCAGAGATTGCAGCATCTCTTGCTTGTCCGTGATTGCGCGCGCCGCCTGCATTTCCGCGGCTTCAAGCGCGTCCTTCGCAACGCGCAGTTCCTCGGCGATAGCAGCTTCCTGAGTCTCTGCGATGATGGTGCGCTCTTGTGCGAGGGCGACGCGCTCTTCGCAGGCAGCCGCACGTGCTTCAGCAGCGGTTGCGACAGATTCGGCGTCTGATGCGCGAGCACTGGAGGAGAGCGCGATTGCCCCCGCCTCAGCGACGCGCTCGAGGGCGTTGTCGGCGCGTTCCTCTGCGTCAACGGCGCGCGCTTCGGCTGCGATGGCGTGGGCCTCGGCGGCAGAAGCGCGCACGCTGAGCACCTCCCGAGCGGTGTTGGATTGCGAAAGCTTGCCCTCGACGCGCGTTCTGTCCTCTTCGGTTCGTTTCCTCGCGTCCTGAACATACACGTCAGCTGAGCGGGGATATGCCGACACGCACGACATACCTGAGACTGCGCTAGCGCAGTGCGCAATGTATGCAACTCGGTGCGTTTGTCCTCCAGATCGTCGCCCATCTCCCGCAGCTCCGCGCGTTGCCTTCGCAAATCCCCTTCATTCTGGCACAGTTCCACCGCCTTCGCGTCGAGATCGAGCTTGAGCGCTTGCGCGTCCCGTACACGCTCGTTTCGGTCCTCTTCAGCGTCACCCAGTGCGCGCTGGCGCCATGGTGAGGGAAGCGGATTACATGTAGGACAAAGCCACGCACCTTGATCCTCCCAAGTTCCAAGCGCAGCGCATCGATCTCCCTCCGCACGGTGTCCTGTGTATCCGATCTCGCCACGCATGCGTCCCTCCCCCTCGTCACCTTATCCCGCTCCTTCTCCAGTGTCTCGCACTGCGCGTCCGCTTCATCCTTCTGTCCCTCAAGCTCCTCGACACGTCTAGCGAGCTTTTGATTTCGGCGCTTGTGGATCTCGATGTTGCGCTTCAGCGTGGCGATGTTGCGCGAGAGAGTGTCAAGGTTGGCCTCTGAGGGGGCGTCGGAATTGACGGCTGATATCGTCGCGGAGGACACTGCGATCGACAGCGCCGCCGTAGGCGGAGTTCCGTCGCCTGAGGCATGATTGGACGTGCCTTGCGAGTGCGCACCGAAATAGGTTTCGACCATAGATGCATGCCTAGGGGCCGGTGGATCGACCAGAAGCAACTCGGGAGAGTGGCACTCCCGAGTGTCGGTGAGATCGTCGCGGTCGTTGAGTGCCGCCATGTTTGACACCATCGTATGCGACTAGCAGGAACCCGGAGAATTGAGATATAGACGCCGCGCGTGGAGCAGTGACTCGCGGAGGAAAGGAGAGGTCTACGGAGGAAGTCAATCCGTGTGGTTCGCTGCCTGCGTTGAGCGCGTTCGACGTGGAACCTGGGGCACGATGACGGCCGGGAGTAAGCGCCCCGTTCCGAATTGAGGCACAAAATGATGGAGGCTACGCCATGTCCACGGCGAGCGCAATTCAGTAGCGTAGTGATTGACTTGCACAGAAGCACGAGGAGGACGTAAATGTGCTTAACCTGGCGGACGGACGCGAGGCTGGCCTAGTGTCGTCGATACAGCAATGAGTGACTCGCAGAGGGGAAAGGAAAGAAAGATACGGACAACGCAGTATCCCAACGGTCGGCATGACGGTTCGAACCAAGAACAAGCTTGACAATTGTCCGGCCCGGACGCCACGTCAAGCATGAATCACGAGACGGTAAGTTCGACTTGAACAGGCATAAGATACATGTTCAAGAGCTCTAGCACAAGGTGGTAACCTATGCTTCGACGCAGAACGAGTTGCTGAAGGACTTTCCCGCAGCAAGCTGGCGAAAAGGGATCAAAAAGAACGCCGAGATCGAAAAGGCTAACTGACTTCGGACGTATACCACGGTCATAGACTCTTGATCGCCGGACCTGCTCCCGCTCGACTGCAATCCCTCATTCTGCGCTCTGTTTCGACCGCTAGGCGCTGCAAAAAGGCAACCCGAGACGGGATTCGAACCCGCAACCTCTGCCTACCACCATTAGACAACGGTTAAGCAGCCAAGGCCGGAAAGCAACGTCATAACCATTAGACAACTCGGGCGTTGAAGCACAGTCTGCGCAACTGGTACCAACCTCGCAAATTTTCAAACCAGTCCGCAAGCCCCTATACCATGGATGTAACGGGTGAGGCCTTTTGAGAGTGCTGGGTGGCGCGAGCGAGAGACAGGCCGAGTTAGCAGAAACATCAGCTAGACCGCGGAGAAAAGTTAACGCCATAACCTTTAGACAACTTAGTTGGCCGCGCAGTAACCATTAGACAACTTTCTGAGCGCGTCCTGCTGATGAAAGTGCCTACTGTGCGACGGGTAGCGTCATTGTGCTATGTATATTGCGAAGGGGCGACTCACTTGAGAGTGAGATCGACCGAAGCTGGAAGGGATGAATGAAAGTCGAATCAGCGCGCGTCCTGCTGCACCACAAGGTCGGCGCCAGAAAGGACGTTGCGAGCAAAGACGGCGGTAGACATTGGTCACTGTGAGGTAGTGCCGACATGTCAGAAGGATAACTTTGGAGCGCAGGTCATGGCAGTCGAAAGAGAAAACATCCGGACACGTTCGGCAAGCGTGGGAATTGAACTTCTGCTCACGTGTTCGTCAGGCCCATCTAACCGCGTGAACGACGACGCTCGTACTTTCTTGCTCTGCACCCTCATCGCAAGCCTCCCATGTCAGCTCCGGTATCCGACATCTCGCTCTCCTTCCTGATCAAGCGCTATCGCTTGATTGATCCTTCGTCGGGCGAGGCTGCAACTGTAGCCGCAGAGATCAAGAAGACACTGCGCTCTCCGCGCCTCTTCGACCATCTGCGCGCTGTATCGCCTACTCTTCCTAATGGAAGTAGGCTGAATTTTGAATCCCGCTCAGTAACTCTGGTTCTGCGGAACATACACGCCCTTAAGGACGCTCTCAACCTGCCTGATAACTTCTCCGAGGCTGTTACTGACGGCGTCCGTCGTATATGGCACCATCTGATTCCATGGCTCGACTACCTTCACCCCATGCACCATATTGGTACGGAGAGGCTGAAGGACATCCCGCTTGATACAATGAGCGCGATTTTCTGCCACCTTTTACGCATGAAATTCGTCTTGCTCGACCTCGTCGTACAAACGCCACTGGTGTATGGCTTACTATTCGTCCTATGGCTGCGAATTGGGGACTATATCTCCTCCCCCAGTGCGCGGAAGTCCATCTTTGTATGCGCCAACCTTCTCGATGAAGCCGTGCTGAAGCACGCCGTATGGCACTCCGGCATATCCCCCGCTATCGTCGACTACAAGCTCATAGACCAGTCCCCCTCGAAGGCGTTCGCTGGGCGACCCGCGACCGCACTCGCAAGATTTATACTCGCATTGTGTCGCACTGCCGTATGCTCCTCGAAGACATCACGCAGGACGTCAGATCGAACGTCAGGATCAATCTCTTGCAGTATCTCAAGAATAAACTTAATGCAATTCAATTCTTCTCCGAACCTCTTCCGCCCGTGCGCACCATGCCGCACGAAGTAATGATCACACTCGTCGACCTCCTGCTCGCGATGCAGTCACTGGCAGCCGATCCGACAGAGTCGCCCGCCGCGATGGCGGCGAAGATCCGCAGCGTGGCGGATGGCATCTGCTTCGCGTTCACGTCGATCTGGAAGAACTCGGAGGATCGAAGGGCGCTGGTGTGGTCGCTGCGAGCTGGAGTCCTTCCGCTCACCATCGCGCTGCATCGCGAGCAGAAGACGCTGCGGGTTACGGAGGCTCTCCGACTGATTGCGATGGAGACTGTGTATGCCGAAGTTGCGCGCGAGCATCCAGAGATCGCATCTGAGGAGCTACTCGAGAGTGCAGCAGTAGCTGCAGTACGCGAGCGCCTTGACCTAGCGCGTGTGAGCTACCAGAAAACGTGCTCGTTCAGTGGAGTGAGTGGAACCATACGTTTTCCAATAGCGCCCGTTGATATGATATCGTCAGTGTCGAACGACGGTGGCAGGAGGCTCAGGGGGGAGTATTCGCCGCTGCCCCTGCCTCTCAGTCTACTACTGCTACAAAGACTGTCAAAAGCTCGATTGGCCCACGCATCGTACCGATCACAAATCGGACACCTACGGAGTCCCTTGAATGTGGCATGGTAAGCCCCCTCATCTCAACTGGTCAATGCTCTGACCGGCTCTGCCTCCGACTCGAAAATTTCAGGCTCAATATCACCCCTGAGCGCGCACTTCCTGCGCCTCTGCGGAAAAGAGTACATGCGCACGCATCTCAGTGCAGTACTCGATAGCATTACCAAACTCTCGCGCACGTCGTCTTCCCCAGCCTGGATAATACAAGTCGTCATTAGGTTCAGCGCGCTGGTGCCGTCGCACGCAGTGCGGGCTACGCCTGCGGACGCCAACGCGCAAGTATCCCAAGTCTCGCGGCAGGCGCAGCAGGCGGGCAACCCGGAGGTGATGGTGACGGCGCTGGTGGGATTGTCGGATCGGGCGAGCTCGGCTGTGTTGGTGGATAGAGCGACACTGAAAGCTTTACAGTTGAAGGATGGGCGTCTTGTTCAGGCGTGTGATATTCAGTAGAATCAGATGCGAGGGAGACACGCGTGATAGTATAGAGAAAGAGAAGCGTCAGGACCAGGAGTAGCGACGCATAGTAAAGAAAGCGAAAAAGTACGTGGACAAGCGAACAACATGCAGGCGGAAGCTATAATAATCATAGGGGAGAAGGAAGGAGTTGAGCGCAAAGGGAACCGAGCAAGCGTGGACAGCTACTCTATATTTTGGAAGAGGACCAAAAATTTGGGACACTTGAGATAGTGCATGAGCGGCATGCCGTCGCAAGGCAATGCGCGTGCCAGCGCAGTTCGTCCGGATAACAAGACTAACATTCCAGGAGGAAAAAAAGAGCATGCGCAGAAAAGGCGAAAGTGGAAGCTCGACGCGCTCGAGTGTCGCTACAAGGTAGCCGCTGGATAGCGCGCCATTGGCGCCGAAGGACTGACCGCTATTGACGATACGAAGGCTGCTGGGTTCGAACGAGTTCGGAAGGGAATGACGGTCCAGGTGCGCAAAGTCGTCGAACCAGGTCGACCACGAAGAGGATCCAGTGAAGACCTGCCACCTCTTCGTGACGAGAGCGCCGAATCTCATAGGCAGATGCAGTAGGACGCACAGAATGCGTCCGCTGAAGGTGTCTAGTTGGAGCGCCCCGCAGAAGACCTCGCATCGGCAGCTGTGGGAGCGGCCAGTCAATGGATGGAAGAAGGCCGGAGGACTACGAACACGCCTCGCGAAGGGAGTAATCTACGCTCAGCCGCACCGCCAGCCGATGCAACGAACCCTGCTACTTGCCACTGGCCTCAGCCTCTGCAGGCTTGAGTAGAAGACCGCCAGTCCGCGCACCCAATTCACGCCCCAAAATTTCCCAATAAGCGCCGCGCACGTCTACAGGATATCGCCGCTTCCGGTCACCCTCCTTCAGGAAACCATCGCATTCCTGTGGCAGTAGCGCCGCCATCGCCGTCCGTGCCGCCGCAGTTTGGAGGTCGCGTTTGGTCACAAAATTGATATCCAGAATACATGGAGTCGCAGAACCGGAGAGCATGCGTGGCTGCTCGCCGCTCAGACTGCCGGCCCTTACGCACAGCATTTGGCGCCAGACTTGAACCGCGCCGCCAAGGTTAAGAGCGGAGGGCATCTCGGGACAGCGCCCGCACCCGCATTCTGCAGTAGACAAAGATATATCTGGAGGAATAGAGAGCATCAGAGAGTCAGCCGACTTGCCGGGAAGAGGTCCCGCAGAAGAGACGGCACCCTAGGTAAAGAGGGAGGGAATGTCGGTGGTGGAAAAAGCGCACGCCTTAAAATTATGCCCTCCATGTAAAGAGACGGAGGTGCAGGGATTCCTATAATTCAGTAATAGTAAGACGTCGCCAGGACAGTTGACCGTCGGGAGCAGAGATCGAGCCGACAACGCCACATAATGCTCCACGCGCCATTGAGTTCGGCACTTGCCGGTTTCTTGCTTCAGTTCAGCCCATCACGACAACGTGCGTTATCGGCGAATACGTCGCGCTCATGGTCGCGCTTTGAAACCCGAGATGGCTCTCAACGCGTACTTATTATTCCAACAACCGAGTTATGCGAGAAACCAGCAAATTCGGCGCGTTCAGCTCCTCAGCTTACACACTTACACGCAACTTCTTGTTCAACAAGACCCAACATGCGACGGGCGACGACATGAGGTCACCCCCGGCGCTACCGCAACCTGAGATTCCATAGCTCTCTCTCTAAGATATTTGCTGGCGCTCCGCTAAAGGCGTGCATCTGCTCTTACCAACGTCGCGTCTTCTACCACGTTCTCGACAGCTGGCGGTAACTGCTATAGTCGTATCTGTCAGTCTCTAAACTCGCGTCTCTAATGGACTATGGCTCGGACTAGCTATGTCTAACTACGGGCATCGGGCCAAAAAGTGCAAACGTACCTTACGCGAGCACCTCCAAGTTGACGCTTCGCATGTCCGTCCCGATGGCGAACTTCTGGGAATACCCTACGACGTCGTCAGGAAGCGAACATGATATCGTGGGGCTTTGTCGAGAGGTCAGCACCATTTCGCCTCTTCTTCGGACTCGAACTGTCATTGTTGACTTTGTACCCCAGGTTAATCTCCTCCTGGTCGCCAGTCGACGCCTCTGTCCGGCCCGGCCAATTTCCCCGCGGTCTTCGAGGCCAACACGACCACAGTGATTGGCATCCGTGCAACTTGGTCTCCATATCGCTCGACGACCTGCTGATCCGTCTTCAAGAAGGGTATTCGTAGCAGCCTGTCCTCCGGTCATTCAGACGGTCCGCTTCGGACCATTGAAGGGCGTCACTACATTCATTCTCTTCAGGTAGTCCCCCCACATCCAAGTGCCTCGCTTCTCGGTACCGCGTGCTTCTGTCATCCCTCGAGACTGTGCGCTGCTTCTTCGTGCAACTGATTGAGGACACTGACTTTCCGCTAGAGCTTTGCACCCGACCATTGATCAACGCCGCCCTTCTCAACGAGAGCAAATGCGCGTGACCAACACAAGCCCGGCCCGGCTCCAGCTCTCTCGACGTGCACCCTTCCTCGTACGCTCTGATTCCCATGCCTCGCAAACACCCCTTTGGTTTTGTATCATGCAGATCGTCGACGGCCCGTTCGCTCAGTCCGCTACTTGTGGCGATTTCCGTACCTTGAGGGCCCAAAGGCCGTGGTTTTCTCAAAGGTAATCTTCGACGCCACGCGTTGAAGACTTCGAAAGCGCTGGGAACGAGACATGGACGCGGTAAACCCATCGCCGTGGACATCCTGCGGCACATCGTACGAAAGCCGGTACCGCCGTGCCTGAAGTCGAACCTTCACGTGACCCATCACGATGTCGAGGAACCTCGACTTCAAGTTCAACTCGTGCTTCGAGCTGGCACGCGTTTCTCACCGAGGAGTCCGTCCTTCGGCTACGGTGCGTGGCGTCGGGCTTCCTGCAATATCTGACCTGAGCCTATCTTTGGACAGTCTAGTGCTCGATATTCGTCTCAATGGCCCTTATTACTCGCAATCTGGGCGCATGGAACTACCTGGCGGGAGGAGGCCGAATAAACCGACGCACGTCCTCTACGAAGAGGATATGCGCCTCAGTATAAGGGTTTCTTCCTCTCAGGCGAGTCTCGTGCGTATTGACCATACTGTCCCTTCATAGAGAAGTAGTTCGTTCCATAACATGTTCTCCACCTGAGGAGACCCTCCTTCTTCTGCGACGATACCTAAGTGCAATGAATAATCTGAGAGGGCGTCTTCGAGCGACCACATTCCCAAACACGCCGTCGACCTCGGGGGCTAATCCATCTGACAGAAGACGTCAACCTGCACGCACGCTTGCATGAGTACACCCCGAAAGCCTTGACAGGTAGCGGATTGCGCAGCCAATTCAGACGCGCGGGGGTGATGCGACTGTTGACGGCTCGGGAGGTGGCGGACCGGACAGCTTTCGACCCACAGCGCGCGTCCTGCTCGCGAGGCTCCTGTGGAGCGCACGATGGGGACTGCACATGCCACAAGCGGCGTCGGCTCGACCGCTACTGCGCAAAGGAACGGCCGCGCCTGTGCAGTGACCTATACTGCTCGATGACGCGCCTAGCGCACAATAGTCCTCGACATCAGCGAGATGCAACGTGTCGCACGCCGTCGAGCTCGCCACTTTCCTCGCGAGTGGATCGGCTTCAGGTCCTGGGAAGATCAGCATGCTTGTGTACGACGACACCCGGAGTATCAGCGTCCTGCTGCGGTTGCCGAGGACGGTAGGCAGGGCGTCGGAGGGACTGCTGCGCACGGCGGGCACCCAAGAGCGACGTCTCGACTGCGCACGATTGAATGGGACGGCCAAGCAAGGGACAGACATGCCGACGCATCCGCCGTATCCGCAATTGTATAGAGGCCGATCGGACCTCGATCGAGGTCTTGATTACAGGTGTGATCGAAGGGACGGATGCAAAAGCCGCCAAGCTGCCCCTTGCAAAATTAAACAAACAGGGCGAGTTCGTCCTTCCCCTTTAGCCTCAATGCGCCAGCCTTCCGTTTCGTCAGGTTCTCGTTCGCTCCCACCTGTGCCGCAGACTCATCGACTATACAGCGGACGCACGCGGTCCGCCCTTGCCATAAGCCAATCATTGCGACGGTGGGGTGCAGAAGCGCGCCAGCTGCTGCGCTTGATGAGCAGATCTGTCAAAGGACTGATCCTGCGTATCCGACTACCCGCGAATTGCTTTATCCGCCGGTTCCCTCGAATGTTCTCCGCTCTCGAGGCCGTTGTTCCTGCTCGAGCGGATCGTAGGCCCGTCGAGCTATCCGGGGGTGCGCCTGAACCTTTCTTCGTAGCTGTATACAGCGTAGCTCATAGAGGCAGGGACGGATAGCCTCGAGATTCAGTCTGTAGCAGCAACGCCGGCACCCCGCGTCGATAAGCTTGCCCGCAATAGGCCCCGCACGGAAAAGGCAACGGCCTCTCCACAAAGCCAGGGCGGTGTGACCGGAGGTGGGGATCCATTTGACCGCCTGCGCCTTCCCGTGATTGTTTTGCCGGAGCCGAGCCCTGATCTGTTCAGCGCGTGGCGGGGGTCTGAATGTCCCAGCGGGATTAAATACGCGCCTCCGTCATGCCCTGATCCTTTCTTCCCTCGACCGACTGCGCATCCCTGCGCCCTCTCCTCCTCCCTCCATCTTCGTGCGCGCTTGCCTCACAACTTCCAGGGAACGCTTCGCAATGCAGGTGTGTAGTTGGCTGCCTCGTCATCGTCGTCGCCACTCGCTCACAGCGCCACCCCGCAGGACGTCTATTCCGCCACATCGCCTCTTCCCTCCTCGTCGCGCTTTCAGCTGTACAACACGGCGAAGCATCACGTTACCAAAGGCCGATACATCACGTCTAACGATGCCCGTGGCTACATGTACGTCGTCGCTTTCTGCAGAATCCCTCGTATTGACTTTTTTCGGTAGACCCGTCTTCGAATACCCTCTCAACGGCCAGTGGATCATGATGGACATCGACGATGGATACGTTCTATGGACGGGCATCTGGAAAGGTTTGTACCTCCTCCATCGCACCGATGCCTCGCGACTGACGCATGTTTTCTCTTAGCACTCGGAAATTCGAAAGGTACGACTCGTGTCGTGATATCCTCGCATTTTGGCGCTGACCAGAGCCTCAGCCGACATCGTGAAGATGGTCGACTCGCATCCCGAGCTCGCGTCTGTTATTCGACGTGTGCGCGGAGGATACCTCAAGATACAAGGCACCTGGATGCCGTACGAGGTCGCTCTCCGCCTAGCACGGAGGGTCGCTTGGCCTATCCGAGAGGACCTGGTGCCGCTCTTTGGGTGAGCAGCTTGGCGCGCCCCCTGCGAGCTTCCTGTACTGATTTGCGACCTAGCCCGTCCTTCCCGGATAGTTGTCTATCGCCGGACCAGCCAGGATACGGCAAACTTTTGCCTTCCGCAGGAAATCGTAGACGCGCACGACGTGCTCCTCAGGCGGCGCCGCCGCCGTCAGAGAGCGTGCTCGCCAGTGGTAGCGTCTATCGGCGCATTCCATCGGAGCAACGCCTTGGAGCAGAGCGCCCTCTACAGGTGCTTTCGGGACCAGGCGGTCCCCGAGTCATCAGATCAGCGTGCGGCTCTCCTCCCACCTCTCTCCCGCCCTCCCCTCGTCAAGCGAGCCGCTACCGCTACAGCCCGTATGCCGGCCCGCCTCGCCAACACCAACGACTCTCGTCGAGTTCTTCCGTCGTGTCGTCGAGCTTCTCCGTACCCTCGACACCGCTCTCCATCGCCTCGGTGTTGCCCTCTCACCGCGACCGCGCGCGTACGATGCCTATGCTCGACAACGACTTCGCTCTCCCGCCCATTCGCGCATCTTTCCCGACAGGACTGACCGGTGCTCTGCCGTCGATATCATCTCTTGACGCCTCGCGCACTGCCTGCTTGCAAGACCCCGCTGCCGTGCTTCGTCGTCTGACGAGCACGAGCGATGACTCCATGGAGCCTTCGTCGCCGCCACTACCCAGGTACGACTATCCAGTCGCGGAGCCTCACACAACGACTGACGGATTCTCAGCTTGAGTTCTTCGCGCGCAGCGCGTCCATCTCTCAACCTCGACCTACCCTCCGTCCCCCCATGTACACCCTCGCCTGTATCGCCCTCTAGCCCGGAGACGCCGCACTCGCTGACGCAGCTCGTGCCCTTATCCATGCTCGAGGAGAAGGCCCGCGTAGCTGACTTGTCGCGCCACACCGAAGCCTATCGCTTCGGTCGTTCCGAGAACGAGCTGGACAATGCTCACCACATACCCCTGCGCCCGTGGTGAGGACGGCCGGCCGCCTCGCTCTCGCTCGCACCATATACATACTACGCATACCGTATAGACAGTATTTATTCGCTATCATATTACCTAGTTATCGTTCTCCTCCCTCTGTATAACTAGTACCGGTTACCTTCGTGCGCGATCTTGATATCCTCTTGGGACCCCATATTTTGCGCGCGTGTTCGACGCACGTCAAGAGTTCGCCGGGCGCCCCGCTCCACAGCTCCCGAAGCTGCACCGAGGGCTGCCCCCGTCGTGGGCGCTTGACAGGCGCAGCAGGCACCATCGAGCGTTGCGTGCTACCCGTTTGTGTTTTTCCGTAAGGCTTCGAGGGGAGCGGAGATCGATCACACCGATCTGCATGAATGTCGAATTCGACAGCTCAATTATCTTTCGGTACCGAGAGCGGACGCCGTGTTCCTGATAGCGGGCCGTGTGTACAGCGCCAGGCTGTTGATATATCCTCAAGCTGGTACGCGCAACGTCGAGAGTGGAAAAAAGAGCGCAGTCGTCCTCCATTAGGTATACGTCTATGATTCCGTGTATATACTCCAGTAGATACTTGAACCGGCCGCTTACATTCTGCATCGACATTTAGCATGGTGTGGCAAAGACAGGGCGAAGACGAAGACTTACCCAATCGCCTTCATCAACAGGAAACCAATCGTCGAGACCACCTGCGGAAGAACGCACCGTCAGCTACACCTTTCAACGAAGACATGATGGGAAGGTACTCACCAGAGTCGCGATGATACTCGCCGGGACGCCGTTCTTCAGGAAGTCGATGTTGCTCAGATACAGGTCGCCCATCTCGTCTTCTTGAGTTGCACTGGGAAGAGCGTGAGCCAGCGCGTCAGCGAGACGAGCGAGTCAACTTACGCCGTCTGATTTGGGAAGCCCGAGACGGGCATCCCCATGCCCGTCGAGCAGATCAAGCCCGTGATGAAGATGAGCAGGTTCTGATGGTTCCCTGGCAGGTTCGAGCCGACCTCCTTCGCGATGGGGACGAGCAAGACACTCGCAATCGTGTGGCTGATAAACGTCGAAATCACCAAGACGACGGGGGAGAGGATAAGGACGACATTGTAGAGCGAGAGGCCCTCGACCATGTCTCGGATAAGCCCATCCATCACCTCCAAAAGGCCGCTAGTGGTCACGCCTTTGCCGAGTGCGATGCCACCCATGGCGAGGAAGACGATGGTCCAGGCGAACTGCTCGAAGTCGTCCTGTACGAGACCATTAGCGTCGATAGATACAACATCGTCAACCAGCTTACCTTCTTCAAAACGCCCGTGCCGAAGAACGCCACGACGGGAATGATAGCGATGACGCCCATATCCCCGACGTACTGCTCAATCGAATGCTCAACGCACCAGAGCGCAATCGTGCCCAAGCACACGAAGGACACCCAGTACTGCTTCCCCGTGAAGCGCTCCTTCGTCGGCCGAATGGTCTTGATCTCGAGGTCGCATTCGCCGTCGGGCGAGCGCGCCGGCTTGTACGACACGAGAAGGAAGAGCCAGATCACGATGATCGAGATGGCCGACACTGGGAGCGCGACCGCGAACCAGCTGCCCCAATCGAGGGGCGGCTCCATCGCTTGCAGAGCGATGAGGTTCTGCGGGGATGATATGGGCGAACTCTGTCCGCCGATATTCGCCGCCAGCGCAATCGCGAGCTACACAGCGTCAATATCAGCAACCCACGACAGAGGGAGAGGATGACGGCACTAACAATAAGGCATGGGCCGAACGGCGCCTTCGGAGGAAGCGTCCGTAAGATGGGCTGTGGGGAGAGATTCGAGTTGAGATTAATGGCCACCGTGACATCGCGCGCGCATTACTCACGCGAATGAGAGTGAAGCACAGCGTCGGTGCCGCAACGTTACTGTATGAAGGGGTCAATCAGCACGGGGGAACGCCCTCGACGTGGCGACGCATTCACCTAATCCACATACTCGCGAAGCACGAGACGCCCATAAACGCTAATAGAACGGTTCGTGGGCGAGTTCCCGCCAGGCTCAGGACGCGCGTGATCAGGAGGCGGTCGATACTTGTCTTGCTCAAGGCAGACGAGATGGTAAAGCCGCCTATCAACAGCATGATGGTCGGCGAGAACATGATCGAGAAGACGTATCTGAGCGATGTGAGTTTAGTATCCATGCTGTTGCATCAAGACTTACTTGGTCGCTGCTGGAGGCTCTAACCGCTCTCCTTCCTCGTTTCGTATGACGCGCAAGCAGACAAGGAGCAGAGGCACCAGAAGCGACGTCACGAACAAAGGTATGGCCTAAGGAGGCGTCAGCCGGCAACAGCGAAACGACCGGAATGAAGCGCACCTCAGTCGCCCAGAGGATCGTCGCAAATACCAGTATAGCAAAGCAGCGGTTGGCTTCATCGCCGTCTACCGTCTGCGTGTTGAGCAGCACGATGAAGACGAGCAGCGCCACAAACGACGCGATCGTGCCCTTCGTAATGCGTAATCGTCCGATTGGTGTTGGTATAGCGAAGAGCGGGGGTGGCGGCTCCTTGACTAGAACCGCGCCCGGAGCCCGCTCGGTGTCGCTATCCCCGCGCCGCGCGCGCCCTATCATCTGCCGCCAGACGGTGTCGCGCTCCCATGCGATGTGCTCGCGCTTGTGTAAGCGCAGCTGCTGCTTTGCAGTCGCGCGATCGCCATGCGAAACGCATTTCGCGTAAAGGTCGTAAAGGCGTTCTAGAGCATCTTGGATTCGCTCCTTTGCGGCTGGGGTGAAAGGCTTGGCGTGATCGACGACGTCGTGCAGGTATCGCGGCAGTAGCTGTTGGAGCAGGTGAGCACGCAAGCAGACATGTAGACGCAGCCCTTGCGCACCTCGCTATACGTAACCTTGTCGTACCTGCGCGGGGGGATCGGTTAGCAGCACGCCCTAAGCACGAGCAAGCCGACTACGTACTTCTTCAGGATCTTGCGGAACCCAGAGTAGTTCACCTCGACGTAAGACTTCAGGCTCGTAAACGACGTGAAGAGCGCGGTAATGCGCCGCTTGTAGAGCAGCCGCGTGTCGGTCGCGTAGTTGGAGCGCGAGTTCCAGATCGTCTCGGACGCGGAGCCCGCAGACGTGACGCTATCCTTCAAGTTGACGATGCGGTTCGCGAGCGTGCGGGCCTTTCCTAGCGCGCCGGACTTGCCGGGGAGGGAGATGAGACTGTCCTCGAGGCCGCGGTCGTGGTCTTCGGAGGAGTGGCTGTAGCGGCGGGCATCGAACGGAGGGGACAAGGGTGCGTCTTCGGGTATCGCTTCTGCAGGACCTAGGCGTGGGTGAGTTATGAGTGAGGGGGTAGGGGAACGCGTGCCACGCACCGACAGTGACCGACAAGTTCGGCCTGCGATACGCGCCCGAGGTCGAGCGCCTCCTGCCTGTGCTCCGCGTGCGACTGCGCACCGGGCTATCGTCGTCGTCCGACTCGTCTCCCTCGTACGCGTCGTCCGCATAGTGATCGCCCTGGAGGCCTTCCTCGTCCTGCTGCTTCACCATCTCCTCGAGCTCGGCGAGGTCGCGGAAGAGCTCCTGCTCCTGATGCTCATAGAAGGCGACGATCTTGCGCAGCTCGCGGTCGAGGAGGGGGATGAAGAGATCGTCGGTGTGGGATGTGCGCTCGCCGACGAGGGACGTGCGCTCGTGCGCTTCGAGGTCGTGATAGGACTGGTCGAGATCGTGTTGCTGCTTCTCCAGCTGATAGATGAACTTCTTGAGGGTATCGTAGCTGTACGAGGGTCAGAAGAGACACTTCCATCTAGTGAGTCACGCACGCAATGTACTCGTCCCACCACTCCGACACGGCATTGAACTTCAAAGCAGAACTAGGGGCAGCGTCAGCGGCGAAGCGGTCAGAAACTGAGAAGCGCACCTGAACTTCATTGTAGCTCCCCGCCGAGGCTAGAATACAGAGAATCCGGCCGGTACGTGGCAGGAGAGACCGAGCGGAGGTCCCTGGCTTCAGCAAGCGCTCGCAGAGTATGTCAAGAGGTCAAGTAGCAGGCGCCCAGGCGGACCGATTGCGCGCGCGCGTGGCTTTCCTCACGTGCAAGGCGCCTGCAGCCACCCACAACGAGGGGAAAGTGACAGGTCTTCTTTCGGAGTTCGCTTTCTGCACACTGCCCACGCATCGCTATCGACGGCGCTGACAGCACGCCTGTTCTCACCCTCCTCACCCCGACCCTCGTCATCACCGCGCCAGACTGGCCTTGGGTGCCGCACACAAGCTCGCCGCCCGCCGCATGCCGTCACTCGCGTCCGTCACCTTTCCGACCCGCCCCTCCGCGCTCATCGACGTGCACGTCGACGCCGCTGACTGGGTGTATGCATGACCCTTTAAACCCACGCGCGATCCGCACGCCTGGGCGCGGATGGCGCGGAACAACCCTATCATCCCCTCGCCCCTCGCATCCCCCTGCTCTCATCGACACTTTCCCCCTCGCTCGCATCCTACTACTCCTTCCCCTCACCTCCTCTCTTCATCCCCTCACCCCCTCCATCTTCCTTTCCCTCCCCACCTCTTATCTCTCCTTCCCCCTCCCCCTCCCTCCTCGCTCTCAAGGGAGAGATCAAGCTGGAAATGCCAGGTAGGTGGGTCAGATCGCTACGTCGCCGACGTAAGATGAACAAAGGTGGAGGTCGAAACGAGGACAAGCGGCAGATGAAGGGCAGGAAGGAAACGTCAGAAGAAGGTGGGAGAAGGCGCTCTCATCTCACGCGTGGTGTGATTGCGAAGGGGCGAGGAAGGGGCTCGAATGCGCGAAGGGGGAGGGATAGGGGAGGCACGCGAAGGGGGGGTGCAAAGGGGGAGAGAGGGCGAGGTGCGCGAAGGGGGGGACACGGAAAGCGGGCAAGGGCGGAGAGGATCGGCGCACGAAGGCCGGACACCCACGAGGCGAGGAGCGCAGCGACATCGCGAAGGGAGAAGGGGAGCGAGACTGCAAACGGGCGGGAGGAAATCTCGCACAACCATGTTTTATTGTTTATATACGCATACATACGGTAATATTGTCGTTCATGGTGAGTACGCGCCTTATCGCTGTCTACTGCCCTTTACTCTGACACCCCCTCCCTCCTCATCGCTCCCCTTCGCCCACTTCGCCCTCATCTCTCCCCCTTCCCCTCATCGCGCCCCCGTCCCCCCTCATCGCACCCCTCTCCTCATCTCTCCCCTCCCCCCTCATTGCTCCCCTCCCCCCCTATCAAGCTTGTGGCAGTCACCGCGACCCTCCGCATCTCGTAAGTGGGGGACCGCATGCCGGGGGTGGGGTGGGAGGGCACGTCGGGGGGTGGGGTGGGGGCGCAAGTCGAGGGAGGGGGTGGGAGCGCATGTCGAGGGGTGGGGTGGGAGCGCATGTCGGTGAGCGGGGGTGGGGGTGGGGGCGACGTCGAAGTTGGAGGCGACGTCGAAGGGCGGGGGTGGGGGCGCAAGTTGAAGGGCGCGTCGCGTCGAAGTCGGAGGGCGAAGTCGACGTCGAAGGGCGAGGTTGAAGGGCGAGGGAGGGAGTGGGGGCGCATGTCGAAGTCGACGTCGAAGCGCGGGGGTGCGTCGCGTCGAAGTTGAGATCGAAGTCGAAGGCGGAGGGCGAGGACAAAGTCGAGGGCGGCGACGTTGAGGGAGGCGAAGGGCGAGGGCGTGCCCCGTGTTTGCGAAGTTGATATGTGGCGGGAGGGAGGCGGGCGATGTGAGGCGAGAGGGAGATGATGTTGCGTGCGACGCAGATGATGGTGCGCGCGACGTCGATAGCCCTGCGCGCGACGTCGAGAGCCCTGCGCGCGAGCCACCAAGACCCGCGGACGACGCAGACGGCGGCCGCGCGCCACGCCAGGGCTCAACGGCACATATCAGGGCTCAGCGGCACATATCAGGGCTCGGCGTCCGCTATACAAGCCCAGTGCCGGCACTGGATATACAAGCTCAACGTGAGCATCACATATCAGGCCTCCGCGTCCAACATACAGGCTAAACGTGAGCGTCACATATACAACAAAATCTAACTAGAGAACACGGCCTGCGAGCAGCAGTTAGCAACATGGCTATCGGGACGAGGGAGGGCGTGACTTACGAGACTACTAGTACGAGACTGTGCGAGACTACGGGACTATGCGAGACTACGAGACTGTGAGCGATAGATAGCCGACGTCGCGAGTGTGCGCGGACGACGCCGACAATGCGCGCAGATGACGCCGACGACACGGAACGTCGCAGGCGCCCCCGCACCGGCGAACAGCGTATCGACGGCCTTCGCCGGCGCAGAGGGTGGTCCTGCGAGATAGATGAGTCAGAATAGAAAGCGAGGTCGAAAGAAAATGCTCACCTTGTAGCGACGAGCCTTCGACGACGACGAGGGCTATCCCGCGTCGTCGCTGCCCTCAGTCTCGTCGTCGCCCCCGCCCCCGTCGCCGTTCCCGCCCTCGTCATCGCTCCCGCCCTCGTCGCTGCCGTCAGCCATCCCCGCCATCCCAACTCGTCGTCGCCGCCGCCCCCGTCGCCGTTCCCGCCCTCGTCATCGCTCCCACCCTCGTCGCTGCCGTCAGCCGTCCCCGCCATCCCACCTCGTCGTCGTCGCCGCCGCCATCGACAGCCCGCCCCTGAAAAGACGGATCAGCAAGAGCTCAACGCAAAAAGACGAGCGACGCATCTCACCGAGGGAGGCGCGCGATTGCCGCCTACGACGTGCGCCGCTGCGGGTGGAGCGCGAGCGCGACAAGGCTGGAGTTGAGGGCGAGCGCGACAAGACGGACGTGGGGCGCATTGAGGGTGGCGAGTGAGGCGCTTCCGCGGCGTCGTAGAGAAGGGCGACGTCGTGAGTGTCGCAGGCGACGAGTGAGGGCATTCGCGCGTCGACGCGGACATCGGCGGTGCAGCGTGGCAAGGCGGGTGACGACGCCAACGTCAAGGGATACATCGCCGGCGTTGAGGGGGGTGTCCCGCGTCGACGTCACGCGCGTGTGGATGAACATCTGGCGGAAAAGGTCAGCATGCCCGACTGAGGGGACCACCGAGGACGTACCTGACGTTGGCGAGCAGCGCGCTCATGCGTGGTCGTCGGGAGCCATCGGAAGGGAAGGATGGCGGTGGTGGTGCGCACGGCCTGGGATGACCACGTCGGCTGCGGGAGGGAGTGCCCTGTCGCCGAGATGGCCGCGCGTCGTCCTGGACGTCGTCGAAGGCCAACGACTGCAGTAGAGGGTGAGGGCGCGGATGATGATGCAAAATGTAGGACACACCTGATATCCCTCGCTGTGGCGTCGCGCGTGCCGCTGGTTGTTGACAAGAAGCCAAGGAATCTAACAAAGCTGATCAGTGCTGCACAAGTCACAAGCGTCAAGAAGTACTCACTGCTAGTGGGCGACGGGTCAGCGGATGAGTGGACCTGTAAATGTGGTAAGTAAAAGGAAAGAACGACAAGAAAAGCGATTCGTACCTTCCATGGCGCGACCTAGGGCATCTAGATAACGTGGTCAGTAGGTCCTCCGTGAAGGAGACCGGCAAGACGTACCAAGCAATGACCTCGGCACGCTCAGCATGGGCATCCAGTAACCGGGTGCAGGGAGGAGGAAGGGGAAGGAGATGGGAGGAGGGGAAGAACACTCGGCTCTGCCTGAAACCTCGTCTCCCCTCGCCTTATGTACCCCTCCCCCCTTCCGTTAGCCTTTCCAACCGCAGTAGACGCGTGCGCGGAGGCGACGCGCCCCCGAATACGAACCGCGCGTCAACATGCACTTACGACACCGCGGAAGATTGCCCGCTGCGAAAATTTGGCGCGCGCGGCATTGTATGGCGCTTGTCGTGCGGAGGGCGTGCGCATGTGCGATGAACGCGAAGGTTCGGTCGATGAAAAGTCGGACCCGTTGAATCCTGGGCGCGGATCGAGGGTGGGAGGACGGTGTTGGTGGGATATCTCCGCGGTGTGTTGACGCGCTTGCCGTGTTATTGACGCGTTTATCGGCCGTATAAGCGCAGGAAGTCGTTCTAAATGGAAAGCGGAGACATTGAATGATGCGTGGCATGAGCGGAGGCCGCCAAAATCCGGGGGGTCGAATCTCGGCGTGGTGGTTTGGGAAGACGCGTGCCCTTCCGCTTTGGGAAGGTATTGAGAGCCGGAAAGGCAGTGCGCTTGCGCGCGCGCGTCGTGCAGCAACGCGGCCTCGCGCTGGTGGCAGGAAAGTTCGCAAATAATATTCCGTATGTTTCTGACATACCAGGCGTAGATTCTGGCGCGTCGGGGAGCTCGGGAAGAGATAGAATTCGACAAGGAGGGCGGAAAGTGTGTGGGAGAGCGCGAGGGCAGCGCCATCCTTCAGTATTCGAGGGCGCGTTTCGCCATTACGTGCTCGCTGACAGCATCCGACCCGAGCTGCGGAATGACAGCAGAAACGAGCGAGGATTGAGTGGAAGATGCGTACTTTTCAGGAGGTTGGTTTTGCAAGTGCGGGATTGCGAGCTACGCGTGCGTCTCTCGGCCGACGCAACGTCATCCGCGTGGTCGCTACATCCGACGAAATCGCTGCTTGAGATTGTGTGCCGTCAGCTGGAAGATTGGGATCGGGGGGAGGTCGGCAAGGGGGCATATGAGCACAGTCGATAACATGGCGTACAGACGTCGAGAGCGCACAATACTTCCTAGGCGGCTTGGGGTACCATGGGGTACCATGGGCGTGTACCTTGGCGCCCGCGGGAGGCCCATGCGACGACGCTACAGGCGGACGAAAAACGACGCCACATATTCAAACGGCCCTTCGTCGCGCTATAGCACTCGAGCGAGGGCGCGCAGGGCGGTGTTGGGTATACAAAACCTGTTCAGAATCAAAATGCGCATCGATCTATGTTGGTTCATATTTTTGGGGGAGGGTGCGCAGAAAGGAGGGGAAGAGGTCGAGATGCGCATGGAAACATCCTCGACCTCCCAGAACGATAAGCAAATTCGGAGATCTCGCCCATCGCAACACCGGCGATGGGTTCAAGGCTCATGGGCGAGTGCCCCCGGCCTACTGCGACCCATCGCTGGTGCTGGGATCGCGGCGGAGGCCGTCCGAGAGGTGGGGGATCGCGACGCCGACGTTTTTGATGTATATCAGCTCGCCGGGAGAGGCCGACGGCGCCAGACGTTCAGGATTGCTGCTGATGATAGTCCCGGGCACTTTGGCGTCTATTCCGAGGTGGCGGACGGACGCGATGGGTGGGGGTCGAGGACAAGAGGCAGAACGCGGCCGCGCGGACTCGACGGTCCGTCCTCCGGTCCCTGATTGGCGGCGCCACAAACTCCGTCCGTCTTGTCCGCGACCGCCATCAGCGACCGCCGAGGGCCCACCCCTGCTCTCTCCATTCAGAATCGGTAGCTGCTTGTTTCCTACACATCCTCCGGACCCTCAGGGCTTGAAAATCCGGACATTCAGTACCCATCTCGAACTCGCACGCTCTCTCAACTCAACAATGACACAAGCGACGGAGGTGGGGAAATCAGCCTCTGGTATCGTCACTACGACTCGCGCGGAGTTCTAGCTCCGTGCCTTGATAGTGCGCGGGGCTAGTCATTCATCCCAATCCGGAAGGTGTTGACTTGAGTCGTCGCGCAGTGAAGCTTGACCCGTGTGTCGCTCGTCGAGCCCACTTTCCATGCACTCCCCCTCGCCGTGGTTTCTAGGTTTGGTTCACAAAGTCATAGGAGTCGGCAGGGTGCGTCTTTGTTCTCCGACTCTCGACGCATCTCAGGTATAACGGCACGTGAAAGCTAATATTCTCATGAGCCCGCGATTCACTCCGCGGACATCCTTAGCGCGAGACCGACCGCCTTGTCGAGGGCGAGTCGATGCCATCTTCCTTGTATTGCTTACATCACCCGATATCTGGCAGCGCGCGCACGCTCCCCCGCTGCGATCCACGTCCGTGGGCAGTGGAGGGGGCGCCGAGTACGCGGCCCCTGCCGACGGGCTCGCGCGAGAAAACACGTTGCAAGACCGGTGCGTTGTACTATACTTGCGCGGAGATACAGATCCTCCATCAGACTCCTTTCATCTTACGAGAAGCTCAAAGCATTGATGCGCGCGGGCTCTTCCGGATGTGGCGCGGGAATCGAAAATTTCTTCCTACTCGGTCGCGGTGGGCGCCTTGACGCCGCCCACATATACCGGTGCGTACGAATCTCGCTCCTACCTTTCCCCTTCATCCCCCTCCCCCAAAGCGCGCCTGTCCAACTTCCTTCGCCTCCCCCATCGTCCTCGACCGCGCGGCGCTGACGTTTCGGTAAGTGCTCGTCCGGGACCGCGTCGCGTTCGAATGCTGACCAGCGCGTGCAGAGACTCACCCACTACATCCCCCGCATCACCAACGTCGTCGATGCCCTTACGACGTGTCCAACACGCCCGACACCTCGCCCGACAACGAGAAGGAGGTCGCATCGGGTGGGATGGAGCTGGCTCAACGCGCGACGCGCGTCTACGCGGCGGTCTTGTCCCAAGGTGCGTCGTCAACTTTACCGTATATCAGCGATTTCTGACTCATTTTCAGGTGCTTTCCGACGCGCCTCAATGACCAAAAAAACGCATTTTGACGCGAAATGCGCCGAGGTCCGCGCGGGAATTCCTAGCTGAAGGCCGTGACCGTCGAGGAGGGGAGGAGGGAGAGGGGGGCAGCGCGAAGCGCTTCCCGCGGCGACGACAGCGTGCAAGGTGTGTCTTCCACCCATCATTTGTGATCGATTTCCTGACGCTTTTTAGGCATCTTTGAGCGCTTGTCGAAGGCAAAAAATCCGCAAATCGACGTCGATTGCGCCGAGGCCCGCGCCTTGGGTTCTAGCTGAACGCCGCCGTTGGCGAGGGAGGAGGAGGGGGCGGTGCGAAGCGCCGCCATAGGTGTCAACATCCCGCGAGGTGCGTTCTAAACGTCGCTCATCCTCACCTTCTCTGACCCTTTTCCAATCATTTCCACGCGCATCACAAGTTCGAAAATGTCGCAAACTGACGTGAATTGTCCGGAGGTCCGCGCCTCAAGTTTCAGATGATTGACGCGACCTTCGGGGAGGGGGGAGGGCGTGGCGCGCAGCGCCGCCGGAGCCGCCAACATCACCCCGACCGCCCCCAGTGCTACCGCGACGCCATGGTGCGTCCCCCTCCCTCCCCCTCCCCCCTTTTCCTCATTTCCCCGCTTCCGTGTCTCCGCGTCGTCCTCCCCCCTCTCGTTTATGACACCGCCCCTTCCCCGTCTCTCTGTCGTCGCCACCCTTTTCGCTCTGCGAGCTCGTCGTATATCCCTTCTCCTCGCTAATCCCCTTCTGCAGACACCTCTACCTCCTCCCTAGCCTTGTCAACATTTTCAGTCGGCTCCTCCACGTCGCCTCAAGCGCTCCACTTCACCCCTCACTCAATGCTAAGGCCCTCCTTTCGCTGAAGCAACGTATCTTCGTCCGGCGAGCGACGGTAAGGGATGTTTATTGACCCTTTTCTCGACTTGACTCATGCGCTTTTTAGATCTCTTCAATCCAGATGTGCTCCCCCCTTCGCCCCTCTTCCCCCTCGCTGAACCGTGCCGCCCCCCACCCCCTTGGGCGTTGAGGCAATGTATCGCCGTCCGCCGAGCAAGGGTAAGCGATTCTTACTGACCTTTTTCTTGACTTTACTCATGTGCTTTTCAGGTCTCTCTCTCGCTCCCAATGCGTCCCCCCTCGCCATACCGCGTCGCTCATTAGGCGTTGAGGCAACGTATAGCCGTCCGCCGAGCGACGGTAAGGGATGTTTATTGACCTTTGTCTCGACTTAACTCATGCACTTTTCGGATTTTTTCGCTCCAGATGTGCTGCGACCTTCGCCCCTCTCCCCGTATGCGGTTTCCCTCTCATACCGACGTCGCCCCCCACCCCCTTGGGCGTTGAGGCAACGTATCGCCGTCCGGCGAGCGAGGCTAAGCGCTCCCTTGTCGAGGAGCGACCGCCTTTTCGGACCTTTTCTCAGTGTCCTCTCTTCCCTCGTGCCGTGCGACGTGCCCGGCGACGCTTGAGGCGTCCTGCGCACCCACGCGCACCCCATCCATTCTCGTCTCCAACTTGAACATGTCGCGCGTGCGCCCTCGGAGCCGACATCACGTGCGATGTTCGACTTTTGTGCGCTCGTTTTGGCTGACGATTGCTAGTGCATCTCCCTTCCGTATCGTCGTCGGTTCAGGGCGTTCATCTTGCGCATCTTCACTCGCACGCGTTGCACGGCCGCAGGGGGAACGGTAGTAATAGATCACTTTCTTGTCGTTATTAGGACCTTTCGCTGGGTAGTTGTATCCTATCTGTAATAGCTACGAGATGCAATGGAAAGCTACAGTTTCCTACGAAGAGAGAATGACGTGTGCTGGAAGACAACATATGCCTCGGGTCCTTGGCATCGTCGGTCAGGTACGTGCCGCACTCGTCGGCGACTCAAAGGCTCGTGAGCAGGACTGCGGGCGGGTAACTGCGCCACCAGCGGGCTCGTCGGCGAGTCTCTTCCCCGCACCTGCGCGTCGAAGGGCTGAGGAGGGAGTCCCTGCTGGAGGGGGGAGCATGTCTGGGGCTTTCAGAGGTGAAGGGGAGTGGTTTGTCGTGCAAGATGCCCGCTCAGCGCACTCGCACTTGTCGAACGCAGGACAGCAAAATGTTATTATGGATAAGCTACCGACTACGTACACTAGCGTACTAGGACGGGGGACCCGCGCGGTGTCGCAAGGGGCCCGTGCTCGGCTCGCTTCAGCGGGAGGGGGTATATAAGACGGGGGAGGTGAGCGAGGGCTTACCGTGTACCTCCCCTCCCCCTGTCATGCTCGCCGTCCACGCCCATCTCGCTCGTCGTCCACGCCCGCCGTCGTGCTGCCCGTCCGCGCCGTCACCGCTGGAGGGGGAGGTTATGCTGGGGGATGTCATGCTCGTGGAGGTCATGCTGGGGGAGATTATGCTGGGGGAGGTTATGCTGGAAGGAGAGGGTTAGTCACGTCAGTAGAGCACCGTAGATAGCACCCCCCACGCCCCCCGGACACGGGCCCCTTGAAGGGGAGACCGTGTCCGGGGGGCCCGCCAAAGGAGGGGTGGGCGCTAAACACCTATCAGATTTCATGCCGCTCCACCGCACTACCACATCACGTGAAACGAGCCAGCCACGACGACGCGATCAGCGCATTTCGCGCAGACGTCGTACAGGCGTTCTAGGGCGTCTTGCAGCTGGGGTGAACGGCTTCGCGTGATCGACGACGTCGTGCAGGTATCGCGGCAGTAGCTGTTGGAGCAGGTGAGCACGCAAGCGGACATGAAGACGCGACCCTTGCGCACCTCGCTATACGTAACCTTGTCGTACCTGCGCGAGGGGATCGGTTAGCAGCACGCCCTGAGCACGAGCAAACCGACGACGTACTTCTTCAGGATCTTGCGGAACCCAGAGTAGTTCACCTCGACGTAAGACTTCAGGCTCGTGAACGACGTATAGAGCGCGGTGATGCGCCGCTTGTAGAGCAGCCGCGTGTCGGTCGCGTAGTTGGAGCGCGAGTTCCATATCGTCTCGGACGCGGACCCCGCAGACGTGACGCTGTCCTTCAGGTTGACGATGCGGTTCGCGAGCGCGCGGGCCTTGCCTAGCGTGCCGGACTTGCCGGGGAGGGAGATGAGACTGTCCTCGAGGCCGCGGTCGTGGTCTTCGGAGGAGTGGCTGTAGCGGCGGGCATCAAACGGAGGGGACAAGGGTGCGTCTTCGGGTATCGCTTCTGTGGGGCCTGTGCGAGGGTAAGTTATGAATGAGAAGAGGTAGGGGATCGCGCGCCACGCACCGACGGTGACCGACAGGTTCGGCCTGCGATACGCGCCCGAGGTCGAGCGCCTCCTGCCCGTGCTCCGCGTGCGGCTGCGCACCGGGCTATCGTCGTCGTCCGACTCGTCCCCCTCGTACGCGTCGTCCGCGTAGTGATCGCCCTGGAGGCCTTCCTCGTCCTGCTGCTGCGCCATCTCCTCGAGCTCGGCGAGGTCGCGGAAGAGCTCCTGTTCCTGATGTTCGTAGAAGGCGACGATCTTGCGCAGCTCGCGGTCGAGGAGGGGGATGAAGAGATCGTCGGTGTGGGATGTGCGCTCGCCGACGAGGGACGTGCGCTCGTGCGCTTCGAGGTCATGATAGGACTGGTCGAGATCGTGCTGCTGCTTCTCCAGCTGGTAGATGAACTTCTTGAGGGTGTCGTAGCTGGAGGGAGGTAAGAAGAGACCCTTCTCTGAGCTTTGAGCACGCACGCAATGTACTCGTCCCACCACTCTGACACCGCGTTAAACTTCAAAGCAGAACTAGGGGCAGCGTCAGCGGCGAAGCGGTCAGAAGCTGACGAACGCACCTAAACTTCATTGTAGCTCCCCGCCGAGGCTAGATCACAGAGAATCTGGCCAGTATGTGGCAAGAGAGACCAAGCGGAGGTCCCTGGCTTCAGCAAGCGCTCGCAGAGTACGTCAAGAGGTCAAGTAGCAGGCGCCCAGGCGGACCGATTGCGCGCGCGCGTGGCTTTCCTCACGTGCAAGGCGCCTGCAGCCACCCACAATTGGGCCAACAGAGCCAGTTTCGGGAAGAAAAGGCGAGCGCAGCGTATGTTCAGAGCGACTTGAAAGCTTGTGAAATAATGTGTGGTTGAGCCATCTGTAAGCATCTCTAAGACATTGTGGACCGGTGAGGGAGATAGTATCATGGATGGGAAACTTGAACCGCTCACCAGGCAGGTCCTACGACCACGTCGAGGATTATGCCCGCGAACTTGGAAATGAGCTCTCAATTGACGCTGTGGCATCAAATGGTGCGATTTGTTATATTCTGCGGCCTTACCCAGAGGGCGCAACGTCCCGTAAGGCGTTCCGCGAAACTACGCCACAAATGTTCCTCGTGAAGCTGTAGACGCTCTGCCGAGTCAGCTGCCGGATCGTGAGTATCACAGAAAGAGCTAACGATGCGGAAGCAGGGTTGGAGTGCTTCTCAGTAAGGAAATTATGAAAGGAGAGATAATCCACACTCGGATAGGTATCAGACCTTCGAAAAGTTCTCATTGTGTCCTAAATGACGAGAAAGGCGATCTTTGGAGCAGGAAGGATGTTGTTGGAAAAAGAGGCGGTGAAGGAGAGGTCAGAGAGATATGGAATGTGGCATGTTTGAGACCGTCGCGAGATGAAGGCTGCGCTGAACCTGCGCGGAGTCGCGGGCGTACATCTTTCTCTGGAGGTCCTTCGACTTCGCCTCGTTCACAGTCGCTGTCCAGAGCCAACAACAGCCCGAAGACAAGTGCGAGATGGGGGGAGAAAGCAAGGAGCAAACATCTGCATGAAGACCCTGTCAAACCGTGACCGTGGCAGCTCTTCTTTCGAAGTTCGCTTCCTGTCACATGTTCGGAGCCGTGTCCGGTTGACTTTCGCGCCACCGAGAGCGGACATATCGATGAGGTCCCCCGCCCACGGGCTTCGCTCAGTCTCAGAATCTCAACTGAGTAGTCCAGACTGTAGATGGACGATCATCAACAACAAATTAGACGCGTCCTAAGGGATGGACGCCGCGCGAGCGCCATACGCATTATACACAAGGCTCCTGGTTTAGATCAATGCGGGTGGTGGCAGACGAGGAGAGCAGCGGAATAGTGTGCCGTATCTACGTGTACGTATGCACGTATAGTGCAGAGTGAGTGAGAGCAAGGACAGCATGGGCGAGGAGCAAAGCAAAGCCGACGACAAGTCATGCGGCAGCGGAAGAGTGGACGACGGCGAGTCTTCTGCGCAGACGGTGTCAGTTGAGGTCGATAGATAGACGAAGTACGACGCACCAGTATCACCTATCGGTGAAGATCGCCTCCAGGTCTTCCAGATCAAACACCGACACCCCGATCTCCTCCAGCTCGTTCTCCACCTGCGTCTCCAGCCGCGACGCCTCCAGGGTACCTCCCCCATACAGCGCCTCCGGCCTATGATACGCCGCATGCGCCCCGCGCACGAGGATCACCTCGTTCCCCCGCGCCACCGCCGCCCGACACGTCGCCGCGACCGCGTAGTCGCTCAGCAGGCCCGCGACGACGAGCTCCGCGCGATGCGGGACGAGCGCGCCGAGCGGCGTGCCCGCGAACGCGTTGTTCTTCGCCTTGTCGAGCACGCGCTCGCCGGGCGCGACGTCGAGGACGAGCTCGTGCCCGGGCGACCCTGGCGCGTCGGGCTCGCCCGCGTCGCCGGAGTTGCGCACGTGGACGATGAGCGGGGGTGGGGCGGCGGCGCGCGCGGCGGCGAGGACGCGGGCGAGGTTTTCGCGCATGGCGCGTGCGGCGGGGACGCCCTCTGGGGGGTCGGCGAGGAGCGCGGCCTGCGCGTCGAGGATGAGGAGTACGCGGTGGGGTTCGGGGCGGGGTTGCATGGTGGCGCTAATGTGGTGGTGGTGGTGGAAGAGGAGGACGGGATGGTGATCGTTGAGGTAGGAAACAGCGTGGCCGGGATGAGTATGCGAGGTCGTAGCGGGATCTTCAAAACGCGCCGTATCGTGTATGACGGCCGGGAAAAGCGAGCAGCAAAGTCAGAGCGATCGTAGCGGACGCGGACAAGTCTCCCCAGCTCCCAAAAACGAGGTCGATGTTGGGGATCGCCTGCACTCGGGCGATCGGGGCGCCTGCTCTGGGTCGATCGGGCGGAGTCGGGCGGGCGCGCCTCGAGGCGGCGGGTGGGTGGTGGGCACGGGCAGGGCAGGCGGGACGTCTGCAACCGCGCGGCGGTGTAACTTTATAGGCGCCGCATGTCATATATACATCAGCGGGGCATCAGCGGGATCAGCGCGTGGCGAATGCCGGTGCGGGGGCTGACCGTGTGTGGATTGGCGGCCTTCGAGCGCGTGGCGGCGACGAGACTTTGCAGGGGGCACGAGGGAGGCGTGGTGAACAAGAAGTAGACAGAAGAGAGCGGCAAGAGGGCAGGAAGGATAGGAGGAAGTGCAGAAGGTGCCGATGCTTACACCCACTCCGCGCCACCCGTCGGCGCACGGTTTATGCAGCTGGCGGCGTTGCCAATCGTGTATCGTCCATGACGCGTGTCATGCTTCGCGGAGGCAGATCTGCTTTTGTATGTGAATAGATAGTGCTATACGTGGGTGATGTAGAGCGTATACCGCGTACATACCGTGTGTATACATAACCTTCGAGTACGAGACAGTACATACAGCAGTACGTACCGTAACGTATGCGCCTCAAATACTGGTGCGGGGCCGTCGACGAGGCGCGGCACTGTCCGCCCGCACCTCTCGTTGGTCGCATTCTTCTCCCCGTCGTCCATGCCTAGATCGCGGCGATTTGCGCCGCCCCTGAATGGATGTATGGTCAGCATGACGAGGAAACGCAGACGCACAAGGTCCGCCAACAGACGCCGCGCGCTTGCGGTCCCAATGAGGGAGGCAAGTAACGAGAGATCGGTTGAGGGGGCGGCGGCGGGAAGCTTGGCGGGATGTGCTATCGCACGGCGCATTGAGCGTTGGCTATCGATCGAGCATCGATGTGCGGATTGACGTGGTTGTCGGACCGGTGAGGGCGCGTGGAGGTGAAGACGGCATATCAGCCCACGGCGCTGGTGAGAGTGCTGGAGGTACACGTCAACACGGAAGTTCGGTGGTAGACAGAGGCGCAACTGACCGAGAAGGAGCCGGAGAGGAAGAGGCGCGTGAGCGACTGGGACAGCGATTGACCTGCAAAGGAAGTTCAATGCTTGAGAGTTGGGAATGCAGATCGACGACGACAGATAGCCAGTCAAGCGTCCAGCTTTCAAACGGTTCAATCCGGACCTGAGAGAATGCGAATATAGCTGAGTTCAGGGTGTATTACGACCCTGGTCCTACTTGGCGCGACGCGGCTGCGAGCTGCCATGAGGTGTGTCCTTAGCACGACTTGAGGAATAGTGTAAATCGCCGCTTCGTGAACACGGCGAAATGGCTTGCAGACTTTCTGGCCTTCAGGAAAGATTCGAGCAAGTCGAGGTCAATGCGAGGTCGTCGAAGTGTTGTATTTTTGCATGAGGGAAGAGGACAAGATGTCTGGTCGCCATGGCGGCGCAGGCACCGGCAAAGTCCGCGGATCAAAAGTCATTGAAGCCCGGAAATCGGACAAAGGCAGTGCTTGGGCCGAGACGTGCCGAGCCGTCCTGACCGCCATGAACGTCGCGGACCCGACGCGCTCTACGACTTGTCCGCAACCCATCCCTCGCTCCTCGCCAACCCGCTGCCGCCGCCCCCTCCGCCTCCCGCTCCGCCCGCGCCCGCCATGTTCGCGACGGTCAACTCCTTCCAGCCGTACCTGCGCAACCTGACGTGGGCCTCGCTCGTCTGCAGCGCGTGCGTGCTCGGCGCGTCGCTCGTGTCGCAGGGCATACAGTCCTTCTTCCTCGCCCCCGTCGCCGGCTTCTTCACCCTTCTCTTCCACTTCACTGTCATCATCATGCAGTGGCGAGACGTTCGCTCGCGCGCGTACTCCAAGTACTCCACCCTCACCGCGCTCGTCATCGCCTACCTCCTCGCCGCCCTCTGGGCCGCCGCCTTCGCCGTCATCGGCTGGCTGTTTGTCTTCAACGACTACTACGAGGACTACTGGCACAACGTGTACATGGGCCTCGCGATCGCGCAGCTCGTACTCGCCGCGGTGGAGGACGTGCTCATGTGGATGATCGCTGCGCGCGCGACAATCGAGCGACAGCACGGAGTGACGCGCTACAAGGCCGTCATGGAGACTTCGAGCATTTTTGATGAGGATGTATGAGGTGCGTGCGCTGTCCTTCGCTCGGGTTCCCCTCGCTGACCTTCGACCTCACAGATGCGAAAGGGAAGTGTCCCAGTCGTGGATGATAGACATCAAAGCACCTGTTTCAGCACCACACTCATGGACCCGTGCGCCTCCCCCACCCCATCATGGACGCAAGTAGATCATGGCTCCCCCCAATGTACTATCATTATTTGCTATCCTCGGTCGTACGTCCTTACTCATACTGTGCCCTTAATGGGATATTATTCGGTCGTTTGCAATCATAGTCGCTCGCTCTACTGTTCACTCTGTCGGATGCACGTCAACATCACACTCAATATCCGACATCACTGGCCTCACCTTAAATGCTGTTGGCGACGGTCGTCGGCATCAACGGGTTCGAGCGGAGGCATACCTGTTCTCCCTAGGTCACTTTGATCGGCTAAGCGACCAGAAGGAAGCTTCGCATCTGGAAACGCAGCAAGCCGCGTCGCGCTCGCGCTCCATCACCGTATGTACAGTACACCAGCGTACGCGTCTGCTCTGACCGCAGCTCCATTTCACGTCGTAGCCCGCGTCCTTGCAGTTCACGTCGATCCCGAATTCTTTCTGCTCGTGTTGTATCCCGCGTCCTTGCAGTTCACGAACACACATTTCGAGCTCCACATCGAGCGTCGTCTGGCTAGTTCGAAACACATCGTCCGGCTCGCCATCCTGTCGCCTCCTTGCTTTACATTCGATTCAACACGCAGCACTTCAACTCGACGTGTTCCTGATGCAGGTGCGTGTGTGTGCTTCGCCTTTTTAGTACTTTGTCGTCTCTTCGAGCTCGTGTAAAGACGCACCATGGCTGACTGACATTCTTTGCCAGACGTTGGGGTCCTTCTCTGCCAGACGTGAGGTGATTCGTTCGCCAGACGTCGGCGTCCTTCGTTCGCTCGACGTTGAGGTCCTTTGTCAGCCAGACGGTGAGGCCCTTCGCTCGCCCGACGTTGGAGTCCTTGGTCCGCTAGACATTGGGGTCCTTCGTCCGCCGGACGTTGGGGTCCTTCGTTCGCCCGGCTGCCCTTCAGGAATTCTACTCTCGCTACGTCAGCGCAGGGCTCTCCAACCGAGTCCTCTACCTTGTCCGACCGAGCCGTCCACCTTCTTCGACCGAGTCATCCACCTTCTCCAACTGAGTCCTCCACCTGGGATCGAATCCGCGCGTACTCATCCAGGTATCTCGGCCGTCGAGTCAGTGTCTGGTATGTCCGTCGCGTCAGCGTCTGGTATGTCGGTCGAGCCAGCGTATGGTACGTCGATCTCGCGATCGTGGTTTTCGGCTTCTAACATGCTCATCGCCCTACAGGCTTTCCGCGCGCAGGGAAGGATAGAGGTATGCTTCGCTACATATTAATCGATTATGTGCGATGCGCTGGTCCTTCCCTTGCGAGTGGGGGCGGGCTGCTGCGCTCCCGCGCCGTCGTCGCTCTGACCAGTGACCATGCGTCAGGGAGGAGCTAGATGCGTAGTGCGTCCAGAACCCTCGAATCAACGGTGTGTCAGACAATTTGGTGCTTGATATGGTCAGCGGACTGGACTGAACTGGATTACCTGCTCGTCTGGTTGGCGGGCAGAGGAGGGAGCGCGGGGCTTTGCGAGGACCGGCGTCGGCTGACGGAGAGGAACGCCAGATGCGTCGGCTGCCAGAGCGTCGTAGAGAAGCGCCGGCTGCCGGAGAGGAGCGCCAGATGCGTTGGCTGCCGGAGAGGAGGGTAGCAGCCGACGGCTGCCAGGTTAGTATCGCAGGACCGTCAACTCACCGATCGCACCGAGCAGGAGACGGCGCTTCTGCTAGCGGTGGTTCGAAAGCCCTTGATCTGGTCCATGGAAGCCTTTGAGCTGCTCCGTGACGGCGCATGTGCCGGGCGTGCCAGAGCGGGTCAGAAAGGTGAGTCTTTCCCAGTCGAGGGAGGGGAGATGCGAGCGAGACGCTGACAAGAGCTTCCATAGCTGACGCCGGTCACACTGTCGCGCGCGAAGTGCGGTACCCTACTAGGGTTGTGGATGCGACGTTACAAGCGTGGCTGGACAGCTTCAAGCCGGTCGCGGGTGGTGCGTAAGATGTGGCCCTGCACCATAGTCTGGGTGTATATCTAGTTATACCCAGTAATCAAAGGGGGGTGTATTACAATATACCCAGTGTTTACTGACCAGTAGCCATAGGCCGTATCTTGATATCTACCCAAATGTAAATACCTGGGTTTACCTTGGGTTCCCTCACGATTCTGGCTTTTCGTAGGTGAGAAAGCAGGTATATTGAAGCTATATACTACAAATACGAAGCGAACCTACCATCATAAGCCTCGAGGCACAACGCGACGCGACGACCGCGACAGCTAGGCACGGGGTAGCGCGTCGACAGGTCGTGCTCGTGCCCGCGCAATGCCCGCTGTGCTCGGCTACGCGCCCGCCGCGATCAACAACCGCCGCGAAACACGGCGCGACGCCCAGGGGGTTCGCCGGTGACGACAGGTGCCCTCCTGTCATCGTCGGTACCCGCTGATCGTCGCGCCGCACGACCCGCTGGCCACAAAAAAGCCCGCGCTTCCTCCGTAGCGCCTCTCGGGCCGTCTCTCCGTACTCGCGCATCGCGCCGCCGGCTGCCGCCCCGCCCCGTCCTGGTCCCTCCCATCAGCGCTGCGCTATCGTGCTTGGTGCACAAAGCGTGCGTGAGTACCGGCACGCCCTCCGCACCCTGCGCCGTCGCATTACCATCGCAGCCTCGCACGAGTGCAGCCCACTCGCCAGTGAGCCGCGCCCATCAACTCGTCGTGACAGGCTGCATTGCCGGGCTCATCGCGGCCTCTCCCTGCCCGCGCGGAATGTCCCGCCCCGCCCGATGTCGCCGTTGTTTCCCCAGTCCAAACAGCGATCCCTGCTGATCATCTCCGCAGCGACGGACGTCTCAGCCCCTCGCGGCCGATGTTGCGCGAGGCATCGCGCGCGTCGTCGCTGACACCGATGACACTGATGGCGACACGTCGTGCAGAGTTGCATGCGTGGGCGCCGTCGAGGCATCGCGCACACGAGACGGCGGCTGCCCTAGGCGGGAGGCCGATCGTGTCCATATTGACGTGAGGGACGAGGTCGGCGGTCATATACGCGTACGCGATCGGGAGGGGAAGGGGAGTAGGCTGTTTGGGGACGGTTCGGCTGTCGCAGCGATGATGAACTTCATGATGAGCGCACGGACTTGCCGTATACGCGTGACAGACGGTAATGGTGGTGGGGGCCGAGATGCGTTTCAAACGCGCTGGAGTCGATGGGAGGAGTAATGAAGAAGGGGGAGGAAAGATGTAAAGGGACGGGGGCCGGCATGGGCGAAAGTCAACATAAAACTTGGTAAGTGACGATGCATGGTCTTCAGAGGTCGTGTCACATACCTAGGGCCCAGAATGCATTCCATGTTCCCTTCTACTTCGATTTTGATGCATTTGAGGCGAAGGAGGGCGACCGGCAACGAGGCGGGGAGGCGGGCAGTGGTCGCAAGAGTCAAGAAAGTGTGTGACATCACGTCACACGCCCATCTCTTGGCTTGATGATCATCGACTCGGAGACGCATAGCATGGAGTTCTGAGGATTATAAGGCTTGGTAAACTGCTTCAGTACTCCTTAGTAGTATATGATCCGTCTCAGACATTGACCTTATTGCCCCCCGAGCGGTGGACCACTTGCCGGGATGCCGGGTCATGAGCGCGCGCGCCACTTTCGTGATCTTTCGTCCCATATCTATTGTTTGACATGAATCATTGAGCTTAATTTTGTAGAACCATACATTGGACACAATTATCAAGCTGCTCAGAAGTTTTCAAGCTTCTACCATATCTGAGTGGACAGCAATACACGAAGGAGTGTCCTCGAGTTGCTTCATGAATCTCGAGGTCGAACTGTCCCTTTCAAGTGCTTTCCGACGCCCTCGATCCCATTTCCGCTCACTGTAAGTATCTCAGCCCTGGTTCGAGCCCGGAAGTCACTTTAAGAAGCTTCGCTCTGTTCATCCCGGCCAGTCCGCGGACCTGAATATGTCCCCTTGGACCCCTGAACGTCGCCGACGACAACGACGAGCCTCTTTCGGGGGTCGGACCGGTCATCCGGAGGTCGCCGATCACAGCGTTCCGGGCAAGAACAGCTGCAATTGCGGGCTCCCGAAGACCACTGACAGCACGAGAAGTTCTGTACTGTGTAATATACATGTGGAATCGCCCACATATGAAGCTAGGCGTTCTTTGAGGCCCGTTGAAAGGTCGAAATCTGCCTTCCTCTCTTCGAAGTCCTTTATCGGCCTCGGACACGCTACTCCCAACGTTGTCAGCACCCCAGCGACACAAGACATAACTGGCTTGCTCTGGATACATGGTAGAATACGATTATGACTGTCTGACTTGGCCCTCTCTGTCCGAATACTCGTGTAAACACCCTAGCACTGTGTGTTTGTTTCGATGTTCAGATGCACTGGCAGAGAGACTACGGTACAGAGGTATCATCTACAGGATAAGGACAAGCTGTATGCACTTACGCAGGAGCAGTGCCGGAGTGCACGTCGAGCGCGTACAGCCACCGCATGAGAAAGTGATCGGTGGGCGCTTTGGGATTTTCGGGTGCCCCGATGATTGCGAGTCATTGGCGCGACGCCCTTGGCTGCATGTGGGGAAGGGGGTGGTATCCCGAACCCACGGAGGGGTTCAACGGAGATAGGGGGTCAAGATCGCGGGTGCGAGAATCCTGGTCAGTGCTGGGCGCACACGAGTGCGTTCGAACGCACGATGGCTAGGGCGCGCATTATATCAGAGATAGGAATTGATGAAGCAGGGAGGGGGAAAGGAGGAAGGGGGGAGGAGGCGAGAGGGGGAATGATTGTCGGCTCTATTCCATGCGATCACCAATGCGCGCCGCGGGCTGTGATCAGCCCGTTGTGGGTCGATTATCCATGTCCGTTCAATGCATACAATGTGTGTACAACAAGGAGGGGTGTCCTTGGCTGACGCGCACGGAGGAGGGAGAACGAAAGCAACCGCGGCCGCGAAGTTTTTGATCGGCCACGTGTTGTTGTGAACGCGCGTCGTGCTGCAGCGCGCCCGAGCGAGAGGCGAGAAACTAGGCAGGACGGAAGTGAGTGAAGGGCAAGGGCAGCGCATAGCGGCAGGAGGGGAGCGGTCATGATCGAGGCCGACGACGGCGGGAGGTGGGAGGCGGCGGCGACGGCAGCGGCGAATTCGGCGCGCCCGCGTGCACGGCGCGGAGAATTTCCCCATCAACCGCATCCCGCGCGGAAGCGCGGATCGGCGCGGCGAGGGCGACCTGCCCGATGGGGGCGGCCGCGTGTGGGGAGGCCTGGCCTGCCCGATGCAGCGAGAAGGACTGCCATCAACAGCCATCAACCCAAATATTGTCGTCACACGTTCTGAATGCCATCAAAAGGGATTCACACCCGGTTTTATTGCTGGATAATATAGGGGGAAATATTTGAATGTAGGTTGGGGGAACAACGAGATATGCCCTATAGTCACTGGTCAGTAATGATAGGGGATAATGTAATACACCCCCCTATAGGCATAGGGTATATCAAGATATTCCTAGGGACAGACCTCGGCCCTGCGCATCAGTCGATTGGGATGGGTGCTCATGGTCGTCGTTAGCTTCTTGGGCTGAGGGGTACTACGAGGAAGATGTCGCGCGCCGATCGAGCGGCGCAGATGTCAGCGATTCGACTGTTTTCTCCTCGTGCGTACTCGACGTTGCGGGCGTGCGCGGGGTGCTAATGCGAGTTTGGACGAACAAGAAAGGGTGAGGCGGAGGTCAGGGAACACGAAAGGCGCGGCGAGAGCGAAAGCAGACGTAGTGGTGAGCGGAGGGCAAGTAACGTGCTGACCATTGGCTGACGACTATACGACTATACAGAAGCTGCTCGACGCCCTCTCGATGGAAGTAGCCTCGTTATTGGCGACCGGGTGATGAGCCACAAACGCTCACAGTACGTGTCTCGTGGAACCTCCTTTGCTCGCCTGTTACGCTTACATATATCATGTCATCCGTCGCTTATCCGGAATCCATGTCAGCTAATCTGCCTCGCAGACTGTTTCCCCCAAGCCGTCTCGCCTTCTTTTCATGCTGTTGGACTGCCCGAGGGCTTCGACTTGGAGTGATTCGCCGTGTATCATCCTCACGGTACGCGCGCATCTATCGCATAAGCCTCCACGTTGGCTGACGACGGATCTCAGGCGGCGCAGATACGACGATCGCCTTCATGCACACCCTCTGCAGCTTCATGTTCATGGGCCCGGAGGCTCACGCGAAGGCGCGGGCCGAAACTCAATGCAGTCGGGGAATAGGCCGACTACCGTAATCCAGGAACGTGAACACCTTCCATCGCGCTCGTGCGCATGCGGTATTGCTGACCGGTGTGCCCCGTCGTCTGACGGAGGATGTCGCATATGGCTGGTCCTTCTTCCCAAGGGTTCCCTGGTTGTGACGAACATATGGTGCGTGTGTGATCACGACAGTGGAAGACTGAAGTGGAGTATAGGATGTTGTTGCATGACACAAGACGTACGACCACCCGCGCGATTTCGCGCGAGGAGATTTCTCAAGAGTGAGGGTCGTATATCTGGAGAAAGATTCGCCCACCATTTGCTTTGGTGAGCCTTCGTGCTCGCTTGTCGTACGCGCACTCACATTTCCCTTGTCAAGGCGCCGCATCTGTCCAGGTAAGACAGCCATACAATCCCTCCACTTGACGCTGATACTTTGGTCGGCGAAGAGCATGCTGGCGCCTCGTTCTTCTTCGCGTACGCAGTGTGCTTGTCTGTCTTCGGCACTCGGAAGTGGAAGGAGAGTAGCGTCGAGGTTGACCCTATCGAGTGCCAGACGTCAGAGATTGCACGGTACGTATCACGCAACCTTGCGGCGTGGAACGAGGTGTGACTGACGAGCTTCGCAGATTTGTGTGGATATCCAAGTGTGTCGTAGAGGTCGAAGCAAATGGCGACGTTGATTCAAAGAGATAGATACGCGTAACAACGAATGTACCTCAATCTGCGTCAGAAGGCAACCTATCCTCATCGTGTCCCCCGTCCGACCGCTCTCTATATCGAGATGCGCCGCATCCTCGGAGAGGTAAGGGCAGGTACGTGCCCGCGTCCGATTTCGACACCCTTACAACTCCGCCCCGCTCGTGTGCATCTCTGCTTGACCGCCATGAACCAGGCCGTGCGACGACCACGACTACTGATACGCCTGTCGGCCGAAAAACGCGGAAAACATACATGAACAGGCGATTACCTCGTCGCATCAGTCTGGATTGTATGGGCGGATCCGTATATACTGCATTGACGTCGTGACTGTACAACGGGCGCGTCAAGGGTTACGAGACCTGCTTGCCAGGCTCGTCTTAAAGCCTTGGAATTCATCACTTGCTGACGTCCAAGCGGCTCCTTCCTAATTGGGAACGGGCATTTGCCGCGGTCGACTTTGTCCCCTTCCTCTGCGTCTGTTCCATTCTAGAAAAATCGTGATTGCTCTGGTATAGCTGATGAACAGGAAAATGTATCTGTAGCGAGGAAAATGCATGGCGTAGTACGAATTTGAGGTGGCTGGGCGCACGTGCGCAGTTGATGGCGATCTCGTTGCACAGCCACAACACGTCGTCGACGCGTTCCGACCTTTTCTATTCCAAGCAAGTATGTAAGTGCTCCCATTGACCTTGGTATGTCAAAGACATATCATGCCTAGACGGTCTGCGATGTAAGAAGGTCGGGTTAAGTGTAAGCTGTCAATGAAATTTGGGAATGGCCGTGCTCGAGGGATGGTGATGAATTTCCCACGGTCGCGGTTATCTCCGAATGGATAAAATTCGAACATTTGCCTGCCTTTAGTCTGAGAACCGCAAACCGTCTTTGTTGGCGGTACTTGTCTGAGTATGAATGATCAGTTGTATATGCGCGCGCACTCCAGAGATGACGAGCCCCTGCCTGCGTTGCCCATTGACGTTACATACGATGCGGAAAACTTACAACGCTATCGGCCTCGTGCTGTACCTTGGGTGCATGTGAGGCGCACCGCGGACAGTGCTTACAAGTTGCGAGAGAAGACGCCTGGTAAGTTAGAGTCGACCTTGCGCCGCCCGCTCCACGTCCCGTAACATAACGCTCGACTCATAAGGGGTCCTTCTAAAACATTTGTGCTACGCAGCGACAATGATTGCTTATACCGACTTCTATGGCATCTCCTGTTGATTTGCCACAGATCGCACGCGATGCATGCGAGAGATCGTCGATCTCATTGAAATCTGTCGGCTGGTCGTCGTGCGAGCTTACGCTGACTATAGCTGGCGTTCCGCCAGTTACATACGAAGTCCATGTGCCCATCGGCGCTAAGCGCCATCGCGATGTCTTATGGAAGGGTATATTCTATGCTAAACAGTCCTGATTCGCAAGAATGTATGCTCATATGAAGAGTTCCGATGTGCTAGGTATTACATTGTGAGAAAAAAACAAGATGAATTACTCCAAGTCCGTCAGGTCGCTGTCGCTATCCGAATCTGCTCCCGCTTCCGACTCAGAATCCGAGGGTGCGAACTGCTTGATGACTTCGTCGACATGCTTCGTCCTCAGGTCGTCCGTGAGTCCGCGGACGTCCAGAGGAGGTCCAGGGTCATCCCATCGGTCGCCTTCCAGGATGTACTCGCGTCCGGGAACTTTCGGCCTAGAGTCGCCCGGGTATGTGGTCTTGCACGCAAGCAGGATGGTTGTCGCTACAGTGTACGCAAGTCGGTCGAATGCCGTTCCTTCCTCGGCCCAAGTGTCAGAACGCAACCGCTCGGTCATGGTGTACTCGGCCATGCGCTCCGCGTTTCTGGCCTTCGTCTCCTTGTCGTCCTCTCCGGTCAGCGTCTCGGGCGCGTCAGCCTTCTTGATGTAGTCCTTGGGCCTAACGAGCATCAGCGCCATGGCTATCATCGGCTTCCGGTAGAAGACTGTATGTGATTCAGTGAATGTTGCCCAGAGTACACATTCGACAGACCTTGTCCATTCGCCGCTCGTATCGGCAGTGCGGCGGCCATCGAAATGAGCATTAACTGAACGCCGCAGTTGTGGTTGTGGTTCGTCACACCGTCCTTAGCGATCTGCACTCGCCGCGATACTTCCATGCGATGGAGATCTTCATATGTGAAGTAGTGTTTGCCGGCTGCAGCGGTGGGGACAGGCGTGAAGGCACCATGGACAGTTCCCGCCGGTTGGTAGCTGCAAAAGCGTCATTACATGTCTGTATCCCCCGACATGACGGCAAGGCACTTACTATTTCATACCTGGCCTCAATTCGACGATGCAGCCGTCGACTTTCCAGTCTGGCGTCTTGCCGTCGTCCGTCTTCGGCGGCTCGAGGGTATCTGTACTCGCCGCTTCAATGAGATCTAACACTCGATTGATGAGTTGTCCGTGTATCCGTCGACGCTCGCGTCTGGTATCGCCCGGCTTCGGCTTCGGCATGTTGGTGGCGACGAAGATGAACCATTCTTTCATCCCTCCTCCACGAATCTCCGCCGAAGTCGCCATACCGCTGGCGTCAATGTGACCGAATGTAAGGAAGCCAGCGGTGTGCAGCAAAAACCAGTCCAAGGTTTTCATGATGTCGGCCGCGATATCGAAATGTCCGCTGTACTTGTTCCCGGGCGTCGAGGAGATGCACTCGATGACGTTGTCGGCGAGTCGTCTAGTATGATATATCAAGCACAAATGGGAGCGAAGCGAGTGTCAGGACTCACTCGGTGACCGTGTCGCGTTGCGGGAACCCGCAAGTCAAATCGAGGATGCAGCGAACCTTGTCCGGCATGTTCAACCAGGTGTGAAAGTCGAGGAGAGTTGCGGTGACGTATGGCGCCATCGAATGCTTTTCTCTGCGAGGCGCGTCTACAGCCATCCTTGTGGTTAGCGCATACGGCAAGCAAACGATCAAGTATCGTACCTTGAAAATCGCGCGGCGTGAGCAGGTTAGCGCCTACGATCCCGTCTGCACGGTCCGTAGACCAGGTGAGGGGGTTCATGAAAGGGTCGTCGTTGATGGATGTGCCGGCGGACGCGTAAGTGAGAGAGTCCGGGAAGTTATCGAAGACGAGCGGTCTCCCGTGAGCAGCGCAATCCGTTATCAGGTCGAAAGCAGCTTTCCGCGTTGTGAACGTTGCATGAACGCAAAGGTCTGGGCGATCTCGCGAGCTTTTGAAGGTCCGGGCGACGGTCTTCACGTAAGTGTGGTCCTGAGAGGTGTTGATGTGGAAATCGGTGGATAATGTTCAAGACGACGCACCCATTTCAATTTGTTTCTGCCGCGCTTCCCTCTACGAACGTCGGGTACGAAAGGAGTAGTCGTTATCAAGCCCGTAGGCCAGTGAACAGTAGGCGCGTCGGGCAGCCGAGGAACATACTGGCTGATATCCCGTCCTTGCGGCCCGAATCTCTTCCACCCTACGTTGAACGAGCCGACGCCCTCCTTATTTCCTGGGTCAACCGTGGAGGCATGCTTGTTGTTGATTGCGCCCTCGCGCAGGGTGATGTCGCGGTCGCGCTTGTTGAGGGCCTCCTCCCGATTGTTCATGTCGCACTCCGTCTTGGCGGCGGCTTCTTCCCTCTTGTCGAGCCCTTCATGGCGCTGGAAGGCGGCCTCCTCACGCGTCTCTAGTGCCTCCCGGCGCTTTTCGAGGGTCTCATCGCGCATGCAGATGTCGCGCTCACGTATGGTGGCAGCTTCCTCCCGCGCGGCTACGGTTGTCTGACGCTGCTGGAGGGCGTACTCGCGCGTGCATATGTCAACCTCGCGCCCGCTGACGGCTTCTTCTCGCGCAGCGACAAGCTCCTCACGTTTGATGAGGGCGTCTTCGCGGGAGCTGACATCGATCTCACGCGCGACAATCGCTTGCTCTCTCTCGCCGATCCCTTCCTGGCGCACGTCGAGGGCGTCCTCGCGAACGCAGGCGCTGACGTCGCGCATGGCGGTAGCCTTCTCTCTCTCGGCGAGGGCTTCCTGACGCTTGTTCAGGTCATTCAGTCGCGTGTCGATGTCGACTTCGCGCCTGTTGGCAGCGTTCTCTCGCTCGGAGACGGCTTCCTGGCGCTTCTCGAGTTCAGCCTCTCGAACGCTAATGTCCACCTCGCGCTGCATGACGACAGCCCCGCGCTTGATGATGTCGACGTCGCGAGCTGCGGCCGCTTCCTCCCGGATGTTGAGAGTGTTCTCCCGCGTGACGGCGGCCTTGACTTGCTCGTCAAGGTGCTGGAAGGTTGCTTTCTCCAGCTCGCGCAGCTCGTCTCTGTGGATCCCGGCGTCGATGTCGTTGGTGTTGGTCGCGGCGTCGCAGTAAGTGACGGAGGTTGGCGACGCAGGTGGCCTACAGTCCACTGGGAAGGACCGGGAGGGTGAGGGTTGCTCGACCGTGGAGGGGACTGCGCGATTGGAGCGTGTAGTCGTGGGACATGGACAAGACGTAGATATAGTAGTTGAAGATGGAGGAGCGCTCTCAGAGCGGACGACGCCGCGGTAACTCGGACGGTGTCGTGGACCTGAGTATAAGGCAATCGTCGAATCGGCAAGATTAGAAGTCAAAGTCTATACGGTGCGGGCAGGATTGGCGTACCAGGTACAACTGTGTCATTTCTCGACGACCGGATAGAGGTAACTTCCTCGACCGTGCGACCCGCGTTGCTGACGGAGTAGCGCGATTGGGCAGATGCGAGATTGCCAGCCGGAGTAATGTTCCTCTCGCCGTCAGTGTCTGTATTGTGAATCGTCTTATGATAAGTCTTCTTGTGCGTGAGTTAGAATCTGTTCCACTTACCATGTTGCTGTACGTCTTCGCTATCCCCGTTAGCCATGTCGACGTCTTCCGAGGATGTAGGCGC